GATGACTTACTTTTATCGGAGCCGTCAAAACAACAGTTTCTTCAAAACATACAAAATGATGTAAGCGACAAATGTTTATTTAGAGAGAGAGAGAGATAGAGGAAGAATAAATTTCTTCATCAGACGCGTTCTTGTAAATTTTAGTAATTTTCACAATGACAAGCCGACCAAATCTTTAGGAAAGATGACAGGAGTTTTCGGAACATGGTCTGCGCTTGCGTGCATTCGGATATATCCTGGGAATTCTCTTCTCCCGAAGCCATTAGCTTGTGCCCGTTGTGCGTGACATTTTAATGTTCAGCCGAACCGATATTACCGCGAAGCGATGGAGAGGGAGGGAGGGATCCCCTAATAAAAGCTCGAAGAAACGTTCATCCGACGGACAAAAGCGGTGTAGAGAACAGAAGAAAAAGGAGAGGAAGAGAGAGGGAGAGGAGGAATGCGCGTAACGACCGGCAAATCCGAGCGTGCGAAGGTAAAAATGTTCTAAACCGCCGCGCGGTGGCCGTCGATTGGCAAACGAGCGTTGGACACCGTCGTTAAACGGATCCATGCTCGGTGGTCGCGGGACCAGAAAGCAGGCGCACTCTCGATGTGCGAAGCACTCTGCGGTTTCCGGGGAACTGATCTTAAAGGTGCTCACTCCCGATTGAATGGAAATAAAACGTGGACACAACTGCCAATACACTTAAGGCCGGGATTCGCCGCCGCCGCCGCCGCCGCCGCCGCCACCGCAGCCGCCGTCGGCTTCTCACCGGCCTGCGCCCGGGATCTGCGCCCGGAGAGAACAAGAAGACTCTCAAGGACGATGCGAAGGCTTGCGAGGAGTTGAACCCGTTGTGGGGCGGCAACGATCCCGTGATAATAAGAGCCAAGTGCCCGAGAGCGTGTAACGCGCGAGGCGAAAGGCGGCGGGGAATAATGCAATGCTGGGGAGAGTAATTGATGAGGGCGGCAGAGGGAGTGGGAAGGGAGAAAGAGAGACCGAGACAGAAAGAGGACAGAGAGGGGGACGAGGAAATGATGTAAAATTTCAGATGTTTTTCTTGGTAGAGCGCGTCGCGTACCACATGCGGCTAGAATAAAGGGCGACGCGTGACGCCGCGTCTCGCATAAATAAGCGAGCGAGACGTAACGCGGTTTAGCCGGGTTCCTTCTTTATCCGTTCTCTCTCTCTCTCTCTCTCTCTCTCTCTCTCTCTCTCTCTCTCTCTCTCGGCGGTGTCTACGGCATATAAATTAATACGTACGACATGTGCGTATATATGTCGAACGCCGTTGGATCCCGACATCGCGACGCTAGCGTTAACTCGGTATCGTTCGCTTGATACGGCGCGGGCAGAATTATCCGCTCGACTCTGGAATTCTAGTCGCTGGAACTCGGTTGCAGTAATCGTCATGGCGAAACAATCGATTCGGTTGTTTTGCCATAACGATTACTGCAACTGAGTTCCAGCTCGCATTACGCAAAGTCTGGCTCGGTTTGTTTGTTTACGCGATACCAAGAAATGCGCATCGATACGAACGACTGATTTTGAAGAAGCACTTGGAGATCGATTCGATTTCTAGCTGTCATAATCAAAGACTTACATAAACTGACTCTTCTTGAAAACAAGATAAAATCTTATAGATTTAATTATATATATATATATAATTTTATTATATACAATATATCATATATTTTTATTATATATATATATATATTGTAACAATATATTCTTAAGACCAAATAGAATAAAAAAGTCTAATATTATATTTTTCCAACAAATATTTAACGAGATATCGTAAATTAATTATTGAAAAAGTTATAAAGTTTCCCTTAAATATCTTAAAAAATATTAAGCAAATAAAAAAATACTTCAGACAAAAGTTATTAAAATTAATTAGTAAGAAAAGATGATATAATAAAAAATTAGGATTTCCATTTAAGAAAAGTAATGATCAGTGAATATCTCGAAAGTGATGCCATCTGTAAACAAAATAATATAGTTGTTTTATGTCTCTCTTGAAACCATACAACTTTTGTCTGAAACATTTTTCTCTACGACTGCTCCCTGCAAAGTTATGAGGGGTAATAGATTAAAATTGGATACCTTGCATAGACTGAAAGATAAGATACAAAACAGCTGTATTCGTCTAGCTTTCTGTAATAAGGATGAGGTTAAACAAAGACAGAATGTGCCTGTGGCACATCCAGATGCAGCTTGCGCAGCCTTTTGTAAAGCGCTCAGCCCATATATGAAAATCTACAGTCGAATATGGGAAATAAAAGGTTCTCTCCTTAGAAAAAACGTTACCTGAACCGAATCACGCATCAATTTCAATACGACGATCACCTTGAACCAACTTCAGGAACTGAGCTGAATACCATTTCAGTATAGTTGTACTATATAGCGAGTTGCTCAGGGAGAAATTAAAGTAAAATCTATACGCGCGCGACTTGGCGAAAAGCGAAGAGATCGAGGTGTACCGGAAAGATACATAGAATGGGGCGGCCAGAAGGAAGGGTGCGCGATGGGGGTCGCAGGAAGGATAGGGGGACGGAGGGTGGCATGGCAAAGAGGACGAGAGGGAGGAAGAGAGAGGGTTGAAGTAAAGACAGACGGACGGACTGACGGACGAACCGACGGCGGATCCCCGACAAATGGATTAAGCGCAAATTGCTAAACTCTGTTTAATTTGGCCAAATGAATTTTGTTCCGCCAGCCCTGTTCTTCCTCCCTCCCTTTCCTTCTCCCTTCGTGTCCTTCTTTCCTTCCTTCCTTCCTTCCTTCCTGCCTTGCTACCACCCTCTTGTCAGCTATCCAGTCGACGCTGCTCTCTCCTTCTCAGCGTTGTTCTTGCTGCGCTGGCTGGACCGAACTTTCGGTCGAAATTTGGTTTTCCCGCCGGGGGCACAGGTTAGATCCATCGAAATCGACGACGGATCCACTGACGTTCCTCGCGATCACCTGACGTGAAAGCGAACTTTTCCGAAGCGAGCCTTTCCGGATGATCGGGTGGAGGCGTCAGAAATAATTTCTCGCTTCGTTACGTAACGCGAGAAACTGCCGCCGAGTAATGGCTGCCGGAAATGGAAGGCATTCAGCTTGGAAATGCATGTACATTCCGCGCGTAAGGAAATTTTCACCCGCCCTTTCTGCCCTTCTCCCGGCCCCAAAAAGCAAGCGAGGGAAACGTTTAACTCCGTCGTGCGTTTTGCTCTATGCTGTGCGAAAAAGGTGCACGACGGCAACGGGCGCAACTGCGTTCTCCCTCATTTTGGACGATTACTTTCTGACCTTTGGATCCTCCGGAACATTCGTCGCGTATAATATAGCCCTTCCCCTTCCAATTGTTGGAAGTAGGTCGGAGGTCGCGGCGAGCCTGCGAATAATGAATAATTTCGTAGATGAGCTCGTCTAGGCGGACTCGCGGCAAGTTGCTTCGTGACGAAAGTTCACGGTTACGATTTCAAGGCATGGCTATCTCGTACACACGTATATCAGCAAATATATCGGTAAATATATGATAACGATGAATAATACGTGTAAATACATGATACAATTTTACAATTTACGATTTTTTAACATATGAACTTATTGTTTCGGAACGTACTCGTATTAAGTTGGTGCAAAAATAATTGCAGTTTTTATTGCGTATCGAGTATAAAGACGCATATATCAGTTAAAAATTATATTATATTATATTATATTTATTAATATTATTATATTTATATATACGTTTCGCATAGTGAGTAAAACATTTTAACTAGTATCCCACCCAATGAACTATCCGTAACATAACATCAATGTTGTAATTTTCCACCAGTGTAAGTGTATGATATAACAAGTATGTTATATAACGGTTACATTGTTGAACGGGAAATTATAACGTTGATGTAGTGATGTAGATTTGTAATAGTTGGTGTTTACCGAATTCTATTCATAATAATTCGGAATGTGTTGAGCGGTGGTTCATTTCTTGAAAATGTTCAAAATATTTCAAAATGTTTATCATATTATGATAACGAAACAATTAATTTTCTTCCAGAAATATTTACATCATCTTTTATATATCATTAAAAACATATCAGTATTGATTTAAATCAGACATAAATCAGAATTCTACATATGTTTTGGATAATTAAAAGATATCCAATTAGAGAAATCCTTTAGATCATTTCCATGATATCTCTGTCTGCTCTCAAAAAACTGCGCATTAAATAACATTCTGACATTTTTTAATTATCCAAATATTGTATTTTTGAAGTACTTCTAAGTTATTAAATTCAGAAATGAGATATCATTTAGAAAGCTTTTTAATAACGTTGTTGCTATCTATGTATAAGTAATTATATAACTGAAACTTAGACTGAGCAACTAAAATCTAAAAGATCTGTTATTTTCGAAGGATCGTTTCAACCCTTAAACGTCGAGGTAAGCACATCAGAAAGTGGATCTAATATCTTTTGCTTCCTTACAGTATTCGCAAAGTTTCTATAAAAATCGTTGAAAGACACTTTGATGACTTCTTGAAAGATTTCAATCGCAAGACTACAAGTAAAGATTGAAGGTTTCTAGTACATTGAGAGAAGAGAAAATTCTATGTCCACTTAATTAAAAATTAGCAGGTCGTCGTCTTCGCAGATATAAAGCATCGCTTCATAGACATCGTTATATCTAGACCACGCAACAACAACATGATGATAACGACATCGTCGTTATAAGCTACACAATAGGCCTGTGAGAGGCAACCCTGATTAGCTGGGCGGGCTCGCCGATATTCGCAAGAATAAACAAAGAGTTGCAAATTATGGCCGGCATTCTTGTAATCAGTGGTATTCCCGCGAGCGACACAAATAAACGAAGAAGCCTCCATGCAACACGAAGTGCGTTACGCGTGCCGCACGTCACATAGCGATTCCCGCGAGCGATACAAATAAACGAAGAAGTTTCCATGCAACACGAAGTGCGTTACGCATGCCGCACGTCACATAGCGATGTAGTATTTAATACATCGACCGATGAAGGCGAGCACAGTCGTGCACGAAAATTCTGAAAGTGCTGAAGCTCATTAGCTACGCAGAACCATTAGCTTGGACATAACGCGCTTTACTCGACTGTAACCTTAGGCTACCTTCGCGGTCGCGGAAGCTCCTCTATTGACACGAACTTTATTACATCGCTGTTTGACTTCACTTCAAACGAAAGGATCGACTAAACGGAATCGCGACCAACAATTCGCCATGGACTTCTGGACGATAGTCTTGTCGATATTGATCCTTGCGCTCATCATGTATTATTACTCGTCTCCCAAAGGCACACAAAACGCGTTTCAGCAACACGGGGTTCCGCACAGTAGACGAATGTCTATTCTGCAAGAGATCCTGGAGCTGTTTGTGTTCCCGAAGACCTACACCGACATGATTCAGGCAGCGTACAATACACACCGAGACGCCAAGTACGTCGGGATCTTTCATCTCACGAGAAGCTTCTTGATGCTGCGCGATCTCGAGGTGATCAAGTCCATCTGCTTGAAGAACTTCAACGCCTTCCAGGACCACTATTTCTTCGGCACCGAGATCCCGGATCCGCTCTTCGCCAAGCATCCGATCGCACTACGCGGGGACGAATGGCGCAACATCCGGAACCTCTTGACTCACTCGTTCACGCCCAGCAAACTGAAGGTAATGTTCCAACTGATGTCCGAGTGTGCAGTAAATTTTTCGCAATTTGCGGCGAACTTGCCCACCGACAAGCGGATCATGGAGCTGAAAAATGCCTTCGGCTGGTATTCCAATGACGTGATCGCATCATGTGCCTTCGGCATCAAAATGGACTCGACCAAGTGTCCGAACAATGATTTCTACGTGTACGGCAAAATAGCGACGAATTTCAACATGTACTCGCTCATGAAAATCTTGCTAATGCAACACGCGCCGACGTTAGCACGTCTGCTGAACGTCAAGGTCCTCAGCGACCCGGTGCGCGAATTCTTCATCAACAAGGTGGCCGAAACTATACGGAAGAGAGACGAAGAAGGCATTGCTCAGCCCGATGTGATTCAGCTAATGATGGACAACAGGGACAAGCAGACATTCAGCATTGAGTATATGGCGTCGCAAGTATTCAGCTTCTATCTAGGTGGCTTCGAGACCGGAGCGACAGCTTTATGCTTCGTGGCGTATGAAATTGCCGTCAATCCGCATATCCAAGTAAGGTTACAACAGGAGATTGATCAGGTCCTGGAGGAGACAGACGGTCAGCCATCTTATGAAGCGATCAACAAAATGACATATCTGAACGCTGTTATCCAAGAAACTTTGAGGATGTATCCGCCGACGCCGATGATTGACCGACTGTGTGTTAAAGATTACGAGTTGCCCGCTGCATTGCCAGGTGCGAAGCCGTATCTCGTGAAGAAGGGAACAATACTGTGGATCCCGTTTTACGCACTCCAGCATGATCCCAAGTACTTTCCGGCGCCGGAGAAATTCAAGCCCGAGAGGTTCCTCAAAGGTAATGAGATGGAACGATGCAATCTCGATGCTTGCCATCCATTTGGAGTAGGTCCGAGAATGTGCATCGGCTATAGGTTCGCTTTACTGCAGATGAAGGTCTTGTTGTTTCATATGTTGGCACGCTGTGAGTTGAAGACGTGTAAGAGGACTCCGATACCCTTGAAACTCAAAAAAGGTGGATTCCTTTTGGAACCCGTCGGCGGATTCTGGCTGGACTTTGTACCGAGACAAACGCGAGTTTAAACGCAGATTTAGACAATTTGTAAAACCGAGGAAAATAGTACAATTCTATAATTGTACGATAGTGTAACTGTAGTTAATATTATTAATGGACAGTAAAAAACGAAATATGTACCAATTATATTTATAATATATTTATTATATTTATTGTATATTTATTATATATTATATATCATATTTATATAATGATTATGATTGTATTTATTATTATATAACAAATATATTATAATTTATTATAGATGATTAATTTATTAATTATGTAAATTATATAATTTACATAGAATTATATATATATTATTTTATTATTCCATATTATTTATAATGTTTTAAGGACTTTAGGAGTATGAAATAGGAGAATAAAATAGGAATATAAATATTAGGAGAGAAAATGAAATTGCACAGTATATCTTTAAGGAATTTGGTCAATGCGATGGAGTAACGCGTAAATCATTAGGAATTTCTACCTTTATTATCGGTAGTGAAAGAAACACGTCATATTTCGTAGTTTATAGAAGCTATTGTGATGTTGCACGTACTTTAATTTGATTCATAATTATCAACAAATTAACCAAATATTGACTTTCACACGAAGCGAAATGATTATAGAAGATATGAAAATGGGTAGAGATAGGAGATAAACATTGAATCGATTTCTCTACTTGATACAAAAGAACCATCTATTGGAATAAATTAATATTTCCACGAAAGATAACATGTGAAGCTTACAGGCCGTCCGTTTATAGGAATAGTAGAAATTCTTTAATTAGGAACAGAAATAGTAAGTAGTAAGTAGTAAAACTTCTTTAATTAGCGGGTAATGATGCACAAAAATGTATAATTTCATTCGGGAAAAATACACGATGCACATATGCAAATTCATTAGAGATCGTAGATCGAATTAAAGAAACAGAAATTATATTATATATAGTTGAATACTCTCCTTATTTTAGCAACTAATTACTTAGAAAAATTAATTTCTTAAATCAATTTTTTGAGAATTGTCTTCTCACAATTGGATTTTTATTAGAACAAGTTTTATTGTTTTCATATTATCTACCGAATTACTTTTTACTAGTTGGCTTATATGACCAATTATGTTCTCATCTGTTATTAAAATTCAATTCAAGACATTTGAATAAAAGATTTGTTATCAATAAAAAACAAATTTTGTAATCGATTAAAAATAAAATAATACTGATATACACAGCGATTAACTCATCAGAGTTTCCTTGAACTTATATGAACATTTTTGAATTTGCGAATAAATAGCATTAGAGATACGAAATCTGATCTTTGCTATAATAATTTCAAGTGTGTACATAAGCGTTACATAAGCGATGATTCAACGAGCTGCACATATGAGAAAGACGAGCGGCAAACGAGCAGCAGTCGGCCGCTGACCGTCAACGGCGTGCTGTGCATATCAGCTCCACGCTTAATTGTTTCCTTGCTAACGCGTCGAAGACTGACAAATGAGTAAATCCGCTGCGCAAATATTGGAGAAACTATTATTCTTTCCGTATCGACAGAGCTTCACGTGACAAAATAATCCGAACGCACATTGTGACTCACTTTGCGACAGTGAATCTAATCAAAATGGTGTATGTCATCGCATTATCTCTGGTAGCTGGCGCCTTGGGTCTCTATTATTTACTCTTCAAGGACTTCGGCTTCTTTAAGAAACATAACATCCCGTATCCGAAGCCCCTCCCGTTATTTGGTAACAGGGCGCTGACAATCCTGCGTAAGCAGTCGTTGGCGGACTTCGTGAAGGAGATGTACAACTTAAATTCCGAGGCCAAATATGTCGGTATGTATGACTTCACTACGCCGGTAATAGTACTGCGTGATCCTGAGCTTATCAAGTCCATCACGCTCAAACACTTTGACACGTTCCCGGATCATCGTATTTTCATCCAGGGCGATCAAGATCCGATCTTCTCCAAGAACCTCCTTTCTCTCCGCGGCGATAGATGGCGGGAGGTGCGCACTACGCTGAGCCCGGCATTCACGTCCAGCAAGATGAAAAGCATGTTCAAGCTCATGTCGGACTATGCTGTCGACTTTGCCAATTTTGTGGCGGAACTGTCGCCGGAGCAGAGAGTGGTGGAGGTGAAGGACATCCTCACGCGCTACACCAACGACATGATCGCTATCTGCGCTTTCGGCGTCAGCGTCGACTCCATGCGAGACCCAAAGAATCTTTTCTACGAGAACGGCAAAAAAGCGACTACTATTAACACTGTCGCCATTCTCAAGTTCTACATGTTCAGGAACTTACCGAAGCTGGCGCGAATACTCAAGCTGAAAGTCGTCGACGAGAAGCTCGCGAAATACTTCCGGGACGTAATAGAGACTACCATTAGGACTAGAGATAAAGAGGGCATCGTCCGGCCGGATATGTTGCAGTTAATGATGGAAAGTAGAGGCAAGAAAGACGGTAAGATGGAACTGACGATGGAGGACATGGCCAGCCAGGCCTTCATCTTCTTCTTCGGTGGCTTCGAGAGCACCGCGACGTTGATGTGCTTCGCCGCGCATGAGATTGCGATTAACGAGGACATACGAAAGAGACTGCAGGATGAGATCGATCAGGTATTGGCGGACACAAATGGCCAAGTGTCGTATGAAGCGATCAACAACATGGAATACCTGGACGCTGTGGTGAACGAGGCTCTCAGGAAGTACCCGGTCCTTGTGGTAATGGACAGATTATGTGTCAAGGAATTCGAGCTACCGCCGACGCTACCGGGCGTAAAACCCTTCACCATGAAGAAGGGCCAAGCCGTGTGGGTACCAATATACGGGCTCCATCATGACCCCAAGTACTTCAAAGAGCCGGACAAATTCGATCCTGAACGGTTCCTCGGCGAACAAAAGAAACAAATCCTCAATAGCGGGGTTTATCTGCCGTTCGGGTTGGGCCCCAGGATGTGCATAGGCAATCGATTCGCCTTAATGGAGACCAAGGTGTTACTCTTCCATTTGCTGGCACGATGCGACCTTCTACCTTGCGAGAAGACACCGATACCGATTCAGTTAGCCAAGGAAGGTTTCATTATGATACCTGAGGGTGGTTTCTGGCTGAAAGTGGTGCCGAGGAAGGATCCCCATCATACCGTTGCAATTAACAACGCCAAAGGCGCGTGCGAGCTGTAGGAAAGATTCTGTTGTTTTGTGGATCTCCCGAGGTTTCGAATGTACAAGGTATGGGAAACATTTAGCAAATTATATGCAATAAAATCCATTAAACATAAATAGCGATATATATGCAATAACAAATAATGTATATGTGATAATAAATGTATATGCATATGCAATAACATGTATATGCAATAATAAATAACAAGAAGACAAAGTTTCTGCTTTAGTCATCGACCCCCCAATCTGGTCATATAAAAAAATTATCGACGAAATAAAAAATTATCTTCTGCACGGAGGATCTAATTCAACTCAAGTTTCATATATTATTAACATTACAGATAAGACGGGGAAGGACAAGGTCGTGAGGATGAAAAGACCGCTGCTCTTTATATCTCGACTTTCTGATGCTGAAGAATAGTGTCAATAACTGGGACGACACAACTGGGAAATCATACTTTACACATATAAATGTATCTTTGTGTAATCCTTTTATGCAATTACACATATATAATAATTATCGATATTTTTATATCTCTTAGGTCACTGACACTAGTTGAGAATTATGTCTCGCGTCGGCAATACGTGTACACCATTATTTTTTGCTAATAGAAAGTGACACGAAAAAATGTTGAAGCAGGAAGAATCGAGTACCACATCCATCATTAACTCCCGCGAATCAACAATGGAATAAAAAATGTATATCTAATAACGAATTTTTGAACGCAATTTCGATGGAGGCAATTTGTTTGATCATTATCCAGCACGATTCATGATGAATAGCATAAGTAGGCAGACATCACGCATTCGATGTATGTCATCATAGGTGCTTAGATTTAACTTTGGTAGGTCCGAGACATGACAATGTCTGCATGACAATGTTGTGCACGCGATGTATAATATCGTCATCAACTAGCACATAATGGACAGAGTACGTGCAAAGGACCTTCCTTGGGTCCAAAATTCTTTTTAAGCCTAAACAGAAAGTTTATGATTAAAGAAAAAGCAAATAAACCAACCATGCGTCCGTTGTTCTTCTTGCGGATTATATATAAATGATTGCAATTAGTCAATTTATTACTGTTTGCGTCTTAAAATAGCGTGATGAATCCGTGATATGAGCAAACCGGTGTGTTGAAAAATGCGAAGCCGTGTTTCGGGGAAAAGAAACGACACTATGGACTCTTTTTACATGCATCATGATGACCTCAAACACTTCCAATAACAAAAAAATTCTTTTTTGGAGCCTAAGAAAGATTGTCTTTCTGCAAAGGCAGTACCAGCACTTATAGCTTATAAATGCAAATGAAGAACCTCGTACTTGATCGAAGAAAACAGAGTTCACGGGGATAATATTATTCATACTATTCACGAAATGTGCGAGATATTCCGAAATATATTGTATTTCGCTTATTTTAAATAAAATGAAACGATTTTATTCTAACGTTGTTCATAATTTTATGGTACAATGTATATGCTGTTCTGACCTATGATTTTGTCATTTTCCGCATATATTATTTCATGGAATTTCAATATTATCAAAATATACTTGATTTATTATACGTGGTAAATCCGAAATTACTATTTACACAATTCAATATTATATTCGTAACGACACATACGAGAGCGATTACGAGCACATATATACGTATAATATAATATTAAAAACTGCAGTAACAATAAAAGAAGGCGGAATCGCAAGTAAACCTTTGAGCCGTTTAAATAATATAACAAAGTATTACTCATCACAACTATCCGCTGCTTAATAAAAGATATGATCCCGATTTACGAGATAAACACATGATCTTTTATGTATTAGATAATCATGGATTATGTCAACTTGTTTACGTATATAGTGGCTTAAAAAATGATGAGAAAATAACAGGTTATTAAATAAGAGGTTAAAAATAAAAATAGAAGGAACATGTTATAAATAAATGAATCGTTTGCTTCCATGGATATTGAATAAAATTAGTCGTATACTTTAACAATGACATGTATAATATTGGCTGTAAAAAAATGATTGTCAAATACATAATTGCGTGATATAATTATAATACTTAATAGCCGAAAAAGTACGGATAATATTATTTTTTGGTTTAGTGGATAGATAGTGATATGCACAAGCAGCATGTAATTTGAATATATACGTCAAGAAATTTCTAAGAATCAAAGACCGTGGTTAATATGAATAAGACGAAATTAAAACGTTCACAATTATCAATTTTTTCTCAAAAACATGCACACACATATATAGATAAAGACACACATCGATTTTTTCCGGGCCGCAAGCGATCTCATTTAATCTCATATTTTGTTCCATATTTTGATGAGAGTTTATTTCCTGACCGGTTGCTAGCATTCATTAAACACATATGAATCTATTATAAATGTAAAGCTAGTAACATAATAACGCAAAATTTCCACAGACAAACACCATTGCATATTAAATGAACTTGTGTAACTGGTTTCTGAGACGAGGTAAAAAGTATATAAAAAATAAACCTCATGTTATACGTCGGTAGTCACGTACGGATCCTTATTATTATTTCCCCTCTTTCACTTCTTATTATTATGTAAATCCTGATACGACAAACTATATACGACGAATACTGTGTCGAACAGCAGCAACTGGACATTCACTGTCGAAGATGTCGTCGCGTCTTATATTCCCATTCAATTGACCGTGTGATGAGTGAATTTATTTCAATTTGTCGTTTTAAACATTAAAGGTTCTAATTCTTTCCGTATATCGATAGCTCTATACTAGCGAATATATTACGGTCAAACGTGGTGCTCTATTCAGTTATCAGTGGGAACATATCCGATCGACATGGAGTACGTGATCGTCTTGTCAGTAATAGTCGGCGCCTTGGGTCTTTATTACTTCTTCTTCAAGGATCTAAACCAGTTCAAAAATCATGGCATACCGCATTTAAAACCTCTGCCGATGCTAGGCAATATGGGCCACATTATCTTCCACAGGAAATCGGTAGCTGAATTGGTGAAAATGTTATATGACGAGTATCCCGAAGCTAAATACGTCGGTATGTATGATTTCACTACACCGTTGATTATGCTGCGCGATCCTGACCTCATCAAGTCCGTCGCGCTCAAGCACTTTGACATGTTCCCGGATCATCGCACCCTTATCCCAGATGATCAGGATCCGATATTTTCTAAGACGCTTCTCTTTCTTCGCGGCGACTCGTGGCGAATGGCACGAAGCATGTTGAGCCCGGCTTTCACGACTAGTAAGATGAAAAGTATGTTCAAGCTTATGTCGGATTATGCTGTCAACTTCGCTAATTTCGTGACGCAGTTGTCACCGGAGCAGAGGATGATACAGATGAAAGACATCCTCGAGCGCTATACCAACGACACGATCGCCACTTGCGCTTTCGGCGTCAGCGTCGATTCCATGCGAGACCCAAAAAATCTCTTCTATTTGAACGGCAAAGAGGCGACAAGAATCAATAACGTCGACATTATCAAGTTCTTCATATTTAGGAGCATGCCCACGTTGGCACGGGTGCTTAAACTGAAGATCGTCAACGAGAAGAACGCTAAATTTTTCCGGAACCTTGTGCAGACCACCATTAAGATCAGAGACGATAAGAGTATCGTTCGGCCGGACATGTTACAATTGATGATGGAAAATAGAGACAAACAAGACGATAAGAAGGAATTGACAATCGAGGATATGACTAGCCAGGCCTTCATTTTCTTCTTTGGCGGTTTCGAAACCACTTCGACATTGATGAGTTTCGCTGTGCATGAGATCGCGGTTAACGAAGACGTACGGAAAAGACTGCAGGATGAAATCGATCAGGTGTTGGAGGACACAAACGGCCAAGTGTCGTATGAAGCGATCAACAACATGCAATACTTGGACGCTGTGGTGAACGAGGCTCTCAGGAAATATCCAGTCCTCCCGTTAATAGACAGATTGAGCGTGAAAGATTTCGAGTTGCCGCCAACGTTACCGGGCGTAAAGCCCTTTACCCTGAAGAAAGACCAAGCCGTGGTGATACCAATTTATGCACTTCACCATGACCCAAAGTACTTTAAAGAGCCGGACAAGTTCGATCCCGAGCGGTTTCTTGGCGAGCAGAAGAAACATACCCTCAACACTGGAGTTTATCTACCGTTTGGCTTGGGCCCCAGGATGTGCATAGGCAACCGATTTGCTCTGTTGAAGACGAAAGTGTTACTTTTCCACATGCTGGCACGCTGTGACTTTCTACCTTACGAGAAGACGCCGATACCGATTCAATTAGCTAAGGAAGGCTTCATTATAATGCCTGAGGGTGGTTTCTGGCTGAAAGTGGTACCGAAGAAGGAACCCCATCGCACCGTTGCAATTAATAACGCCAAAGGCACGTGTGAACTGTAGGAGAGAATTGTTTATTCCGCGTGATTTTTTGAGATTTCATATATAGGAGATATAGGAAATATTTGGTAATTAATATGAAATAAACTATTAAACACAAATAGCGATGCGTTTACAATAATAATGAACAAGAAAGGATTCTTCTTAGTCATCAATCTGTTTTCGATAATATCAAAAAATTATTGCAACACCTAAATAAACAGTTATCTTACGCATATGCGATACGTTTGTTTAAATTTCACAGGTTATTAACACCCAGTTCTATTTTTATCATCAACTCCCGCCAGGAATAACAATGGGACTGAGAATGTACAACTAATAATGAATATTTGATCGCGATTTCAATGGAGGCAGTTAATCTAAACCACATCTAGTAGGATTTATGGTAAATAGCAGAAATAAGCAGACATCAAGCACTTGAAACATCGCTGATGTTTAACATTAATAGCTCCAAGACCTGCGTAATGATGTTGTGCGCTTGCAAAATACTATATTGCGAACAACCTACACATTCAAATAAAACTAATACAACAGGTGATTTTCACACTGACAAGGGAACGGTCGGAGGTATCCGTTACTGATTTGGATAGGCTTTGGATATGTTATAAAGCATAAAAAAATATTAGACCCGTATTTTTTTTATGTGCTTATCTCGGTTTAGGGGGTGAAACCATCAGTTGAAGAAAAGGAAAGTTTTCGTTTTTAGCAAAAAGTACGAAGCATATGAAAAAATGGTTTATATAAAAGTTGTAGAGAATTTTATACTCCTTACAACTGTGCACTTCGATTTTGCAAAATTGCAAAATTTTGTTTACCTCCTCCCCTCCTCATTACTCTCGCAAATTTTTAAATTCTTGTTAGAATGAAAATAAAGAGTATCAAATACCTAATTCATTCATGTATAACAATAGAAAATGGAAGCCATTAATTTGGTTAATATAAGGAACGTAACATGGAGCTATAGACGCTGCGCTATAGGTAGGCGCTCCTTATTTACGCTATACTCGATATCTCTGTATTTTCTTTTGTACAAACTGATAAAAACTCCTAATAATATACGCATCGTATTAAATATCATATGAACGTGAGTTCGTATGCAGTTATTTCGTATCCAATGAAACAAATACGAAATCAATGGATATGCTATATCTATATATATCCATATGCTATATCCATATATATCCATATGTTATATCCATATATATCCATATGCTATAACATATCCAAAGCCCATCCAAATCGGTGACGGACACCTCCGACCGTTCCTTTGTGAGAGTTTCATCGTTGATGGCAAGAGGGAATGAAGGATGACAGATTTTTCTTGATGCCTGTTTTCACCTTCACAATCAGCATTCTAAGGATATGAACGCGAATACATAAATTTATTCTTAGCTGAGGAAAGCGGCGTGACTCACAAGCAGCGGAATTATTTATAGTATTCATTAAATATGCAAGATATTGCAATATATGAGTTCTAATTATTCAGGTAAAATAAAACGATTGTATTTTGATGTCGCTATAATTTTATGGAACAATTTCTGCGCTGTTCTGATGTATGATTTTGTCATCTTTTACATATATTGTTTCATAGGATTTTGATATCATCAGAATATATTTGTTTCTTTACAGCTAAAAAATCTGAAATTACTTATCATATGAGCCAGTCTTACATACATAGTAGCGACATGTACGATTTACATAATATAATTTTAGAATTTTAGGATCTTAGACTTTAGAACCTTGTGTGCGTGTTTATGACGACAGAACAAATCGAAACCACGAATAAATCTTCGAGGCGTTCGATGCGACAAAATACCATTAATCATAATCATTGCCGCGCAATAGAAAGATGATCTCATTATCGAATTAATTAGATGAGATCTTATGTATTAGATAAACATGAACCGTATAAGGTTGCATACGCAACATAATGCTCTCAGAAAAGGCATCTGAGGTTGGAGATACAACGAATCACTTTCTTCGATATAGGAAAGAATATATATTGCATTAAATTAGTCGTATTGCACCATCAATGTTAATATAAAATGTATAAATGTGTTCTCTTAGAATTCACTGGACGATGCGTATGTTACAAGTAAGATAATAATAACGCAAATCTTGCACGTACAAATATTACAGAGTATTATGTTAACTTGTGTAATTGACCTTGAAGCCAACAGTTCATAGGCGATTTAATCTTCGAGACATAGTGCGCACATGTATTCTTCAGTTACGTAAGTAATCACACGATAAGCTATATATGACAAAGATTGCACGGAGCAGTAGTTGGTTGCTCACTGTCAACGAAGTTGTTGCTGCGCTTTTGAGCTTCATTCTCTGCTCGCGCTTAATCGGTTATAACGATAAAAGAAATATTTCGCTAGTTTGTCGTTTTAAACATTAGGGATTTTACTTGCTTTCGTACCGACAGCTTTATACTCGCGAATAGATTACAGTCGAACGTAGTGCTTCATCCAATTGCCAGTTAGAACGAATCAATCGACATGGTATACGTGATCATCTTGTCAGTGATAACCGCTGCCTTGGGTCTTTATTGCTTCTTCTTCAAGGACCTGGACCAGTTCAAGAATCATGGCATACCGTACTTGAAACCTTTGCCAATTGTGGGCAACATGGGACAAATAGTCCTCTTGCAAGAAATCGATGGCCAAACATATGAAAATGATGTATGACGAATACCCCGAAGCCAAGTACATCGGTGTGCACGATTTCTCCGCGCGAATAATAATGCTGCGTGATCCTGAGCTCATCAAATCTATTGCGCTCAAATACTTCGACATGTTCATGGACCATCGCTCCTTCGTCAAGGATGATCAGGATCCGCTGATGTCTAACAACTTGTTCTCCCTCCGTGGCGACAAATGGCGGGAGATACGGGCAGTGCTGAGCCCGGCCTTCACGTCAAGCAAGATGAAGAACATGTTTAAACTAATGTCGGATTACGCAACTGATTTTGTCAAATTCATAATGGAATTGCCGGCGGAGCAGAGAGTGATGGAAATGAAGGACATCTTCACGCGCTACACCACTGATGTGATCGCCTCCTGTGCCTTCGGCATCAACGTCGACTCCATGCGGGACCCGAAAAATTTCTTCTACATAAATGGAAAGAAAGCGGCCATTTTCGAGGGCTTCGCAATCCTCAAGTTGTACATATTCCAAAACTTGCCGTGGTTAGCTCGAATGATCAGACTGAAGTTCGTCGACGAGAAAATCGGAAATTTTTTCCGTAAGCTTGTGGAGACAACCATCAGGATCAGAGATGAGAAAGGTATCATCCGGCCGGACATGCTGCAGCTGATGATGGAAAGTAGAGGCAAGAAAGACGGTAGGAAGGAATTGGAGATCGAGGATATGACCAGCCAAGCTTTTAGCTTCTTCTTTGGCGGTTTCGATACTACTTCAACGTTAATGTGCTTCGCCGCATATGAGATCGCAGTGAACGAGGATGTGCAAAGGAGATTGCAGAACGAGATCGATCAGGTGCTGGAGGACACGAACGGCGAAGCGTCGTATGAAGCGATCAACAGCATGGAGTACCTGGAAGTTGTACTGAACGAAACTCTTAGAATGTACCCGGTCGCCGTGGTGATTGACAGATTATGCGTGAAGGATTTCGAATTGCCTCCTGCATTACCGGGCGCAAAGCCCTACTTCGTGAAAAATGGGGACGCCGTGTGGTTGCCGATTTACGGACTTCAAAATGATTCCAGATATTTCGAAGATCCTGAGAAATTCAATCCTGATCGATTTGTTGGCGAGCAAAAGAAACATATCCTCAATAGCGGAGCTTATCTGCCGTTCGGGTTGGGCCCCAGGATGTGCATAGGTAATCGATTTGCCCTGTTGGAGACGAAGGTACTATTTTTCCACCTGCTGGCACGATGCGACCTGCTACCTTGTGAGAAGACACCGATACCGCTAAACTTATCTAAGGGTAGTTTCATCATGAAGGCGGAGGGTGGTTTCTGGCTGAAAATGGTGCCAAGAAAGGATCCGCATCGCACTGTTGCTATCAACGTTGTAAAAACACACAATCTGTAGACAAATTTTTGTTGGAAATTTGCCTAGTCTTATGAATGCAGTGGTAACAAATGCGAAGGACGTTGATAATTAAGAAGAAAACAAATTCATATCGAATAAATAATTATACGTGATAAGAAAGACAAAAAAAGATTCTCCTTAATCATAAGTCCTCCAATTTTACGAAATTCGATAAGCAGAGATAACAGTGAAGCGATCAAATTTTTTTATATAAAGCGATTTACAGATAATGAGATAAACAGAATGATACAATGATTGTATGTATGATACAATGATACAATGATTGTATGTAGTTAGAACGAATGAAATTAGATAGAAAAGTCTTTCAATAAATTTGTAGACTTTGCAATATAATTATTAAGAAACTAATGAAAGACTGTCAGACAATATATATGTGTGTGTGCGCGCGCGCGTGTTCGTGCGTGCGTGTGTGGGAGTATTTAATGGTCGTAGACTTATGTACGATGAATAGTAATCATTAAATGAACATAACAATTAAGAGATATGAGATAAAACCGAAAGGACTTTTTCCATTGAATTAGAGTCCAATATCTATTGGATTAAATAAATATCGTCTTTACAAAAGATAAAATAAGAAGCTTATCATTTTATCAACAATAACATTGATATCTCTTAATTAAAATATATTGTAGATATTGTTGTACAAAAAGAATAAATAATTTTATTTGAGATAAACATACGATATACACAAAGTGAAATGTCATTAAACGTCATTAAATTTTGGTTAAAAAAGTAATAATAAAGTCGAAACGAAAGCTACAGAATTATATGTTTGTCCCCGAAAACCGGTCCTTTACTATTAGAAGCTTGTGTGCACAGATTATAGTTGCTTACGTTATACCTCGTCTTTTTGAGAGAGATCTTATTTTCTGCAAGAGACTCTCTTCTGATCGATTATTACGATCGATATTTACTGAACTTGTATACAAGTTATCGAGCGAACGAGAAAATTATACTAAAAAAATTGAATAGACAAGTGCAGTTAGCGCAGTATTTCATCATGTAACTGATTTTTTTATCAATTTCATCGGAAATATGACATTCAATATTGTTCACCAGTATATCAAAGAGGTCTTTGCTCAATTGCGTAAGTGATGGTCCGACGAGTCACATATACGAGGAAGATTGCGTGAAGTAGCGGCAGTTGCCTGTCGAGTGTCGACGCACACCGTTACGCAGATCGTACACTCTCTCTTCGTGCTTAGTCAGCAGATGAAACGTCATCCACAATTGCGTAAGTCCGACGCATAAACACCGGAGCGATTCTAAATCGGTCTGTATTAACAGCTTTACGCGTAACACACCAACAGGACGTTGCACAGTGTCGTAGTTTCCAGTTCAGTGAAAACAAATCCCATCGATATGGAGTACGTGATCGTTTTGTCAGTGATAGCCGGAGCCTTAGGCCTGTATTACTTCCTTTTCAAGGATCTGAACCGGTTCAAGAAGCACAATATACCACATCTAAAGCCATTGCCACTGGTAGGTAACATGGGACCGACGTTCCTGCGTATGAAATCTACGGCCGAGCTCGTGAAGGAAATGTACGATGTGAACACTGAAGCCAAGTACAGCGGTGGATACGACGTTGGTACGCCATTGATAATATTGCGTGACCCTGAGCTCATTAAGAACATCGCGCTCAAGCATTTCGACTCGTTTCCGGATCATCGCAGTTTCGTCCGAGAGGAACAGGAACCGTTGTTCGGTAAAAACCTATTCTCACTCTGCGGCGACAGGTGGCGTGAGGTGCGGAGCACACTAAGTCCGGCTTTCACGTCCAGCAAGATGAAAAACATGTTCAAGCTAATGTCGGACTACGCAGCCGATTTTGCGAAATTTATAGCGGAGTTGCCGACGGAGCGGAGAGTGATGGATACGAAGGACGTCTTCACGCGCTACACCAATGACGTAATCGCTACTTGCGCCTTCGGCGTCAGCGTAGACTCCATGCGAGATCCGAAAAATCTTTTCTACGTATACGGCAAAGAGGCGACAACTTTTACCACTATCACTTTAATAAAAATGTACGTTCACAGGTCGCTACCGTGGGTGGCACGAATATTCAGGCTGAGAATAATCAGCGAGAAGATTGCGATATTCTTCAAGGATCTCGTGGAGACTACTATTAAGACCAGGGACGAGCAAGGTATCACCCGGCCGGACATGTTGCAGCTGATGATGGAAAGTAGAAGTAAGAAAGGCGGTAAGAAGGAATTGACAATTGAGGACATGACTAGCCAAGCTTTCAGCTTCTTCTTCGGCGGCTTCGATAGCACCTCGACATTAATGTGCTTTGCTGCGCACGAGATTGCGGTTAACGAAGAAGTTCGAAAGAGACTGCAGGATGAAATTGACCAGGTGCTGGAGGAAACAAACGGCCAAGCGCCGTATGAAGCAATCAACCAAATGGAGTATCTGGACGCTGTGGTGAACGAGGCTCTCAGGAAGTACCCGGTCGCCGTGGCAGTTGACAGATTATGCGTGAAGGATTTCGAGTTACCACCAACGTTACCGGGCACGAAGCCCTACGTCGTGAAGTCAGGGGAAATATTGTGGTTACCGATTTATGGTCTTCAGCATGACACCAAGCACTTCGAGGAGCCGGAGAAGTTTAACCCGGATCGGTTTCTTGGCGAGCGGAAGAAAGAAACCCTTAACACCGGGGCATTTCTGCCATTCGGCTTGGGTCCCAGAATGTGCATTGGCAATCGGTTCGCTCTGATGGAGACGAAAGTGCTACTTTTTCACCTATTGGCCCGGTGCGACCTGCTACCTTGTGAAAAGACACCGATACCGATCATGTTGGCCAGGGATGGCTTCACCATGAAGCCGGAAGGTGGTTTCTGGCTGAAAGTTGTACCGAGAAATAATCCACATCGTACCGTCCTTGTCAACGTCGCGAACGGCACACGAGATTTATAGGAGCATATTTGCTGATTTGAAAATCTTAAAAATTTATATGTAAATGGTTTAGAGAATATTGACAATGAATAAGAAACTGAATCCATGCTAGATATATATATAAAAATTTATGATGAAAACCAAAAAAATGAAAAAGTTAATAGAAAATAAAATGATTTACTTGTAATCGCTAATATTCAGACTCAGTGATATTAGAAAATTGCTTCAACGTCAAAGCCTCAAACTATCTTACACATAACTGTGTAGAATTTATCAATCTTGCGCGTTAATGCATTTTTAGATAACGAAACAAGTATTAAAGAATGATAAAACGTACATTCATTTACCGAGTAGTGAAGTATATAACCCGCAATGAAATGCGGGATATAATGAAGAGATAATATCCAACATTTATAGATGTGTTGCTTTCTAATTATTTTTTATTTCCTCATATGTATGCTAATTACGAATAGGTTTACATCTGACATTCGTTGTCATTTGTTACACTTTGCATAGCATATCTTGCGTCGGAAACATATAGTTCTTGTAGAAACACAATTATCATCTATCGTTAAGGAAACAGCAGAAAAGACAAAAAAACGTAAAAAGTGGAAAGCCGGTATCTCTTTCCATTATAACGACCAATTAGAAGTCATCGTTGCGCTTTATGTTTAACAGAAGCTACAATCACATCTCGCCCATTGGGTCAAGTTTGCGAACTTATATTAACTGAACTACTCGTGTAAGTTAATTGAACGTTAATGTTCGTTTGAATCAAACAGATATCTTTCTCTGATACAAAGAGTATATCTGTTAGATTAAATTAATATTACTAACATGAGTGATAATATAAGATTCTCGCTTCACAACCGATAATATAGATATGACGAATGTCTGTCGAATAATATCTAGATTTCAACATGCAAGGAGTGCGATATTTTATTAAAAATGCGACATGGATATAAAGTTGTTAAATGTCACCGAGACTTCGAATGAATAAAGGAATAATAAACCAAAAGAATAAATAAAAAAATATGAGTTTCTTTCCACAAATCATTTCCTTCCAAACGTTGTCTTGCATCAGCCAGATTACATATTTTCATCTTTTTCCACAAGAGATCTTTCCCATTGTGATTATGAGATTTTATTGAACTCCATAAATTTTATTAAATTTGATAATAATTATGTATGTAAATTCCGCATATAACCTTGTCCGCTATATGACCAGACCAACAGCATATTTCATCAATTTGCGTATCAAACTCCAACAGCAACACTCAAACACTTACGATTTGATTTTTGCTATAATATATCCGATTATCTTCTTGTTGCGTAAGTATGTAACGACTCTCGTTAACTCGCATATACTTGCGCAGAGCGATAGCAGTCGACTACTGAGTGCTAACGGCGCATCATTGCATTTATTGATTCATTCCATCGTTCCATTTCCCCGTTTAATCACCAGCCGAAATCAGCACTTACGATTAATTAAGTTCACCACATAAACATCGGATATTCTACCGTTTACATAAATACCGTTCACATTAAGTCCATAAACCTTGAAAAAAATCGCAAAAAGTGAAATGTGTACAGTATTAGTATTAGTATTAAAATAGTATTATATATAATACTTATAAAAAACTAAATTATCATTTATCGTCAAAGAAGCAGCAAAAAAGATAAGAAGCGTAAAGAGTGGAAAGCCGGTGTCTCCTTCCGTTACGACTACCAATTAGAAGTCATCACGGTACATCGCATTTAATAGAAGCTATGATCACATCCCAACCATTAGATCAAGTTTATGGACTGTCCTGTATTAACTGAAGGTTGACGTTCATTTGAATCAAACAGATATCTTTCTCTGATATAATCTACTATCTACATATCTACTAGTTTAAATTAATATTACTAAGACGAGTGATAATATAAGATCATGGATTTAAAACTGTTAACATGGATTAAAACTGTTAATATAAATATGACGAATGTCTGTCGAGTAATATAGATTTCGACATAAAAGAAATGCAGTATTTTGTTAAAACTAAAAATGCGACATGCATATCTTGCATGCAAAGTCTTTAAATGTCACCAAGACTTCGGATGAATAAAGGAATAATAAACCAAAAGAATAAATAAAAAAATATGAATTTTCCTCCGCAAATCATTTCCTTCCAAACGTTGTCTTGCATCGGCTAGGTTTTATCTCATATTTTCGTCCTTTTCCATGAAAGATTGTTCCCGTTGAGATTTTATCGGACTTCATAAATTTTGTTAAGTTAGATAATAGCAATGTAAATTCCGCATAGACCAGTACAACAGCATATTTCATCAATTTTCGTAACAGACTTCAGCAGCAATATTCAAACACCTACATACGACGTGATCTTGGCTATAATGTATCCGATTAACTTCTCGTTGCGTAAGGTATATAACGACTCTCGTTAACTCGTATATACGAAGACGCTTGCGCAGTGTGGTAGCAGTCGACCACTGAGTGCCAACGGCATATCGTTATACTTGTTGATTTATTCCATTTTACCCGCTTAACTACCAGTCGAAATCAGCACTTAATATCGAATATTCTAATTCCCACTTCGACGTTGATAAACCAAGAGGAAAAGTCGTGAAAAGTGAAATGTGTACAGTTCACTGAGAAGATCGGATCAATATGGTATACGTGATCGCACTATCTTTAATAGCCGGCGCCTTGGGCCTCTATTACTTCCTCTTCAAGGACCTTGACCTCTTCAAGAAGAATGGTATACCGCATATGAAACCTCTGCCGTTAGTGGGCAACATGGGATCAACATTCTTGCGTCAGAAGTCGCTAGCCGAACTTGTGAAAGAGCTGTACGATGTGCATCCTGAGGCCAAGTATACCGGTATGTACGAAATGACGAGTCCGGTGGTGTTACTGCGCGATCCTGAGCTCATCAAGTCCATCGCGCTCAAGCATTTTGACACGTTCCCGAATCATCGTAGCTTCATCCAGGATGATCCGCTCTTTTCCAAGAATTTGTTCTTTCTTCGCGACGATAGATGGCGTGAGGTGCGAAGTATGCTGAGCCCGACCTTTACCTCAAGTAAGATGAAGGTCATGTTCAAGCTCATGTCGCACTGTGCAGCCGACTTCGCCAAATATGTGGCGCAATTGCCGGAGGAGCAGAAGATATTGGATATGAAAGAATATTTTGCACGTTACACCAATGATGTGATAGCTACTTGCGCCTTCGGCGTCAGCGTCGACTCTATGCGAGATCCCAACAATCTCTTCTACCTATACGGAAAGGAGGTGACTTTATTCAGCATCATTGTCTTCTTCAAGTTTTATATATTCAAGACCCTGCCTCGGCTAGCGAAGCTCTTAAAATTGAAATTAATTCGCAAAGAGATGGCGAAGTTCTTTAGAGATCTCGTGGAGATCACTATTAAGACTAGGGACGAGCAAGGTATTACCCGACCGGACATGTTGCAGCTGATGATGGAAAGTAGGGGTAAGAAAGAAGGTAGGCAGGACCTGACGATCGATGACATGACCAGTCAGGCCTTCATCTTTTTCTTGGCTGGCTTCGACAACACCTCGACATTAATGTGTTTTGCTGCGCATGAGATCGCGGTGAACGATGACGTGTATAAGAGACTGCAAAGTGAGATCGACCAGGTGCTGGAGGAAACAAACGGTCAAGTGTCTTATGAAACGATCAACAACATGGAGTACCTGGACGCTGTAGTAAATGAAACTCTCAGGATGTATCCACTCGCTATTATGTGGGACAGAGAATGTATAAAGGATTTCGAGCTGCCGCCGACGGTAACAGGTGCGAAACCATTCATCTTAAAGAAGGGACAATCCGTGTGGGTACCAGTATACGGGCTTCATCATGACCCCAAGTACTTCAAAGACCCGGAAAAGTTTAATCCTGACAGGTTTGTCGGCGAGCAGAAGAAACACACCCTTAATACTGGGGTATATCTGCCGTTCGGTTTGGGCCCCAGAATGTGCATTGGCAATCGATTTGCTTTGTTAGAGACGAAAATATTACTTTTCCATCTACTGGCACAGTGTGACCTACTACCATGCGAGAAGACGCCGATTCCATTGGAGTTAGAAAAGCTTGGTTTCATTATGAAGCCTAAAGGTGGTTTCTGGCTGAGAGCAATGCCGAGAAAGAAACCATGACACACTAACGCTGTTAATATTACGAAGAGCGCGTGAGGCGCGTAGAAAAACGTTCGATGGCCTGCCGAGTCATGAAAATTCATTTGTAACAAGTACTAAGAACATTAATAATTTAGACGAAATAATATTCATAATGGATAAACAATGATATAACTATAATGAATAAATAATAATAATAAATGCAAAGATAATTATGCATATATTTCGACGATCAGACGGTCGGACATACAGAAATTATTTTCTATGTTTCTGCTTATTTCTCTCAATCTTTCCATCTAGACAGCTGTATCGTTTGTAGGTAATAAAATAATAGTTTTTGAATCAACGAGAATCATACATTCACATTGTAAAACAATATTGTAGTTTTTATACATTGAATAGTTGTAAAATTTCATACAATGTATATATATCATATAATATGCAGAACAACAAAGACATATGTCTAAAAACTGAAGTCATAGTTTTGCTCGAACTGGGAGGCAATATATATATGAAATTAAAATAATATTCAATTTAAAAAGGATAAAATATGAAGGTTATCATTTTACAGAAAATAACATTGATATTGTGATATTCTTTAATTAAAATATAGATCGCATAGTACAACAGGATAAATAATCCTATTTCAGATAAATAAAAGATATATACACATTAAAAAATCATCAAATGTCACCAGTTTCATATAAGAGTAAAAATAAAACAAAACATAACTTTTACACATTTTACACCAATTATACTTTTCTTCCTGAAGCTTGATCCCTTTGAATCTGATGTAAATAGATAATAGTTGATTACGTTATATCTCGTCTTTTGATCTTATTTTTCACGAGAAATTATCTTTTGGTCTATTATTACGACTCACTACATAAGTTATCGAGAAAACGAGACAATGATAATACAAAAATTATATAGATAACTGCAGCTACAAATCTCACCAACTCATGCATTTCATGTGTGTCAACGTATTAGAGATATTTTATACAATATTTACTATCGTGTATCCCAAAATAACACCAATTATATATATAAGTGATGACTCAATGAGTCATTTACCAGCAACAATGCGCCGAGCATAAGCAGTCGCCCGTTGAGTGTCAGTGGCACTCAAGTAACTTGCTTGATTCTCTTCTTGCGATTAATCAGTACATGAAACGACATTCAGAATTATGTAAGTTGCGTAAACACATGGGTGATTCCAAATTCACAGATTTATGCGCATTAATATACCTACAGAACGCCATTCATAGCCTCCAGCTCAGTAAAAACAAATTCCATCTATATGGTGTATATGATTGTCACTGATAGTCGGAGACTTAGGCCTCTATTACTTCCTCTTGAAGGACCTGACGTAGTTCAAAACATGGTATACCACACCTAAGGCCACTGCCGCTAATGGGTATCATGGGAACGATGTTCCTGCGTATCAAATCTACGGTCGAGTTCGTGAAGGAAATGTATGAACACTGAAGCTAAAAACACAGGTGAGTACGACATTACTGTGCTGTTGATAATATTGCGTGACTCAGAGTCCATCGAGAAAATCGCGTAGAAGCATTTCGACATTTCTTCGGATCATCGCAGTTTTATCTGGGAGAATTAGGAAGTTGTTCAATAAAAACTTGTTTTCGCTCTGCGATGATAGGTGACGTGAGATATAAACCACACTGGGTCTGCCCTTCACGTCCAACAAGATGAAGAACATGTTCAAGCTCATGTCGACCTATGTTGGATTTTGCTAAATTTTTGGCGTAGTTGCCAGCAGAGCAGAGGGTGATAAAGATAAAAGACAGTTTTACTTGCTACATCAACGAGGTGATTGTCATTTGCACTTTTAGCATCAGCGCCGATTCTAACATGTTACGCCTGGTAAACCTTTTCTACGTATACAGCAAAAAGATAACGACTTCCAGCATCGTCATCTAATTGTAAATGTATGTTTCCACAATACTGCCGCTCCTGGCACGGCTGTTCCAACTGTTATTCCGTAGGAAGATCGCGAAATTTTTTCAGAATCTTGTGGAAATCATCACGTGATAACAATTCGTGCAATGGTTCCCATAGCACGTAATATTACGTAATATTATAGAAATATTATAGTAATATTGCAATATTATTACAATATTTCTATAATATTACGTAATATTACGTGCTATATGGGTTATACATACATCGAAAAATTCTTTACCAGGTCTGTAAATATGAAGCTAGAATTTGCCCATAGATGGCCCTAGCTGTCAATGTATAATAGTTACCGTCAAACCGGTCATTGGCGCCATTTCAATTTGCTGACATTTGACAAAGATTTTCAACTCACAACAATACAAGTTTCATACAATAGCATAGTTTGTAATAGCGTTGAACATGTCGAATTTTGTGCCCGGAAGCTACGATTTGCGGACAGCATTGATTTTCTGTTACCATTTGAAGAAAACTGCTGCAGAATCGCATCGAATGCTTGTCGAAGCTTACGGTGAGCATGCTGTTGGTAAATTACAGTGCTTTGAATGGTTTAAAAAATTCAAACGTGGCGATTTTGACATGAAAAACGAAGAACGTGGAAGACCATCGAAAAAGTTTGAAGGCAGCGAATTGCAAGTATTGTTGGATGAGGATGACGCTCAAACGCAACAGCAAGTCGCGGATCAATTAAATGTGACACGAGAAGCCGTCTCCATACGTTTGAAAGCCATGGGAAAGATCCAGAAGATGGGAAAATGGGTTCCACATGAACTGAATGAAAGACAGCAGGAAAACCGAAAAACCACTTGCGAAATGCTGCTCGCCAGGTACAAAAGAAAGTCATTTCTCCATCGAATTGTGACTGGCGATGAAAAGTGGATATATTTAGAGAATCCTAAGAGTAAAAGATCATGGGTAACTCCAGGCGAACCATTGACATCAACTGTAAGGCCAAATCGCTGGACGGAAGACAATGCTCTGTGTTTGGTGGAATCAGAAGGGTGTGATTTATTATGAGCTGCTAAAACCTGGCGAAACCGTTAATACTGAATGCTACCGAGAACAAATGATCTATTTGAATCAAACTTTGAGTGAAAAACGACCAGAATATCAGAAAAGGCAACACAAAGTGATTTTGCTTCATGATAATGCACCATCACACACAGCAAAACTGGTCAAGGAAACGATTGAGACGTTTAGTTGGGAAATACTTTCGCATGCGGCTTATTCACCAGACTTGGCTCCGTCCGATTACTACTTATTTGCATCGATGGGACACGCACTTGCTGAGCAGCTTCACTTCTTACGAAAATGTACGAAAATGGCTCGATGACTGGTTTGCCTCAAAAGAGTAACAGTTTTTTTGGCGTGGCATCCACACATTGTCAGACAGGTGGGAAAAATGTATAGCTAGCGATGGGCAATACTTCGAATGAAATATTTTTTATTATTTTCATACAATAAACGTGTATTTTCTATACAAAAATTCCGGTTTCATATTTACATACCTGGTAAGATCAAACACTAAGACAGGGCTGAAAGAATAAACTAAATAGTATTAAAAATTCAGACTTATCGACTTTTCTCCGATACCAGTTTATTTATTATCGTAGTTTCCTGCTGTCACGTTAGACCTCGTATCTTGTTTTTGCATTTTTATGTAAAAGACTTTCCAACTATACCCTTGGAATTCATTAAACTGTGTATGTGTGTATGTGGGTATGTAGTGCAAAATAAATAAAATAGTGAAAACGTACTTTGCATAGGCGAATATTACAGTGTGTTACATTAACGTGTGCAACTGAATTTTGAGTACACAACAAATGCGCGAAATAATCTTCGCTGCTAATTATACACGTATAATTTTCTATTCCATACGCAATGACATGAAAACAAAACAAAAAAATATATATATATATAACAAGATATGGACAAACGAAGAGCAGTTGGCCATTTACTGTTAACGACGTTGCTGCGTTACCTACTTCGTGGTGCATTACTTATTTGCGCCTAGTCGATTGCATCATAAAAGAACATTTAATTAAGTTTACCGTTTTCTTGGAGATTTACTTGCTTTCATACTTACTGGTTTATACTCGCGAACACATTCTGATTGAACATCACGCGGTATTATATCCAGTTTAGTGAGAACACATCCGATCGACATGATGTACGCTATCGGCTTGTCACTGATAATCGGTGCCTTCGGCCTTTATTATTTCTTCTTTAAGGATCTGTATCTGTTCAAGAATTATAGCATACCATATTTGAAACCTTGGCCACTAGTGGGCAACATGGGACAGGTGATCTTCGGTAAGAAATCGTTAAATGAATTCGTGAAAATAATGTATGACAAGTATCCTGGAGCCAAGTATATCGGTATATACGACATCTTCGAACCAGTGATAATGCTACGTGACATTGAACTCATTAAGTCCATCGCAATCAAGCACTTTGACATATTCTCGGATCATCGTAACTTCATCCAATATGATCAGGATCCGCTCGCATCCCAGAATTTGTTCCTTCTACGTGGCGATAAGTGGCGAAATATACGATCAATACTGTCTCCGTCTTTCACATCTAGCAAGATGAAAACTATGTTCAACTTAATATCTGACTACGCTGAAGATTTCACCAATTTCGTGGTGCAACTGCCACCAGAAAAGAGGGTGATGGAGGCCAAGGACGTCTTTAAGCGCTATACCACCGACATAATCGCCACTTGCGCGTATGGCATCAGTATTAACTCTATGCGAAATCCAAACAATCTTTTCTACATATTCGCAAATGATAAAACTTTTTTGAAGACGTTAAACGTCCTGCATTTGACTATAAATAGATGCTTTCCGTGGCTAGGGCGGATACTCAAATTCAAGTTCGTTAACGAGAAGATGGGAAAATTTTTTCAGAACATCGTTGAAATCTCTATCAGAACCAGGATCGAAAACAATATAGTTCGGCCAGATATGCTGCATCTAATGATGGAGAGCAGAGACCGAGAAAATAATAGCTTAAATTTAACAATGGAGGACATGGTCAGCCAAGTCTTCGCTTTTTTCCTCGCTGGTTTCGAAACTAGCTCGACATTAATGTGTTTCGCCACGCACAAGATTGCAGAGAATGAAGACGTACAGAGAAAATTGCAGAATGAGATTGACCACGTACTGGAGAATACAAACTGCCAAGTATCGTACGAAGAGATCAACGACATGGAATATCTGGGTGCTGTGCTGAACGAAGCTCTCAGGATGTATCCTGTCGTTATGGTGATTGACAGAATATGTTTGACGGAGTTTGAGCTGCCGCCGACATTAACAGGTGCAAAACCCTTCACAATGAAAAAGGGACAAGGCATTTTGATCCCAATATATGGACTTCATTATGATCCCAAATATTTTGAAGAGCCGGATAAATTCAATCCCGACCGATTTATTGGTGAGCAGAAGAGATATATTGACAAAACGGGAGCTTTTTTGCCGTTTGGTATAGGTCCCAGAAAGTGTATTGGTTATCGATTTGCTCTGATGGAGATAAAGTTGTTATTGTTCCACCTACTGGCACGGTGTGATCTTTTGCCTTGCGAAAAGAATCAGATTCCGCTGAAGTTTGCTAAGCACAATATCTTTCTAGGCACCGAAAGTAAATTATGGCTGAAAGTGAAGCCGCGAGAGAACCCACATCGCACCGTCGTCGTCAACGTCAGTAGTTCGGTGAATGTTGACAATAAATGAGAAACAATATTTATACCCTAGACGTACCCCTAAAAATTTATAACGGAAAACAAAAAAATGATAAAGTTAATGGTAACTAAAGAAGTTCATTTATAATCGCTAATTCTCGAAGTCTCAAAGAAAGGATAAAGAAGTGGAAATGAGCCTTTAGAATGTGGTTTGCTGCAATAGATATTCCCTCAACTGTATATTTAGCATCCCAAACATTAGCTTTAGATATCTTTTATTCTTTTCGTAAATTAAAAAAAAAAGGAATTTGAAAACGTTGATGTGTCATCAGATCAAATAACCGCTTGACACCGCAATAGATTTCAAGAAAAGAAGAAAAAAGGAACATAAAGGAATATCTATTGCAACAAATCGCTTTCCAAAAGCGCATTTGTTATCGCACTTCTGGTCCTCTCCTGGTCAAAAGTATTAGAAAATTGCTTCAACGTCAAGGTATCAAACTATTTTAGACATGGTTCTGTAGAATTTATCAATTTTGCACGTTATTGCGTTTTCAAATAACAGAACGAATATCAAAGGAAGATAAAGTGCTATCTAATCTGTAATGAAATATAATGAAGAGATAATATTTGGCACTTACAAATGTATTGCTTCTTAATTATTTCTTATTTTCTTATATGTATGCTAATTACGAACAAATTTACATCCGACATGTTATTCGTTACAACTTGCACAGCATATCTCGCGACAAAAATAGATATTTCTTGTAAAAACACAATTATCATCTATCATCTATAAGAAAGCAGTAAAAAAGACAAGAAGCATCTGGACTGGAAAGCCGGTGCCACCTTCCCTCACAACTACCAATTAGAATTTATCATTATACATGCATCCTTTAATACAAGCTTTAAAAGAAGCTATGATCACATCCCGACCATTGGGTCAAGTTTGCGAATTGTCCTGTATTAATTGAACACTGACGTTCATTTACATCAAACAGATATCTTTCCCTGATACAAAGAATATATTTGCTATATTAAATTAATATTATTAACACGAGTAATAATATAAGATTCTCGCTTTACCACCGAAAATATAGATATGACAAAAGTCTGTTGAGTAATACATAGATTCCAACATACACGGTGTGCAATATTTTGTTGAAATAAAAAATGCGACACATACATAAAGTTTTTAAATGTTATTGAGATTTCGAATGAATAAAGGAATTATAAACCAAAAGAATAAATAAAAAAATATGAATTTCCCTCCGCAAATCATTTCCTTCCAAACGTTATTTTGCATCGGCCAAATTTTATATTTCCATCAAGAGACTGTTGATTATGAGATTTTATCGGATTCTGACAACTTCGGACATCAAATGTCACCAATCTGATTTTAGGGTAAAAATAAATCAAGATATACAATTTTTACACAATTATATTTTTTTTCCTGAAATCTGATTTCTATAGGTCTTATGTAAATAGATAATACTTACGTTGTATCTAGTCTTTTGATTTTATTTTTCACGAAAGATTATCTTTTGTTTTATTATTACGATTCACTGAATGTTTACATAACCATCATAATTCGATATAATCAGGAACTGTTGTTCGGTAAAAACTTATTCTCGCTCTGTAGCGATAAGTAACGCGAGGTGCGAACCACGCTGCGTCCGGCCTTCACGTCCAGCAAGATGAAAAATATGTTCAAGTTCATATCGGACTATGCAGTAGATTTTACTGAATTAACAACGCAGTTGCTAGCAGAACAGAGATGTGTAAAACGACAGTTTTACACGCGCTACATCAACGACATAATTGTCACTTGCGCTTTTGATATCAGCGTCGACTCTACGCCTCTTCTACTATATGTATGGCAGAAAGATAACGACCTCTAGCACCGTCAGCTAATGGTAAATGTACATTTCCACGATGCTGTCGCAGCTGGCACGACTGTTCCTACTATTATTCTGTAGAAAGATAGCAAAATTTTTTTAAAATCTTGTGGAGATCGTCATGCGATAACAATGCATGCAAACGGCATATACTTTGGATATACATAAGTCGAAAAATTCTTCAGGATCAAACAACAAGACAGGGCTAAAAGAATAAACTAAATAGAATTAAACAATTCAGACTTATCGACTTTTCTCTAAAACCAGTCTATTTATTGCCTAAGTTTCTTGCTGTCATGTTAGACCTCGTATTTTATTTTTGCGTTTTTATGTAAAAGTCTTTCCTAATCTCTACTTAGAATTCACTGAACTATGTATGTGTGTATGTGTGTGTGCCTATGTGTCCCTGTATTACAAAATAAATAAAACAGTAAAAACGCGTACTTTGCATAGGCAAATATCACAGTATCTTACATTAACGTGTGCAACTGAATTTTAAGTGAACAGCATAATAAATATATAATCTTCGCTGTTTACCGTACACGTCTAATTTTCTATTCCATACGTAATGACATGAAAAAAGAAATATATATACCGGGTACTAAATTTCAAACAGGTAGCAAGTAAAAAACTTCGGAAACTATGAAAGATATTAAAAAAGCTAAAACACGTGTTCCATGATTTCGAAGGGAAAAGAAAATGGCATTATCAGTTTTTTATTCAGAGGGCATTTTCAAGGTCAGTTGAAAATCAACTTAATTTTTTTAAATAGAAAGTCCAATTTTTTATTATATCTTCTTTTTCTACCAATTAATTTTAACAACTTTTGTCCGAAACATTTTTTTATTTGCCTAATATATTTTGAAACATTTAAGGAAAACTTGGTAACTTTTTCAACACTTAACTTACGATATCTCGCTAACTCATCGATCTTCGGAAATTTCAAAATTATCAAATTAACAAAAGTTAGGGCACTATTATAATATTGCCCTAAAGGGCACTATTATAATATTACAATAATATATTCTTGATAGTAAAGAAAGTAAAAAAGTCTAATACTATTTTCTCTTTCGGCGAATAGTTATCGAGATATCGTAGGTTAAATGTTGAAAAAATTACCAAGTTTTCCTTAAATGTTTCAAAATATATTAGGCAAATAAAAAAATGTTTCAGACAAAAGTTGTTAAAATTAATTGGTAGAAAAAAAAGATATAATAAAAAATTGGGCTTTCTATTTAAAAAAATTAAGTTCAACTGACCTTGAAAATGCTCTCCAAATAAAAAATTGATAATGCTATTCTCTTTCCCCTTCGAAATCATGGAACACATGTTTTAGCTTTTTTTAATATCTTTCATAGTTTTTCAGAGTTTTTACCTGTTACGTTTGAAATTTAGCACCTTATATATAGAACAAGATATGGGCAAAGCACGAAGAGCAGTTAGCCATTCACTGTCAACAACGTTGTTACCTATTTTATGCTGCCTTACTTGCGCTTAGTCAATTGCATAAAAGAACATTTAACTAAGTTTATCGGTTTATTGGAGACTTCCATACTTGCTTCCATACTCGTAGCTTTATAGTCGCAAACAAATTTCGTTTGAATATCACACGGTATTATATCTAGTTCATTGAGAACAGATCCGATCGATGATATATGCGATTGGCTTGTTACTAATAGTCGGAATTTTCGGCCTTTGTTACTTCTTGTTCAAGAACTTGTACCTGTTCAAGAATTATACCGCACGTGAGATCTTAGCCACTGGTGGGCAACATAGGACAGGTGGTCTTTGGCAAGAAATCGTTCTGTGAATTCCTGAAAATAATGTATGACAAGTATCCTGAAGCCAAGTATATCAGTATATACGATATGCTCGACCTAGTAATAATGCTACGTGACCCTAAACTCATAAAGTCCATCGTGATCAAGCACTTTGACGTATTCCCGAGTCGTCGCATCTCTATCGAAAATGATCAGGATCCACTCGTATCCCAGAACTTGTTCTTTCTATATGGCGACAAGTGGCGGAACATATGGTCAATATTGTCTTCGTCTTTCACATCTAGCAAGATGAAAATTAGGTTTAAGTTAATATCTAACTACGCTGTCGACTTTACCAATTTCCTGGTGCAACTCCCACCGGAGAAGAGAGTGATGGAGGCCAAGGACGTCTTTAAGCGTTACACACTACCGACGTAATGGCCACTTGCGCGTATAGCATTAATGTTAACTCTATGCGGAATCCAAAGAATTTTTTCTACATGTTCGTAAATGATAAAACTTTTTTGAAGACGCCGAACGTTCTGAATTTGGTCATAAATATTGTAGATGCTTTTCGTGGCTAGGGCGGATACTCAAATTGAAGTTCGTTGCTGAGAAGATGAGACAATTTTTTCAGAACCTCGTTGAAACTTCCATTAAAATCAGAATTCAAAACAGTATAGTTTAGCTGGATATGTTGAAACTGATGATGAAAAGCAGAAACGAGAAAGGTAATAGCATAAATTTAACGAAGGAGGATATGGCCAGCCAAACCTTTGCTTTCCTCTTGGTTTCGAAAGTAGCTCGACATTAATGTGTATCGCTACAGACGAGATTGCAGAGAACAAGAATGTACAGAGAAAACTGCAGAATGAGATTGATTAGGTGCTGAAGGATAGAAACGGGCAAGTATCGTATGAAACGATCAACATGGAGTATCTGGGCGCTGTGCTGAAGGAAAGTCTCAGAATGTACCCTGCGGCTGTTCTGATTGACAGAGTGTGTTTGATGGAGTTCGAGCTGCCACCGATATTAACAGGCGCGAAGCCATTCACAGTGAAAAGGGGACAAGGCGTTTTGATCTCGGTGTATGGACTTCATTATGATCCTAAAGTCTTTAAGGAGCCGGATAAATTCAATCCGGACCGGTTCCTTGGCGAGCAGAAGAGACATATTGACAAAATGAGGGCTTTTCTACCGTTTGGTTTAGGCTCTAGGAAGTGCATTGCTTGCCAATTTGCTCTGATGCAGATGAAGTCGTTATTGTTCCACGTACTGGCACGGTATGACCTTTTGCCTTGCGAGACGAATCAGAGTCCGCTGAAGTTTGCTAAGTACAATATCTTTCTAGGCACCGAAGGTAAATTATAGCTGAAAGTGAAGCCGTGAAAAAACCTACATCGCACCGTCGTTGTCAACGCCCGCAAATTGCACGTGAGATCTAAACTTGAAAACCTTGAAGATTCAGATGTAAATGATTTGATGAATTGACAATAAATAAGAAACGAAACGAAGAATTCTCCAGATGTGGATAAAAATTTATAACGGAAAACAAAAAAATGATAAAGTTAATAGTAACTAGTAAAGTTCACTTATATCGTTCAAAACAAACGTTCATATGTCTGAAGTCATTAACCGAGCTTGTGGAAGAGCTGTACGATATGCATCTTGAGGCCAAGTACATTGGTATGTATTATATGAATTGACGAATCTGGTGGTGCTGCTGCACGACCTCGAGTTCATCAGGTCCATCACGGTCAAACACTTTGACATATTCTTGGATCATCGCAGCTTTGTCCAAAATGACCAAGATCCGCTCTTTTCCAAGAATTTGTTCTCTCTTCGCGGAGATAGGCGTGAAATGCGGAGCATGCTGAGTCCGGCCTTTACGTCAAGTAAAATGAAAGTCATGTTTAAGCTCATGTCGGAATATGCAGCGGACTTTGTTAAATTCATAGCGCAGTTGCCAGCAGAGCAGAAGGTGAAGGAAACAAAAGACAGCTTTACACGAACGACATGTTGTCATCTGCATCTTCGGCGTCAGCGTCGACTCCATGCAAAACCAAAAGAATTTCTTCTACGAATATGATAAGAAAGTGACTACTATTAACAGCGTTTGTTATATTCATATATAAACGATTCGGGGAATACTGACAATAAATGAAAAACTAAATCCATATCCTATGGATATAAATAAAAATTTAACACTAAAATAAATAAATGAAAAATAATAATAAAGACAGTTCACCTATAATCGCTAGTACTTTGACTCAGTGATATTAGAAAATTTTTTCAATGTTAAGATATTAAACTACTATAGACATAGCTATGAATTTATCAGTTTTGCATATGATAAGACGTGACTCCGTGATTCCGAGTTCGGCATGTATTTTGATCATTGCAGATTCTTCCGGGGGAATCAGAAGCCGCTGTAATAAAACTCTTTTTATCTTTCGTGGCAACAGATAGCGGAAGGCATAGACCATGCTGAAATTAGCCTTTGTATCCAGCCGAATGAAAATTATGTTCAGACTCATGTCGAACTACGTCGCCGATTTCGACAAATTCATCGTTGCCGGAGAAGCAAATAGTAATGAAGACAAGAGACATTCATGCACTGCACTAACGATGCGATTGGCTCCTGTTGACGCCTTCGGCATCAGTGTCGATTCTACTGGAAAACCTCTTTTACGGCAAAAAACAGCAAAAAGATAACGCCTTCCAGCACCGTCAGTTAATTGTAAATGTACGTTTTCATGATGCTGCTATAATTAACACAAATGTTCCGACTGTTATTCCGTAGGAAGTTCCCGAAATCTTTTTAGAATCTTGCGGAGATCACCATCCAATAATGATGCATGCAAACGGCATATATTGGATTATCGGAAAAGTCATGACGTATTCTTTCTATGTTTTTCAAAGATAATTTATTTATATAAAGAACAAAGATCAATCAATGATATATTGACCGTTTTGTTCGATGACCTTTTGCCATCTTTCAGTGAGCTTCATAATTCCTCGTTCATAAAAGGACTTATCTTTATCGAAAAACTGAATAAGATGCTGATTTACAGCCTCATTTGAATTTAACGTTATACCACGCAAGGAGTTTTGAAAAGAGCGAAACAAGTGAAAATCTGACGGTGCAAGGTCAAGCGAGTATGATGGGTATGGTAACACATTCAATCCAAGCTCCAATAATTTTTGACGGGTGATCAAAATTCGTGTATGGTCTCGCGTTATCGTGGTGGAACACAACTCTTTTACGGTTAACGAGCTCTGGACGTTTCTGGATGATGGATTCGCCCAAACTGTCCAATTGCCAACACTGCACATTCGAATTGATTATTTGGTTCCTTGGTAGGAACTTGAAAAACACGACACCTTTAAAATCCCGCCACACTGAGAGCATAACCTATCTCTGATGAATATCTACTTTCAATGTTTGAGGCGAATCATCACGTTGGGACCAAGACCGTTTGCGCTCCATTGTTGTAAACAATCCACTTCTCATCACCAGTTATCATTCGTTACAAAAAAGAATCGTTTTCCTCACGTTTAATAAGCATATTGCAGATGTTTATACGCGCCGTCAAATGAACTTCTGTGAGTTCATGAGGAACCCAAATATCAAGCTTGCTTACATATCCCAGCTTCTTCAAGTAGTCGTGAACGCTTGAATGATGGATGTTTAATGTTTCTGCAATCTCTCGTGTCGTGTAACGTGTTTGACTCGATCAATGCCTTTATTTTGTCGTCATCAACCTCGGTGGGCTTCCCTAACCGATGAGCGTCGTTGAGATCAAAATCATCAGCACAGAATTTCGCGAACCATCGTTGGTACTAACGTTCTTGTAGAGCATTGTTACAGTAAACTTTACGCAACTTTTCACAAGCTTGACGCGCGTATTTTTCTTTACAGAAGTAAAACAGTAAAATATGGCGAAAATGCACAGTTTAGTCTTCCTTCAACTTGTTGTAAAATCTCCGAAACTCAACCAAATCGCTCAATTTTTTTAGAATGGAGCTAGAACTGTCAGCTGTCAAATTACATAGCAATAACATAAATGCGAATTACTCTAGTACTTCCAAAAATAAACTAGGGTCATCTGTTGTAAAGGTGCGTCATGACTTTTCTGACAAATAGTTCGGCTATACATATATCGAAAGATTCTACAGGATCAAACACTAAGACAAAGCTAAAAGAATAAAACTAAATAAAACTAAAAGAATAAACTAAATAGAACTAAAAAATTCAGACATATCGACTTTTCTCCGAAACAAGTTATTCATTGCTGTCACGTTAGACTTTGTATCTCGTTTTTGCATTTCTATGTAAAAACATTTTCCTAATATATCCTTAGAGTTTACTGAGTCGTATGTGTGTGTGTTTGTGGGTATATTACAAAACATGAAATAGCGAAAACACATACTTTGCATAGCTGAATATCGTAGTATGTTACATACAAACAAGTGCAACTGAATTTTAAGTGAACAGAGTAACAAATACGCGATATAATCTCCGGTGCTTATGCAATTTTCTAATCCATAAGTAATGACATGAAGATATACATACACATATATATATATATATAACAAGATATGGGCAAACAAAAAGTAGTTGGCCATCCACTGTCAACGACGTTGTTGCTGCGTTACATATTTCGTGCTGTATTACCTACTTGAACTTAGTCGATTGCATCATAAAAGAACATTTAACTAAGTTTGCTGTTTTATTGGAGACTTTAATTGCTTTCAAACTCGTAGCTTTATACTCACGAACATATTTCGATTGAACATCACGCAGTATTGTATAGATAGTTCAGTGAGAACAGATCCAATCGACATGGTGTACGCGATCGGCTTGTCACTGATAGCCGGGGCCTGCGGCCTTTATTATTTCTTCTTCAAGAACCTGTATCTGTTCAAGAATTATAACATACCGTATTTGAGACCTTGGCCATTGGTGGGTACCATGGGACAGTTGATCTTCGGGAGAACCACGTTAAGTGAATTCGTGAAAATGACGTATGACAAGTATCCTGCAGCCAAGTATATTGGTATATACGACTTTCACAAGCCGTTGATAATGCTTCGCGATCCTGATCTCATTAAGTCCATCGCGATCAAGTACTTTGACATATTCCCGGGTCGTCGCACCTCTGTCGAATATGACCAGGATCCACTCGTGTCCCAGAACTTGTTCTTTCTATATGGCGACAAGTGGCGAAAGATACGAGCAATACTGTCTCCTTCTTTCACATCTAGCAAGATGAAAACCATGTCCAAGCTAATATCTGACTACGCTATCGACTTCACCAATTTCCTAGTGCAACTGCCACCGGAGAAGAAGATGGTGGAGGCACAAGACATCTTTGCGCGCTACACCACTGATATAATCGCCACTTGCGCGTATGGCATCAGTATTAACTCTATGCGGAATCCAAAGAATCTTTTCTACATGTTTACAAATGATAAAACTTTTGTGAAAAAATTCAGCATCCTGAATTTGACTATAAACAGATGCTTCCCGTGGCTAGCGCGGATACTCAAATTGAGGTTCGTTAACGAGAAGATAAGAAATTTTTTTCAGGATCTCGTAGAAACTTCCATCAAGACCAGAATTCAGAACAATATAGTTCGACCGGATATGCTGCAACTGATGATGGAAAGCAGAGACCAGAAAGAAAACAGTATAAATTTAACGATAGAGGATATGGCCAGCCAAGCCTTTGCTTTCTTCCTTGCTGGTTTCGACACTAGCTCAATATCAATGTGTTTCATCACGCATGAGATTGCAGGCAATGAGAACATACAGAAAAAATTGCAGAGCGAGATTGATCAGGTGCTGGAAGATACAAATGGCCAAGTTTCATATGAAGCTATCAACGACATGGAGTACTTAAATGCTGTACTGATGGAAAGTCTGAGAATGTACCCTCCTTTTGTTCTGATTGACAGAAAATGTGCGAGAGATTTCGAGTTGCCGCCGACGTTAACAAACGCGAAACCCTTCATAGTCAAAAAGGGACAAGACGTTTTGATCCCGATATATGGACTTCATCATGATCCCAAATATTTCGAGGAGCCCGAGAAATTCAATCCCGACCGGTTTGTTGACGAGCAGAAGAAACATATTGACAAAACGGAGGCTTTTTTGCCGTTTGGTTTAGGCCCTAGGAAGTGCATTGCTTATCGATTTGCCCTGATGCAAGCAAAGTTGTTATTATTTCACCTACTGGCACGGTGTGACCTTTTGCCTTACGAGAAGACTCAAATTCCGCTCAAGTTTGCCAAGCACAATGTCATTTTAAAAACTGAAGATAAATTATGGCTGAAAGTGGAGCCGCGGAAGAACCCACATCGCACCGTCGTCGTCAACATTGTAAGCGGCACGCATGATCTAGAGGAGCATCTTCATGGATTTGAAAACCTTGAAGATTCGTGTAAATGGTTCGATGAACGCTGACAATAAATCTGAGACCATACGTTTTAAATGCGGATAAAAATTTATGATGGAAAACAAAAAAAATGATAAAGTTAATAGTAACTAAAGAAATTCACTTATAATAGTTAATCCTCGAAGTCTTAAGTGGAAATGCGCTTTTGGAATGTGGTTTGCTGCAATAAATAGTCCTTCAGGTCTATATTTAGAATCCTAAACGTTAGCAGATACCTTTTATTCTTTTTGTAAATTAAAAAAAACATTGATGAAAACGTTGATATATCATCGGATCGAATAAGCGTTTGACAGAGTGATGGATTTCAAGAAATGAAGGAAAAAAGAAATATGAAGAACTATCTATTGCAACAAGACTCATTCGAAAAGCACATTTCTGATCATATTTCCTCCTCTAGTCAGTGATATTAGAAAATTGCTTCAATGTCAAGGTATTAACTCTAAAAGGCCCGGATTTGATTTGTACTTCCCTAGAAGGACTGTAGGAGCCAATTTGGCTCCAAGCATACCGTAAGTAACAAATAGAAAGAAACGAAACATATAAGTAATTATAAAATTTAACGTTTTAACAATAATATCACTAATTTATTGAACAAAAGTAACTGTTACTTATATTATATTGGATTTTTGTTTAGTCTTTGGTAAAAGACTAAACGTGAAATACAACGCCGTTATGTATTACAGGAAACATTTGTACATAATTTCTTTGTATATTTACCGCACACAAATTTTTTACACGAATGACATTTTCCAACTTTGTGGTTCCTTTTGCAGTTTTTTTATTTGACGAAATGGTCGTTTGCCTGAAGCATCGTCGGATTCAGTTTCTTCTCTGATTGAATCAAAATTTTGAGACTTTCGACTTTGGGCAACATATGAGGCAACTTTACCGCCAAATTTTGTAAAAAGATTCTTCTTCATATTTTTTTACATATAACTTCCTTGTATATAATCCATGCATTTATCCAAAGTAATTCATGCAAAATCCCAAATATTATGAAAAATATGAACTGGCCAACGGCGAGATGGTATATTTGCATATCTGTGTATACATATGTATGTATATAATTGTTTCTCAAGCAAACAAGAAGATAAATACACATAAAAATATTTACTTATCTAATTAAAGTCATAAACCCGTAAAATATATAAGAATGCAATATCAGATGTAAGGGAACCAAATTGGCTCCAACGATTCTTCTAGGTAGACAATTAAATAAAAATTCAACCATCTTATATAAATGAAAAATTTTTTTACCAAAATTAAAAACATGAAAAATAATGAAAAGTCACAAACGGATATCACATGGAGGCAATGTTGAAAAAAGTCACAGCTTGAATTTCGTGACAAGCCAAATTGGCTGTCTCGCTCTTTCTGGTGTTAAACTATCTTAGACATAACTGTGTAAAAATGGTCAATTTTGCATGTTATTGCATTTTCAAATGACGGGACAAATTCCAAAGGAAGATAAAGAGCTGTCTGATCTGTAATGAAATATAATGAGAAGATAATATTCGGCACTTACAAATATATTGCTTCTTAATTATTTCTTATTTCCTTACATGTATGCTAATTGCGAATAGGTTTATATCCGACACGTCATTCGTTGGAAACATATATTTCATATAAAAACACAATTATCATTTATCGTCAAGGAAGCAGAAGAAAAGACAAGAAGCGTAAAGACTGGAAAGTCGGTATCATCTTTCGTTACAACTGCCAATTAGAAGTCATCATCGTGCTTAATATTTAACAAGAGCTATGATCACATCCTGTGTATTGTCAAGTGCGAACGGTCTTGCATAAAATGAACATTGCATCAAACAGATATCTTTTTCTGACTCCAAGAGTATATCTGTTAGATTAAATTAATATTACTAACACAAGCGATAATATAAGATTCTCTCATTATAATCGATAATATTGGTATGACAAATGTCTGTTAAGTAATATGTAGATTCCGACATGCAAGATGTGCCATATTTTGATAAAACTAAAAATTCCGACATGCATATAAAGGCGTTAAATGTCATCAAGATTTCGAATGAATAAAAGAATAATAAACCAACCAAATAAATTTAAAAATTATTAATTTTCTTCCGCAAACGATTTCCTTCCAAAGATTGTCTGATATCGATCAAATTTTATTTCATGTTTTTTCTTTTCCCACAAAAAATTGTTCTCGTTAATTTCATTAACCAGCAGATTTCAACAATACCGCATATATCTACGCGACTTGATGTTTGTTATAACATATCTGATTATCTTCTCGTTGCATAAATACGTATCAACTTTTGTTAATTCATATGTACGAAGAAGCTTACGCAGAGCGGCAGCAGGAGGCCGTTAGCACAGTATAAGTTCCTGCGTATCAAGTCTACGAGTTTGTAAAAGAAATGTATGAACACCGAAGCTAAGAACGTGAGTACGACATTACTGTGCCGCTGATAACATTGCGTGACTCAGAGTCCATCGAAAAAATCGCGTATAAGCATTTTGTCACTTTTTCGGATCATCGCAGTTTTATCCGAGAGGATTAGAGTGTATCAGTCTATGTAAAATTTATCAGTTTTGTATGTGATAAGACTAGGTGAGCCCGAGTTCGGCACGTATCCAGATCATTGTCCGGCGGGATTCTTCCGGAGGGAATCACAAGCCGTTGTTTGACAAAACTCTTTTTTTCCTTTGCCGCAACAGGTAGTGGAAGGCGCAGACTATGCTTGGCCTTTACGTCCAGCCGAATGAAAAGTATGTTCTGACTGATGTCGGACTACATCATCGATTTCGACAAATTCGTTGTTATCGGAGAAACAGAGGGTGATGAAGACGAGGGATATTTTCACGTGCTGAACTAACGATGTGACTGGCGTGTTGACGCCTTTGGCATCAGCGTCTACGTTACGCCTGGAAAACCTCTTTCATGTATACGGCAAAAAGATAACGACTTCCAGCATAGTCAGCTAATTGTAAATATATGTTTCTACGATGCTGCCGTAGTTGGTTCCGGCTGTTATTCCATAGGAAGTCCGCGAAATTTTTTGAGAATATTATAAAGTTGATCATACGATAACGATGTATGCAATCGGCATATAGTTTGGTTACACATGCATCGAAGAATTCTTCAATATCAAAACCCAAGAGAAGGCTAAAAGAATCCAATAGAACTAAAAAATTCAGACTTATCGATTTTTTCCGAAACCAGTTTCTTCATTGCCGGAATTTCTTGCAATTACGTTAGACCTCGTACTTTGTTTTTGCGTGTTTATGTCAAAGTATTTCCTATTTTGCTTTTCTAATTCACTTCTCTCTCTCTCTCTCTCTCTCTCTCTCTCTCTCTCTCTCTCTCTCTCTCTATATATATATATATATATATATGTGTGTGTGTGTGTGTGTGTGTGTGTGTGTGTGTGTGTGTGTGTGCGTGCGCGTGTGTGTGTGTAAGTGTGAATGTGTGAGTGTGTGAGTGTATATGAGTGTATGTGTGTGTAATTACAATACGTAAATTACAATACAAATGAAATATTGAAAACGCATACTTTGCATTGAATATCAGAGTATGTTACATTAACGTGTGCAACTGAATTTTGAGTTCAACTACATAACAAATACGCGACTTCTTTGCCGCTGATTATACACGTACAATTTTCTATTCCATACGTACGTAATGACATGAAAATATAAATATGTATAAGAAGATATGAGCAAATGAAGAACAGTTAGTCATTCAATGTCAACGATATTGTTGCTGCGTTACGTATTTCGTGCGGCATTACCTACATGCGCTTAATCGATAACATAATCGATTGCATCACAAAATAACATTTAACTAAATTTGTTGTCCTATCGGATATTTTAACTGCTTCCATATTCACTGCTTTATACTCATGAACATTCTGATTGAACATCACGCGGTAGTGTAGACAGTAGGTGAGAATAGATCCTATCAACATGGTGTACGCAATCGGTTTATCACTGATAGTCGGGGCCTGCAGCCTTTATTACTTCTTCTTCAAGAACCTGTACCTGTTCAAGAGTTGTAGCATACCGTATTTGAGACCTTGATCACTGGTGGGCAACATGGGACAGGTGATCTTCGGCAGAACCTCGATAAGTGAATTCGTCAAAATGATGTATATCAAGTATCCTGGGGCCAAATATATCGGTATATATGACTTCCACAAGCGGGTGATAATGCTACGCGATCCTGAGCACATTAAGTAAATTGCAATCAAGCAAGTAAATTTATGATGCAAATAACGAACCCAAATATACATGATATAATTATGCTAGTAATAATACTATGTGACCTAGAGTTCGAGATACCATATATCCGAATCATTGCAGATTCTTTCGTGGGAATCAGAAGCCGTTCTTTGGCAAAATTCTCTTTCCCTCTGTGGCAAAAGATAACGAGAGGGGCGGACCATGCTAAGCTTGACTTTTACGTCCTGCAAGATGAAAAATATGTTCAGACTAATATCGGATTACGCCACCGATTTCGACAAATTTATTGTTACCCGAGAAGCAGAAGATGATAAAGGCGAGGAACTTTACACCAACAACGTGATCACGTCACACCTGCGCCTTTGGCATCATCATCGACTCTATGTATGACCCGAAAAACTTCTATATACGAATATACGGCAAAGAGGTGACAACTTCCGGCAGCATATTGTAAATGTTATCTTTTCACAACCATGCTTGCCATGGCTGGTACGACTGTTCCAATTATGGTTCTTTCGCAAGAAGATGGCGAAATTTTTTCAGAATCTTGAGATCACCATGCGATGCATGCAAACGGCATATAATTTGGCATATAATTTGACATACGTCGAAAAATTCTTCAGGATCAAGCACCGAGATAAGCCTAAATTAGAAAACTAAATAGAAATAAAAAAATACAGAATTATTTCAACGCTTATATGAAGTCTTTTCACTACCTCTCCCTCATTCCGGAGACTCTTTCTAGCACATTAGACTTCGTACCTTGTTTTTGCATTTTTATGAATAAAGAATGTTTACCAATCGGTTCTTAGAATTCATTGAACTGTGTATGTGTATGTGTGTGTATGTTACAAAGCAAATAAGATAGCAAAAACATATTTACATATATGCTATGCAAAAGTATATTTTGCATAGCTGAATAACGCAATATGTCATATTAACATATGCAACTGGATTGTGAGTAAATAATATAAAAAGTATACTAGATAACTTTCGTTACTGATTGCATACGTATAACTTCCTACTTCATAAGCAATGACATGGAAGTACACACACATTTATATATATATATATATACAGCAAGATATATGCAAATTAATAGCAGTTGACCATTCATTGTCGACGAGGTAGTTGCTGCGTCTCCATGCTGTATTATTTGCTTGCGTTTAATCGATTACACCATAAAAGAACATTTAACTAAGTTTACCATTTTAATAGAAACTTTACTTGCTTCCATATTCGCAGCTTTATACTCGCGAACATATTCTGATTGAGCATCACGCTGTATTGTATCCAGTTCAGTGAGAACACATCCGATCGACATGGTGTACGCAATCGGCTTGTCATTGATAATCGGGGCCTTCGGCCTTCATTACTTCTTCTTCAAGAACTTGTATCTGTTCAAGAATTATAACATACCGTATTTGAAACCTTGGCCATTAGTGGGCAATATGGGACAGGTAGTCTTCGGTAAGAAATCGGTAGGCGAATCTTCAAAAATAATGTATGACAAGTATCCTGGAGCCAAGTATATCGGTATATACGATTTCCTCAAGCCGGTGATAATGATACGTGACCCTGAGCTCATTAAGTCCATCGCAATCAAACATTTTGACATGTTCACGGATCATCGCGACTTCATCCAATATGACCAAGATCCGCTCGCATCCCAGGGCTTGTTCTTTCTTCGTGGCGACAAATGGCGGAAGATGCGAGCAATATTATCTCCGTCCTACACATCTAAGAAGATGAGAACCATGTTCAAGCTAATATCCGACTACGCTGTCGATTTCACCGACTTTTTGGTGCAATTGCCACCGGAGAAGAGGGTGTTGGAAACGAAAGACATCTTTACACGTTACACCATCGACGTGATCGCCACTTGCGCTTACGGCATCAGTATCAATTCCATGCGAGATCCAAAGAATCTTTTTTACATGTCCGCAAAAGATGTAGTTATTTCAGAGATTATCAACGTTCTTAAGTTCGCTGTAACAGAAAGTTTACCGTGGTTGGCACGGGTAATCAAATTGAGGATCATCAGTGAGAAAATTACGAATTTCTTCCGGGACCTCATAGAGACCACCGTCAGGACCAGAATCCAGAAGGATATAGTTCGGTCGGACATGCTGCAACTGATGATGGAAACTAGAGATGGTAACAAGGAATTAACGATTGATGATATTGCCAGCCAAGCATTCACTTTCTTCTTCGCCGACAACCAGACTACCTCGAACTTGATGTGTTTCGCCGCACACGAGATCGCTGAAAATGAGAAGGTGCAGAAGAGATTGCAAAATGAGATTGACCAAATGTTGGAGGACACAAATGGCCAAGTATCGTACGAAGCGATTAACAATATGGAGTACTTGGGTGCTGTACTGAACGAAGCTCTCAGGAAGTACCCTATCGCCCCTTTATTGGACAGAAAGTGTTTGTTAGAGTTCGAGTTGCCGCCAACATTAACAGACGCGAAGCCCTTCACCTTGAAGAAAGGAGAATCCGTGTTAGTTTCGGTATTCGGGCTTCATTATGATCCCAAATACTTTGAAGAACCGGAAAAATTCAATCCCGACCGGTTCGTTGGCGAGCAGAAGAAACATATTGACAAAATAGGAGCTTTCTTGCCGTTTGGTTTAGGCCCCAGGAAGTGCATTGGTTATCAATTTGCCTTGATGGAGTTGAAGATATTATTATTCCATTTACTGGCACGGTGTGACCTTCTGCCTTGCAAGAAGACTCAGCTTCCGCTAAAATTTGCCAAGCACTCTTTCTTTCTGAAGACTGAAGGTGAGTTGTGGCTGAAAGTGGAACCGCGGGAGAACCCACATCACACCATCGTCACGAAAGTCGCAAACTGTACGCAAGATCTATAGGAATTGTTTTTTATTTACGAATTCTGGGGATTTAAATGTAAATGATGCGGGCAATATTATTAATGAATGTGAAATGATATTCATATGTAAATAAAAATAATAATATATAATAACAGTGTACTTATGCAATCAATGTAGTTTTAAGAATTTACTTAATATATATTAAATAACATATATATTTTATATATTAAGTAATTTTAAAGTATACATCTTAAGGTATATATTATACATATATTAAGTATTAAGTATATAATTTACTTAATATATATTAAGTAAGGTATATATTAAGAATGATTAAAATATAAAAAAATAATAGTAAAGAAAAAAGATTTCTTTATAATTCTCGGATAGAATTGATGGCGAATTCTCGGGTAAAATGATATTAGAAAATTGCTTCATCGTCAAAGCCACAACTTACACATAGCTGCGTCGATAGCACTAATTTTGAAGTTTACATTAAGAATGCTGTTAAGACGAAACATATAAATTCCTAAAGAAGAATAAAGCATGCACATTTATCCGTTAATTGGTGTAAGAAATATAATATACAATCCGGAATAACATATAATCCAGCGATTGTAATCGGCGTCTATAATTGTATTGCCTCGTTTTCATTTTTTCATATATACAGAGTGTATTAGAGCGACCGTTTCAGGCGTTTTTTTTCGAAAAATATACATTTTTGAAAAAAATGTTTCATACAAAGTTACTAGGGTTTTATAAGGCGCATTACATGACAATATTATTGTGACCTTGAATAGCATTGTCAAAGTCACGTGGAGGTCAAATTTAATTTTTAAATGGAATTCCTTATTTTTCACTACATATTCTTGTAGCCTATCTTGAGAGCTTTGCAAAATACTATAATAAACTATTTTTCCATTTAGTACTTTGCGAGTTATGAGGCCTGAAAGTTGCTCCGACCAATTTTTTTCGCAACAGGATGGCGAAATTCTTTCAGAATATTGTGGAGATTATCATACGATAACGATATGCGCGCAAACAAAATATAATTTGGCGACACACACATCAAAAGTCTTTAAAGATCAAGCACCGAAACAGAGTTAAGGATGCGCACACAATTAATCGGAAGACGTTGTACGTCATATGTATGTCATATGTACCAATCATAACCTCACAACTGACAATTGTAGACCCACCCTTAGGGTGCTCACACTATGGCCAGGTCTACAATAGGTGTTGTAAGCTGTAAACCATAAGAACTGACCAATTATAGCCGACTTTTGTAATAATCGACTGTGATTCGCCAATTCTTACGACTTACAACTTACGATACGTATTGTAGATCAGGACTTCATGTAGGCGCACTTTAAAAATAAACTCAGTGGGATTAAAAGAGTTAGAACTATCAACATTTCCCCCAAACTGGTCATTTCGCAACTAGAGTCTGTTGCGCATACATTCCCATTTTATTTTTGAGTTTTTATGCCAACGTGTTTCGTGTTTTTATTTCAATATATTTCGCAAACAGTTCTTAGAATTTACTGAACTATGTTAGGAAGAAAATAAGATAGTGAAAATGCAAACTCTCCAAAGACTACAGCGTATTATATTAACATATGTAATTATTTTTGAGATAAGAACATAAAAGTGACATAAATCTCATTGCATACTGTAGTTTCTTTCTACATAAACAATGATACGAACATACCTACATGATAAAGCATGCACAGGGAAATAATAGTTGGCCATTTACTGTCAACGACGTTGTTCGTTTTACATTCGTCCTCTGCACGCGCCTTGCTCGCGATAGCCGGAGTTTTAGCCACTTATTACTTCTTCTTCAAGAACCCAAACGAGTTCAAGAATCATGGAATACCATACGTGCGACCTTTGCCATTGGTGAGCAACATGGGACAACTAATCTCTGGCCAGAAAACAGCACCCGAATTTTTCAAATTGATATACGGTGAGTATTTCGAGGCCAAATATGTTGGTATGTACAACTTCTTCATGCCAGTGATAATGCTGCGCGATCCCCAGCTTATCAAATCTGTCGCGATCATACAATTTGACATGTTCACGGATCATCGCGTCTACGGGCAGAATGGCCGACGATCCGCTCGTAACTCGCATTTTGTCCTTTCTTCGTGGCGACAAGTGGCGGCAGATGAGGTCTATAGCATCTCCGGTCTTCACGTCTAGCAAGATGAAATACATGTCCAAGTTAATATTCAATTACGCTGTCGACTTCATCAATTTTCTAGTGCAATTGCCACTGGAGAAAAGGGTGATGGAGATGAAAAACATTTTCACGCGCTATAACACCGATGTGATCGCGACTTGCGCCTACGGCATCAGTATTGACTCTATGCGGAACCCAGAGAATCTTCTCTGACTGTAAAAAACTCAACTATTTTGTAGGTTTTCAGTATCTTCAACAATGCCATATATCAATCAAAGGTGTTATGGCTGGCAGGGTTACTCAAGCCAAAAGTCATCAGCGAGAAGATCGTAAATTTTCTCAGGGACGCTGTGGAGACCATCATCAGGATTAAGATCCAGAAGGGCATAATTCGGTCGGACATGTTGCATAAAAATTAATAACTATTATTAATGGTATGAATATTAAAAGTAAGAAATGTTTGATAATAAAGATAAGAATGTTTTCTTAACCGCCCAATTCAGTGATATCGAACAATTGTTTCAATGCGACAAGCTATTAGGTATACAACTTTGCTTCCGCTGTTTTTTTCCGAAGTTCCAGGCTTTATTGTAAAAAAATGGTTATACATTTATGATTCAAAGTATTGTCCATCGTTGGCCACTACTTTCTCCCATCTTTCGGGCAGCGTACGAATCCCGCGTTGAAAAAACTGGTCATCTTTTGAAGCGGTCTACGCATCGATCCAATTTCTTACTTCTTCATAAGACCGGAAGTGCTGGTCAACCAGGTCGTGCGCCATTGATCGAAACAAGTGATAGTCAGAGGGAGCAACGTCTGGAGAATACGGCGGGTGGGGTAGGACTTCCCGTTTCGAAGTATGTCTTGACCACTTTCATAACATGGGATCGAGCATTGTCATGCTGCAAAATCACTTTATCGTGTCTCTCGTTGTATTGCGGCCGTTTGTCTTTCAATGTTCGACTCAAACGCATTAATTGCGTTCGATAACGATCACCTGTGATTGTTTCAGTCGGTTTTAACAGCTCATAATACACTATGCCGAGCTGGTCCCACCAAATACAGAGCATGACCTTGGAGCCGTGAATATGGTAACTGTAGCTACAAATCTCACCAACTCATGTATCTCATTTGTGCGTCAATGTATTGAAAATATTCCATTCAATGTTTACTACCGTGTATTCCAAAGTAACATCAATTATGCAAGTGATGATTCAATGAGTCATTTATACTAGCAACATTGCGCCGAACATAAGCAGTCACCCGATGAGTGTTACTGGCACTCAAATAACTCGCTCGATTCTCTTCTCGCGATTAATCAGTATATAAAACGACATTCGGAATTACGTAACTTCGTCGCGTAAGCACGTAAATTCATCCACATCCACAGATTCACGCACATTAATAAAACCACAGAATGTCGTTTATTGCTGTAATCTCCAATTCAGTAAAAACAAATTCCATCGACATGGTGTACGTGATTGTCACTGATAGCCGGAGACTTAGGCCTCTATTACTTCCTCTTTAAGGACCTGAGGTGGTTCAAAAAGCATGGTATGTCACACCTAAGACCATTGCCGCTAGTGGGTAACATGAGAACGATGTTCCTGCGTATCAAATCTACGAGTTTGTAAAGGAAATGTATGAACACCGAAGCTAAGAATACACGTGAGTACGACATTACTGCGCCGCTGATAACATTGTGTGACTCAGAGTCCATCGAAAAAATCGCGTACAAGCATTTCGTCATTTTTTCTGATCATCACAGTTTTATCTAGGAAGATTAGAGTGTATCAGTCTATGTAGAATTTATCAGTTTTGTATGTGATAAGACTAGGTGAGCCCGAGTTCGGCACGTATCCAGATCATTGCAGATTCTTCCGGCAGGAATCACAAGCCGTTGTTTGACAAAACTCTTTTTTTCCTTTGCCGCAACAGATAGCGGAAGGCACAGACCATGCTTGGCCTTTACGTCCAGCCGAATGAAAAGTATGTTCTGACTGATGTCGGACTACATCACCGATTTCGACAAATTCGTTGTTATTGAGAGTCAGGAAAAATTTATTTGGACAAAGTCAAGTCAGGAAGTTTTTGATTGTCTTAAGCAGGTTTTAATTTCTTCTCCGGTGCTCAGTTTCCCTTCTGAAACGGAAGAATTTATTTTGGATACAGATGCTTCTAATCACGAGATAGGAGCAGTTTTGTCACAAAATCAAGGTGGGGTTGTAAGGGTTATTGCATATTTTAGTCAGGTTTTAAATAAATCGGAACGAAATTATTGTGTGACCCGTCGGGAGTTATTAGCAATAGTTAATTCTATAAAATCTTTCCATCATTATTTATACGGTAGGAATTTTTTGGTTAGGACTGATCATAATTCTTTACATTGGTTGACTTCTTTTAGGGAATTGGAAGGACAACTAGCTCGATGGTTAGAGAGATTGCAGCAGTATGATTTACGGATAGTATATCGAAAGGGAATATCGCATCAAAACGCAGATGGGTTATCTAGACGGCCATGTTCTCGAGATGGCTGCAATTATTGTGATAAGGTGGAAGCTAGAAAGGAATCCAGTGAGGAATGCTTAATAGCTCGAACAGTTTTGCAGGAAGATGTTCTGGAGGAGTGGCGTAAGGAACAATTTGAAGATTCAGTGGTCTCTGTATTTTTACGTGCTAAAGAAAAAGGAGAAATTCCACTTCGTGAGGACTTGACCAGTCTTGAATCTTCGGCCAGGGTTTATTTTTCCTACTGGGATGCTCTTTTGGTAAAGGATGGGTTCTTTATAAGAGGTGGGAATCTCCAAATACTAAACTCGTTATTGATCAGATTATAGTTCCTCGAAGTCAGGTGGAACAAATTTTGAGAGCTGCTCACGACACGCCTACAGGAGGTCATTTCGGGATCAATAAAACTCTGGATAAAATTCGTAAACATTTTTATTGGGCTTCGTGTAAGCAAGATGTGGAAAATTGGTGTCGTAGCTGTAAGATTTGTAATGCAAGAAAGGGTCCCTCTAGGAAGGATAAATCTCCGTTGCAAATTTACTATATCGGTGCTCCATTTGAAAGAATCCAGATGGACATTTTAGATCCACTTCCATATTCGTCTTCAGGGAATCGTTTTCTCCTGGTAATAGTGGACTGTTTTACGAAATGAGTCGAGGCTTTTCCGTTAAAAAATAGGGCTAAGACGGTGGCGGAAGTTTTTGTTTATGAAATAGTTTCTAGGCATGGCGTGCCATGTGAATTGCATACTGATCAGGGGAGAAATTTCGAATCGAAAGTTTTTCAGGAAATTATTCGTTTGTTGGGAATTAAGACTAGAACAACTGCCTTACACCCCCAGTCCAATGGTCAGGTTGAACGCCAGCATCAGATAATTTTGAATTATCTGTCAAAATTTGTGGCAGAAAATCAAAGGGACTGGGATAAATGGATTCCTTTGTGCATGTTAGCTTGTCGGTAGTCAAGGCATGAGGCTACAGGTTCTACTCCTGCGGAGTTGTATTTTGGTTGGGAACTTCGAGTTCCCATGGATTTATTGCGAGGAAATCCACCTGAGATTAGGGATAGTAACGTAAGGGAATTTTATATTTGGAAATTCAGAGAAAGTCTGGATGCGATCCATCGCAGTGCGAGAGAACACTTGAATCTAAAATCTTTGCGAGTAACGGATCGCTATGATCAGAAAGCTAAGCGGATTAATTTCAAAATAGGACAAAAAGTTTGGTTATTTAATCCTCAAAGAAGGAAGGGAAATTACAGAATAATTGGGAGGGGCCCTATGAGATTGTCAGGCAGCTTAGTGAGGTAGTTTTTGGAATTCGCAAATCGGCTAGGCATAGGCAAAAGGTTGTTCATTCAGATAGAATAGCTCCATTTTTGGAAAGATAAACTCTTAATTCTATTTTTTTTCTTGCCGGGATGAAGTCTTGGATGCTTCTGAAGTTTTGGTATGGTGTTGACATTCGAAGAGGAAAATGGGATTGGAAATTAAGCTGAAAATTCCCAGTTTACTGGAATATGCTTGTTAGTCGTTCAATGGAAGAAGATCGTCTCGCTCGCGGTTTTTTTGGGCCCCGTGGTTTTTCCGCGGGACTGAGGGCAAATGCCGAGATGGGGACAAAAAGAAATCCTTTAAGGATGTTAGGGACCACGGGGAAGTTATACTCCTCTCCTTTTTGTCCGAAGTTTTGTCCGACTTCGTCAATATTGGAAGGACGAAAGAAGAGACTCGGATGGCGTTCAAGAAGGGCTAACAGTTCTTAGGCTTTGAAGGAAACCGGAACAAGAAGACTGGCCCAAAAGATCCTGGAGACTGATCATCTCCTAGAGGACGGGGATAGAGATGATGTTCTGAAGGAAGTTCAATCAAGATCCTCAGAATCCTTGATTGAGATCAGGAATTCATGGAGTCCGGTAACCTGTAGCAGCAGTTCAGGGTAGGACAAGAGTCATGAAGATCTCTGGAGTCAAGGAAGAGGATGACATTGCCTAAGAGAATTGTCGGGATGACAATTTGAAGAGACGGGGGCAGTGTCACGCTCCCGTATATATTCCCGTCTTACCAAACGTGGAATGTGTCGGCGCTCATCTTAGCAACTGTTGTTACGGTTGTTGTAGTTGTGGACAGCAAGGGTATCTTTCTGTGGAGCGATCGAGCGGTCCGGTCGAATTACGTTAAGAGTTTTCTCTGAATAATTGTTCTCGTTCATAAACCTTGTACCTATTGATATGAACAAAGCTTTGTTTATATTAAAGAGTTCTTGTTATTTGTTCACGGGAGTGTTGCTTACTATTTACGCGGGTGATCGTGAGTGAGAGGAAAACGACGCTTGGGCGTAACAACATATACAGGGTGTCCCATTTTAATCCGGCCGGCTGAATAAAATTCCAGGACGATATTTTCCAGAAAAAAATGTCAGACAAATGTTGTTCAGTTCTAAGGGGGACATTCGATGCCATCAACAATTTTGACCTCGGGTGAAGGGTTCAGGGTCATTCAAGGTCAACTTTTTTTCTTAAATGGGAACTCCTATTTTTCACATCGGTAATCGATTCTACGTAAAAAAAAATGAAATTTTTGTCTGAAGCATTTTTTTTATAATGCAAACTAATTTCACTTATTCAGCCTCCAAAATTGAAATTTTCAAACTTTCTGAATTTTTTACTCGAGAATGGTGGGGTTTGGGGGGAAATTGCAGAAGACAAAAAGTTCTTGGAATGCTGCAAGGAATTCACTCGAATTTTCGCATAGCTGATCGTGCACTTTTTTCCGCCAATGTTTGGAAAAAATCTTTTATCTCATCATGTCTAGTACCCTCGGCATTAGCATCACCCGATGTGCACCACATGGAGGTCGTCGATGGGATTTTGCACATCATTAGCCCTGAAAAGGGCCGATTGATTGATTATTGAACTCGATCTATGACAACAAGACTCTATCGACAGAGATATCCTGATGATCATGCCCCAAGTAGAAGCACTATTCAAGAACTGACACTCCGAGCTGAACGCAGGTTCTTGAGCCGAAGCAGGCGAAAAACTGGACCAAGGGAGCATATTTTGTTGGGCGTTAGGGCTGTTGTTGGAATGGATCCACACCTTTCAACACGCATTATTGAACAAAGGTATGGTGTTCCAAAATCCACAGCCAATCGAGTTTTGAGATATTCCAAATTCCATCCGTACCATACCCATTTGACTCAAAGTTTGGAAGATGGCGATTATCCACGACGTTTGGAATTTTGTCGATGGGCACATAACCAGATGCGTCGTGACCCTTTTTACTTCGATAGAGTTCTCTTCTCAGATGAGGCAAAATTTGATAACATGGGAGGCGTTAATCTGCATAACGCTCATTATTACGTCCAAGAAAATTCGAATTGGCGAGGAGATTATCGCACACAAAGGCGTAGGAGCGTGAATGTCTGGGCGGTTATAATTGGAGACCATCTGGTGGGGTCAATCTTTTACGAGCAAAATTTGAATGGACAATTGTATTTGGAAATTTTGGAGAATGAGATACCGCCATTGCTATAAAATATCCCTCTAGATCTGCGACAGGTTATGGGGTTTCAACAAGATGGAGCTCTGCCACATCGTGTTCTACCTGTCAGGAGGTACCTCAATGGTAGATATCCGAATCGATGGATTGGTATCGGCAGTCCGGTTCATGAATGGCCGCCTAGGTCTCCGGATCTCACACCTCTCGATTATTTCCTCTGGGGAGCAGTAAAGGCAAAAGTTTACGCCCAAGCACCGACAACATGAGAAAACATACAACAAAGGATCCGAGCAGCATTTCAATCCATTACGGTACCAGACATTGAGGGACGTTCAAGCCAGTTTTCGCCAGAGGGTGCAAATGTGCACTGCACAGAATGGGCACCAGATTGAGCACTTGATGTCATAGATCGAGTTCAATAATCAATCAATCGGCCGTTTTCAGGGCCAATGATGTGCAAAATCCCATCGGCGACCTCCACATGGTGCACATCGGGTGATGCTAATGCCGAGGGTACTGGACATGATGAGATAAAAGATTTTTTCCAAACATTGGCGGAAAAAAGTGCACGATCAACTATGCGAAAATTCGAGTGAATTCTTTGCAGCATTCCAAGAACTTTTTGTCTTCTGCAATTTCCCCCCAAACCCCACCATTCTCGAGCAAAAAATTCAGAAAGTTTGAAAATTTCAATTTTGGAGGCTGAATAAGTGAAATTAGTTTGCGTTATAAAAAAAATACTTCAGACAAAAGTTTCATTTTTTTTACGTAGAATCGATTACCGATGTGAAAAATAGGAGTTCCCATTTAAGAAAAAAAGTTGACCTTGAATAACCCTGAACCCTTCACCTGAGGTCAAAATTGTTGATGGCATCGAATGTCCCCCTTAGAACTGAACAACATTTGTCTGACATTTTTTTCTGGAAAATATCCTCGAATTTTATTCAGCCGGCCGGATTAAAATGGGACACCCTATATATATATATATGTGTGTGTGTGTGCGTGTGTGTGTAAGTGTGAGTGTGTGAGTGTGTACGTAAATTACAATACAAATGAAATATTGAAAACGCGTACTTTGCATTGAATATCAGAGTATGTTACATTAACGTGTGCAACTGAATTTTGAGTTCAACTACATAACAAATACGCGACTTCTTTGTTGCTGATTATGCATGTACAATTTTCTATTCCATACGTAATGACATGAAAATATAAATATATATAGGAAGATATGAGCAAACGAAGGACAGTTAGTCATTCAATGTTAACGACGTTGTTGCTGCGTTACATATTTCGTGCTGTATTACCTACTTGAACTTAGTCGATTGCATCATAAAAGAACATTTAACTAAGTTTGCTATTTTATTGGAGACTTTAATTGCTTTCAAACTCGTAGCTTTATACTCACGAACATATTTCGATTGAACATCACGCGGTAGTGTAGACAGTTCAGTGAGAATAGATTCGATCGACATGGTGTACGCAATCGGCTTATCACTGATAGTCGGGGCCTGCAGCCTTTATTACTTCTTCTTCAAGAACTTGTACCTGTTCAAGAGTTGTAGCATACCGTATTTGAGACCTTGGCCACTGGTGGGCAACATGGGACAGGTGATCTTCGGCAGAACCTCGATAAGTGAATTCGTGAAAATGATGTATGACAAGTATCCTGGAGCCAAATATATCGGTATATATGACTTCCACAAGCCGGTGATAATGTTACGCGATCCTGAGCTCATTAAGTCAATTGCAATCAAGCACTTTGACATATTCTCAGATCGCCGCGGCAGCATCCAATATGACCAGGATCCGTTCATGTCCCAGAATTTATTTCATCTTCGTGGTGACAAGTGGCGAAAAATGCGGTCAATACTGTCTCCGTCTTTCACATCTAGCAAGATGAAAACCATGTTCAAGCTAATATCCGACTACGCTGTCGACTTCACGAATTTCCTGGTGCAACTGCCGCCAGAGAAGAGGGTGATGGAGGCGAAGAACGTCTTTAAGTGCTACACCACCGATGTAATTGCCACTTGCGCGTATGGCATCAGTATTAACTCCATGCAGAATCCTAAAAATCCTTTCTACATGACCGCAAATGATAAAACTGTTGTGAAAATCTTCAACATCCTGAATGTTACCATAAATAGATACTTGCCGTGGCTAACGCGGATACTCAAACTGAAATTCCTTGATGAGAAAGTAGAAAAATTTTTTCAGGACTTGGTTGAAAGCTCCATTAGGAACAGAATTCAAAACAATATAGTTCGGCCGGATATGTTGCAACTGTTGATGGAAAGTAGAGATCGGGAAGATAATAGCATAAATTTAACGATAGAGGATATAGCCAGCCACGCTTTCAGTTTCTTCTTCGCTGGATTCGAAAGTAGCTCAACATTAATGTGTTTTGCCACGCACGAGATTGCAGGGAATAAGAACATACAGAGAAAACTGCAAAACGAGATTGATCAGGTGCTGGAAGACACTAATGGCCAGGTTTCGTATGAAGCGATCAACGACATGGAGTATCTGGATGTTGTACTGAAGGAAAGTCAAAGAATGTACCCACTCACAGCTCTGATTGATAGAGAATGTTTGGCAGAATTCGAGCTGCCGCCGACATTAATAGGCGCGAAACCCTTCACAGTGAAAAAAGGTCAAGGCATTTTGTTTCCGATATATGGACTTCATTATGATCCCGAATATTTCGAGAAACCGGAGAAATTCAATCCCGACCGGTTCCTTGGCGAACAAAAGAAACATATCCTCAATAACGGGGTTTACCTGCCGTTCGGGTTGGGCCCTAAGAAGTGCATTGGTTATCGATTTGCCCTGATGGAGATAAAGTTGTTATTATTTCACCTACTGGCACGATGTGACCTTTTGCCTTGTGAGAAAACTCAGATTCCGCTGAAGTTTGCCAGGCACAATATTTTTCTAAATACTGAAGGTAAATTGTGGCTGAAGGTGAAGCCACGAGAGAACCCACATCACACCATCGTCGTCAACGCCGCAAATTATACGCAAGATCTAGAGGAGCATTTTCCTGGCCTTGAAGATTCATGTGTAAATGATTCGATGAATATTGACAATAAATCAGAAACGAAATCCATGTGAATAAAATTCTCTCTACATGTGAATAAAATTGATAATAAAAAAACCAAAAAGTTATGAAGTCAATAATAAATAAAGAAGTTCACTTATAATCGCTAATCCTCGAAATCTCAAGGGAAAGACTGAAAAGTGGAAATGTGCGTTTGGAATGTGGTTTGCTGCAATAGATAGTCCTTCAGCTCTATGTAGATAGTCCTTCAGGTATATGTAGAATCATAAACATTAGTTTCAGATACTTCTTATTCTTTTAAAAAAGAAAAGAAACGTGGAAACGTTGATGTACGTATCATCGGATTGAATAATATGGCTTGGCAACGCGATAGATTTCAAGGAAAGGAAGACAAAAGGAACATGAGGGACTATCTATTGCAATAAATCGTATTCAAAAAGCGCATTTGTAGTCGCAATTTTCGTCTTCTCCTGTCAGTGATATTAGAAAATTATTTCAAAATCAAGGTATCAAACTATTTTAAATATATTTTAAATATAGCTGTGCAGAATTTATCAATTTTGCACGTTATTGCACTTTCAAATAACGGAACACGTACCAAAGAAAGATAGAACGCTGTCTAATGCGTAATGAAATACAATATAATGAATAAATAATAGTTCTGCAGTTACAAATGTATTGTCTCTTAATTATTACTTATCTTCTTATATGTATGCTAATTCCAAATAGATTTACATCCGACACGTCATTTGTTACAATTTGCATATCTCGCAGCATATCTCGCGTCGGAAACATATATTTCTTACAAAAACACAATTATTATTTATCGTCAAGGAAGCAGCAAAGAAAACAAAAGGCATAAGTGCAAAGCTGATGTCACCTTCCATTACAACTATCAATTGAAAGTTATCATCGTGCTTTGCGTTTGATAAAAGTTATGATCACATCCCGATCATTGGGTCAAGTTTGCGTATTGTACTGTATTAACTGAATTTTAACGTTCATTTGTATCAAATACATACTTTTCCTGACACAAAAGATATATCTGTTAGATTAAATTAATATCACTAACACAAGTGATTAATAAATTAATGATAATGATAATTAAATTAATATTACTAACACAAGTGATAATATAGGATTCTTGCTCTACAATCGATAATATACAGTCTGTAAAGTAAGAGCGTGTACGGCATAAGTGGCAGTTGGCTTCAATAAAAAATATCGTCCTAGTTTTTTTCAGCCGTATTGTGAGGCAAATCTCAAGCACGAGCTTCGAGGAAAAAGAGTGTGCACTTTGAAGCAGCTGACACGAAAAATTCGTCTCATTTGGAGGTCTTTACTGAACGAATACGCAGTCAACTTAGTGGAAAGTACTCGAAAGTGTATGCCTCGGAGGTGCCAGGCAATTATCAATGGTGGTGACTGGACGCATTATTAATTGTACAGCGTTTTTCTTCTCATGGAGTACAACAAATCCACGTACCTAAAAATCATTAAAAATAAATTTTTCTGCACATTAACCCGTACACGCTTTTACAGACTGTATGTATGATAAATGTTTGCCGAGTAATATGTAGATTCCGACGTACGACGTATATGATATTTTGTTAAAATAAAAAAAGCGATATGCACATAAAGTCGTTAAATGTTATCAAGACTTTGAATAAATAAAGGGATAATAAATCAAACGAATAAATTAAAAAATTATCAATTTCCCTCCGCAAACAATTTCTTTCCAAAGATTGTCTCACATCGATCAGATTTTATTTCATGTTTCCGTCTTCTTCTATAAGAGATTGTTCTCGTTGATTTCATCAATCTGCATAGCAGATTTCAGCACTACCACTTAGACGCGACTTAATATTTGCTACAATATATCCGATTATCTTCTCGTTGTGTAAGTACGTAACAACTCTTGTGAACTCGTACATATGAAGAAGCTTACGCAAAGCGGCAGCAGTCGGCCGTTGAGTACCAGCGGAAGACCATTGCAGTTGCCGATTCATTCCTTCGTTCAATTTCTCCGCTTAATCGGCAGTCGAAACTAACATTCACGATTAATTAAGTTTGCCGTACAAACATTGAATACTCTAATTCTGTTCACATTGACGACGTTGATAACTCACAAGAGAATGTCGCGAAAATGAGATGTGTATAGTTCAGTGAGAAAATCTGATCAACATATGGTGTACGTGATCGCTTTATCTCTGATAGCCTGAGTGCCTTAGGCCTCTATTACTTCCTCTTCAAGGACCTCGACTTCTTTGAGAAGCATGGCGTACCATACATGAAACCTCTGCCGTTAGTAGGTAACATGGGACAAATATTCATATGTCTGAAGTCGCTGGCCGGATTTGTGAAAGAGCTATACGATATGCATCCCGAAGCCAAATATATCGGTATGTATGAATTGACGAATCCGGTGGTGCTGTTGCGCGACCCCGAGCTCATCAGGTTCATGACAGTCAAGCACTTTGACATGTTCTCGGATCATCGTAGCTTCATCCAAGATGACCAAGATCTAATGTTCTCCAAAATCTTGTTTTCCCTTCGCGGCGATAGATGGCGTAAAGTGCGAAGCATGATGAGCCCAGCCTTCACCTCAAGCAAGATGAAATATATGTTTAAGCTCATATCGGATTGTGCATCGATTTCGCCAATTTCATGGCGCAATTGCCGGAGAAGCAGAAGGTGTTAGAAACGAAGGATTATTTTACGCGTTACACCAACGATGTGATCGCCACGTGCGCCTTCGGCGTCAGCGTCGACTCTATGCGAGACCCCAACAATCTCTTTTATCTATATGGAAAGGAGATGATGAAAGGTGTATTCGGTATCATTTCCTTCTTCAAGTTGTATATTTTCAAGTTTTTGCCCCGGGGTAGCGAAACTCTTGAAATTGAAATTCGTTCCCAAAAAGTTGGCAAAATTCTTTAGAGACCTCGTGGAGACCACCATTAAGATCAGGGAAGAGCAGGGACATATATACCCGATCGGATATGTTGCAGCTGATGATGGAAAGTAGGGGCAAGAAAGATAGGCAGGACCTGACAATCGATGACATGACCAACCAGGCTTTCATCTTCTTCTTGGGCGGCTTCGACGGGACTTCAACACTGATGTGTTTCGCCGCCCACGAGGTGGCTGTGAACGACGACGTACGTAAGAAATTGCAAAGTGAGATTGACCAAGTACTGGAGGAAACAAACGGCCAAATGTCGTATGAAGCGATCAACAATATGGAGTACCTGGATGCTGCAGTGAATGAAACTCTCAGGATGTATCCGCTCTACGTTATTTTGGACAGAGTGTGTAAAGAAGATTTCGAACTGCCGTCGACGTTAACAGGTGCCAAACCCTGTATCTTGAAGAAGGGACAATCCGTGTGGATACCAGTATATGGGCTTCATCATGACCCCAAATACTTCAAAGAGACGTTCAATCCCGACAGGTTTATCGACGAGCAGAAGAAACACATCTTCAATACTGAGATATTTCTGCCGTTCGGCTTAGGCCCCAGGATATGTATTGGCAACCGATTCGCTCTGTTGGAAACAAAGGTGTTATTTTTCCACCTGCTGGCACAGTGACCTCCTACGGTGTGAAAAGACGTCGATTTTATTGAAATTAACTAGGATTGGCTTTACTATGAAGGCTAAGGATGGTTTCTGGCTGAAACTAATACCGAGGAAGAAACCGCATCACACCGTCGCTGTTAATATTACGAAGAGCACATGAGACGCGTAGAGAAGCGTTCAATGGCCCGCTGAGTCATGAAAATTTATTATTCGTAACAAGTGCTAGAGACTTCGATATTTGAAATGAAATAATATTCGTATCGGATGAACAATGATACAAGTACAACAGATAAACAATAATAATAATAAAAAATGCAAAAAGAATTATACAGATATTTGAACGATTAGATTGTCAGGCATGGAGCAGTCGCTCTTTCTCCCTCTTTTTTTCTCTCAACTTCTACAATCTGTAAAGTAAAAGCGTGCACGGCATAAGTGGCAGTTTGCTTCAAATATCGTCCTAGTCCTAGTTTTTTGTGAGCCGATAGATGAAATTTTTGTCGTGAATGCTTTGTCACAAAAGATTCAGTTGGCATCGAACTCTAACCTGAGAAACACGTTAACCGCCATGAGTGCCGCACACGCATCGCGCTACGAGGCTGTGTTCCTTTGTTCCCACCCCAAAGGACCAAAAATATCATATGCAGTGGCTGCTAAATACATGGGAAAGTCAAAATCGTTCGTCGCTAAGTGGGTTTAGCAATATAAGAAGATCAAAAATGTCGATGACTTGCCAGAACGTGGCTCGATAGGCAAATTGACACCGAATATGGAAAAAAAAATTATGAATTTGTTCAAGCGGAACCCGACCTTAATGCTTAAAATTTATGAGAAGTGTCTGTTGCCGACTGCTGAACGATACTTCATAAAAAAAACGAGAACTGGATCTTACAGGAAGACAACGACCCAAAACACCGGAGCAAGCTTTGCATCGAGTGAAAAGAGCAGTCTGGCATCGTCACACTTGATTGGCCATCGCAGTCGCCAGATGCAAATCCCATTGAAAATGTGTGGGCATATCTCAAGCACAAGCTTCGATGAAAAAGAGTGTGCACTTTGAAGCAGCTGACACGACAAATTCGTCTTATTTGGAGGTCTTTACCGAACGAATACGCAGTCAACTTAGTGGAAAGTATACCTCGGAGATGCCAGGCAATTATCAATGCCGATGGTGACTGGATTCATTATTAATGGTATAGCATTTTTCTTCTCATGGAGTACAACAAATCCATGTACTTAAAAATCATTAAAAATAAATTTTTCTACACATTAACCCGTGCACGCTCTTACTTTATAGACTGTATTTAGGTAGCTTTATCTTCGAACATTAGCAAAAATGTTGTATTAATAAGAATTATAATTCCGGGATCAATATTGCGATCAATCTCCCGTGGTCTTGATTGAAATTGAATGGTCATAACATTTTATACGATATATAGTTATTATATAATATGCACAACAACTAAGACATGTGACAAAAAACTGAAATGATTCTTTTACTCGAATTAGAAGGCTATATATATATATATGATAAAAATAATATTCAATTTAAGAACGATAAAATAAAAAAGCCTATCGCTTTACAGAAAGTAACATTGATATTGTAATATTCTTTTAATTAAAATAAATAAAATGAAAATAAAATAAATACAGTACACTACAAAAGAGTGAATAATTCTGTTTCAAATAAAAATAAGATATACACATATTGAAAATTCATCAAATGTCTCCGATCTGAATTAAAAATAAATCAAAGCAATTTGTACAGAATTATACATTTCTTCCTGAACCTAAACCCTTGCTATTGGAGTTTTACATGAACAGATAATTGTTGATTACCTTATACCTTGTTTTTTTAATTTTATTTTTCACGAAGGGTTATTATGTGGTTGATTATTATTCACTGAATATTTACATAAGAAATCGAGTGAATGAGGCAATGATATTGCAAAAACTGAGTAGACAATTGCGCCTACAAGTTTCACCAATTCATGCAACTCATCTTTGTGTCAACTGCATTAGAAATATTCCATTCAATATTCGACGCCATGTATTTCAAAATACTAGTAGCACCACAATTATGAAAGTAATGAGTTGATAAGTCGCATATAAGAAAAATATTGCGTCGAGCTCTAGCAGTCACACGTTGAATGCGAGCAGCACTCAAATAACGCGCTCGATTCTCTCTTCACGATTAATCGCGAAGTGTATATGAAACGACATTTAGAATTATGTAAATTCTTATCGTAAATACAGGAGCAATTCTAAATTCGTTCGTCGTCGAGAGTTTCGCGCGCATTGAGATACTGACAGAACGTCGCTCAGTGCTACAATATCCAATTTGGTGAGAAAAGTTCCTTTAATATAGTGTACATAATCGTCCCGTCGGCAATAGCTTTGGTCTCCTATTATTTCCTCTTCAAGAATTTAAACCAGTTCAAGAAGCACAGTATACTACATCTACGGCCTATGATCGTCAATCATGTTTAAGCGGTCTATTGCGGAGCTTATGAAGCAAATATATGATGTAAGCAATGAACCCAAATATATTACGTGTACATCACTATATCAGTAATCATACTACGTGACCTTGAATTCAACATGTATCCGGATCATTACCGATTATGGGGAAGCAGAAGCTATTGTTTGGCAAAACTCTTTTTTCCTTCCGCAGCGACAAATAGCGGGAAGCGCGGACTGTGCTTGATCTTTACATCCAGCAGAATGAAAAATATGTTGAAATTGATGTCGGACTACATCACCTATTTCGATAAATTCGTCGTTACCGGAGAAGCAGAGGGTGATGAAGACAAGAGACATCTTTACTTGCTACACCAACAATATGATCGGTATCTGTGTCGGTTTCCGTGTCAGCGTTAAATCCATGCATACCCTGGAAATCCTCTTCCATGTATATGACAAAAAGACAACGACTTTCAGCACCGTCAGCTTATTGAAAATAAGTATGTTTCCGCGATGCTTCGTTGGCTGACGCGACTGTCTCGACTAGGATTTTTCCTCAAATAAATGACCAAATTTTTTTAAGATCTTGTGGAGATCATTATACGATAACGATATGTAAACGGAGTATAATTTGGCTACATATATATGTCGAAAAGTTCAAGATCAAACACTAAGCAGGGTTAAATTAATGAACTCAATTAAAAAACTCTAAACTATGAACTTTTTTCCCAAATCGGTCTCTTAACTACCGGAGTGTCTTGTGGACATAATTAATTTTGTATTTTATTTTTGCGTTTTTATGTAAAAGTCTTTCCTAATCAATTCTTAGAATTCACTAAACTGTGTGTGTATTACAAAGTAGATAAGATAGAGAAAATGCATACCCTGCATAGGAAAATAGCACAATGTGTTACATTAACATGTCCAATTGACTTTTGAGTGAACAGCATAAAAATACGCGACATAATCTTTGTTGCTTCGTTGTATGTGTACATATAATTTTCTATCCCATGAACAATGGCATGAAAATATACAGTGTCCCACTTCAAATGAGCCAGTCAGGAATCTCGAAAAATATGGAAGGTCAGATTGATCTCAAGAATATATTGTTAATAGCGTCCTGAGTTTTGTTAACTTAATGATTTCGAAATTTCCAAAGGTCGATAAATTAACAAAAGTTAGGACACTATTGTAGCAATATATTCTTGAGACTAAATATACACGTTATGTATGTGTGTGTGTGTGTGTGCATATACGAATTATACAAATTTTCCATTGTCGATTATACTGGACTCCCTCTTTCTTTCTTTCTCCCTTTGGGGCTTTGGGACTTTTAATCTCACCATCAAGATAGCTTTACCGTTGGAAAATAGCAAAGTTTATAAGTCAATAAGAATCATAATTTCACATCTCAGAATAAAACACACAGACGTGCGTACACATTACGGTTTTTCGTACATTGGATAATTATAAACTTTCATACTACGATGTAAATACGATTGCAGAATATGCATAATAATTAAGAGATATGATAAGGCAGATATAAACCTGTAACGATTCTTTTATTCGAGTCAAAGGTTTATTTTATTCAAAATATATTATCATTGATTACGTTACATTATATCTTATCTTTTTCTCTTAGTTTTCATAGGAAATTAGCTTCTAGTCGATTATTACGATTCACAGAACGTGTGTGTAAGTTATCGACAGAACAAGACAATGATAATATACAAATTGAATAGAAAACTGCAGCTATAAGCCTCATCAACTTATGCAATTCATTTCTGCGTCAACTGTATTGGAAATATTCCATTCAATATTTACTACTAAATATCTCAAAGTAGCGTCAAATACGTAAATGATGACTCAATAAGTGCGTGAGTCATATATAGGAGCAACATTGCGCCAGGCATTAGCAATTGTACGTTGAGTGTTAACAACATTCAAATAGCTCGCTCCATTCTCCTCTCACGCTTAATCACATGAAACGATATTCAGAATGACATAAATTTTTCTTGCAAACACTGAAGCGATTCTAAATCCGTTTCAGCGCTGTAGTAACCAGTTTAGTAAAAAAAAAATTTCTTCAACATGATGTACATGATCGTCCCGTCAGCAATAGTCGGAGTCTTGAGCTTCTGATACTTTTTTATTAAGGACTTGATTCAGTTCAAGAAGCATAATATATCACATCTACTGCCTCTGCCGTTGATAGGTAAACATGAAGTTGTCAATCGTATGGCGAGGTTTATGAAGTAAATTTATGATGCAAATAACGAATCCAAATATACATGATATAATTATGCCAGTAATAATACTATGTGACCTAGAGTTCGAGATACCATATATCCGAATCATTGCAGATTCTTTCGTGGGAATCAGAAGCCGTTGTTTGGCAAAATTCTCTTTCCCTCTGTGGCAAAAGATAACGAGAGGGGCGGACCATGCTAAGCTTGACTTTTACGTCCTGCAAGATGAAAAATATGTTCAGACTAATATCGGATTACGCCACCGATTTCGACAAATTTATTGTTACCCGAGAAGCAGAAGATGATAAAGGCGAGGAACTTTACACCAACAACGTGATCACGTCACACCTGCGCCTTTGGCATCATCATCGACTCTATGTATGACCCGAAAAACTTCTATATACGAATATACGGCAAAAGAGGTGACAACTTCCGGCAGCATATTGTAAATGTTATCTTTTCACGACCATGCTTGCCATGGCTGGTACGACTGTTCCAATTATGGTTCTTTCGCAAGAAGATGGCGAAATTTTTTCAGAATCTTGAGATCACCATGCGATAACGAAACATGCAAACGGCATATAATTTGGCATATAATTTGACATACGTCGAAAAATTCTTCAGGATCAAGCACCGAGATAAGCCTAAATTAGAAAACTAAATAGAAATAAAAAAATACAGAATTATTTCAACGCTTATATGAAACCAGTCTTTTCACTACCTCTCCCTCATTCCGGAGACTCTTTCTAGCACATTAGACTTCGTACCTTGTTTTTGCATTTTTATGAATAAAGAATGTTTACCAACCGGTTCTTAGAATTCATTGAACTGTGTATGTGTGTGTGTGTGTGTATGTTACAAAGCAAATAAGATAGCAAAAACATATTTACATATATGCTATGCAAAAGTATATTTTGCATAGCTGAATAACGCAATATGTTATATTAACATATGCAACTGGATTGTGAGTAAATAATCTAAAAAGTATACTAGATAACTTTCGTTACTGATTGCATACGTATAACTTCCTACTTCATAAGCAATGACATGGAAGTACACACACATTTATATATATATATATATATACAGCAAGATATATGCAAATTAATAGCAGTTGACCATTCATTGTCGACGAGGTAGTTGCTGCGTCTCCATGCTGTATTATTTGCTTGCGTTTAATCGATTACACCATAAAAGAACATTTAACTAAGTTTACCATTTTAATAGAAACTTTACTTGCTTCCATATTCGCAGCTTTATACTCGCGAACATATTCTGATTGAGCATCACGCTGTATTGTATCCAGTTCAGTGAGAACACATCCGATCGACATGGTGTACGCAATCGGCTTGTCATTGATAATCGGGGCCTTCGGCCTTCATTACTTCTTCTTCAAGAACTTGTATCTGTTCAAGAATTATAACATACCGTATTTGAAACCTTGGCCATTAGTGGGCAATATGGGACAGGTAGTCTTCGGTAAGAAATCGGTAGGCGAATCTTCAAAAATAATGTATGACAAGTATCCTGGAGCCAAGTATGTCGGTATATACGATTTCCTCAAGCCGGTGATAATGATACGTGACCCTGAGCTCATTAAGTCCATCGCAATCAAACATTTTGACATGTTCACGGATCATCGCGACTTCATCCAATATGACCAAGATCCGCTCGCATCCCAGGGCTTGTTCTTTCTTCGTGGCGACAAATGGCGGAAGATGCGAGCAATATTATCTCCGTCCTACACATCTAAGAAGATGAGAACCATGTTCAAGCTAATATCCGACTACGCTGTCGATTTCACCGACTTTTTGGTGCAATTGCCACCGGAGAAGAGGGTGTTGGAAACGAAAGACATCTTTACACGTTACACCATCGACGTGATCGCCACTTGCGCTTACGGCATCAGTATCAATTCCATGCGAGATCCAAAGAATCTTTTTTACATGTCCGCAAAAGATGTAGTTATTTCAGAGATTATCAACGTTCTTAAGTTCGCTGTAACAGAAAGTTTACCGTGGTTGGCACGGGTAATCAAATTGAGGATCATCAGTGAGAAAATTACGAATTTCTTCCGGGACCTCATAGAGACCACCGTCAGGACCAGAATCCAGAAGGATATAGTTCGGTCGGACATGCTGCAACTGATGATGGAAACTAGAGATGGTAACAAGGAATTAACGATTGATGATATTGCCAGCCAAGCATTCACTTTCTTCTTCGCCGACAACCAGACTACCTCGAACTTGATGTGTTTCGCCGCACACGAGATCGCTGAAAATGAGAAGGTGCAGAAGAGATTGCAAAATGAGATTGACCAAATGTTGGAGGACACAAATGGCCAAGTATCGTACGAAGCGATTAACAATATGGAGTACTTGGGTGCTGTACTGAACGAAGCTCTCAGGAAGTACCCTATCGCCCCTTTATTGGACAGAAAGTGTTTGTTAGAGTTCGAGTTGCCGCCAACATTAACAGACGCGAAGCCCTTCACCTTGAAGAAAGGAGAATCCGTGTTAGTTTCGGTATTCGGGCTTCATTATGATCCCAAATACTTTGAAGAACCGGAAAAATTCAATCCCGACCGGTTCGTTGGCGAGCAGAAGAAACATATTGACAAAATAGGAGCTTTCTTGCCGTTTGGTTTAGGCCCCAGGAAGTGCATTGGTTATCAATTTGCCTTGATGGAGTTGAAGATATTATTATTCCATTTACTGGCACGGTGTGACCTTCTGCCTTGCAAGAAGACTCAGCTTCCGCTAAAATTTGCCAAGCACTCTTTCTTTCTGAAGACTGAAGGTGAGTTGTGGCTGAAAGTGGAACCGCGGGAGAACCCACATCACACCATCGTCACGAAAGTCGCAAACTGTACGCAAGATCTATAGGAATTGTTTTTTATTTACGAATTCTGGGGATTTAAATGTAAATGATGCGGGCAATATTATTAATGAATGTGAAATGATATTCACATGTAAATAAAAATAATAATATATAATAACAGTGTACTTATGCAATCAATGTAGTTTTAAGAATTTACTTAATATATATTAAATAACATATATATTTTATATATTAAGTAATTTTAAAGTATACATCTTAAGGTATATATTATACATATATTAAGTATTGAAGTATATAATTTACTTAATATATATTAAGTAAGGTATATATTAAGAATGATTAAAATATAAAAAAATAATAGTAAAGAAAAAAGATTTCTTTATAATTCTCGGATAGAATTGACGGCGAATTCTCGGGTAAAATGATATTAGAAAATTGCTTCATCGTCAAAGCCACAACTTACACATAGCTGCGTCGATAGCACTAATTTTGAAGTTTACATTAAGAATGCTGTTAAGACGAAACATATAAATTCCTAAAGAAGAATGAAGCATGCACATTTATCCGTTAATTGGTGTAAGAAATGTAATATACAATCCGGAATAACATATAATCCAGCGATTGTAATCGGCGTCTATAATTGTATTGCCTCGTTTTCATTTTTCCATATATACAGAGTGTATTAGAGCGACCGTTTCAGGCGTTTTTTTTCGAAAAATATACATTTTTGAAAAAAATGTTTCATACAAAGTTACTAGGGTTTTATAAGGCGCATTACATGACAATATTATTGTGACCTTGAATAGCGTTGTCAAAGTCACGTGGAGGTCAAATTTAATTTTTAAATGGAATTCCTTATTTTTCACTACATGTTCTTGTAGCATATCTTGAGAGCTTTGCAAAATACTATAATGAACTATTTTTCCATTAAGTACTTTGCGAGTTACGAGGCCTGAAAGTTGCTCCGACCAATTTTTTTCGCAACAGAATGGCGAAATTTTTTCAGAATATTGTGGAGATTATCATACGATAACGATATGCGCGCAAACAAAATATAATTTGGCGACACACACATCAAAAGTCTTTAAAGATCAAGCACCGAAACAGAGTTAAGGATGCGCACACAATTAATCGGAAGACGTTGTACGTCATATGTATGTCATATGTACCAATCATAACCTCACAACTGACAATTGTAGACCCACCCTTAGGGTGCTCACACTATGGCCAGGTCTACAATAGGTGTTGTAAGCTGTAAACCATAAGAACTGACCAATTATAGCCGACTTTTGTAATAATCGACTGTGATTCGCCAATTCTTACGACTTACAACTTACGATACGTATTGTAGATCAGGACTTCATGTAGGCGCACTTTAAAAATAAACTCAGTGGGATTAAAAGAGTTAGAACTATCAACATTTCCCCCAAACTGGTCATTTCGCAACTAGAGTCTGTTGCGCATACATTCCCATTTTATTTTTGAGTTTTTATGCTAACGTGTTTCGTGTTTTTATTTCAATATATTTCGCAAACAGTTCTTAGAATTTACTGAACTATGTTAGGAAGAAAATAAGATAGTGAAAATGCAAACTCTCCAAAGACTACAGCGTATTATATTAACATATGTAATTATTTTTGAGATAAGAACATAAAAGTGACATAAATTTCATTGCATACTGTAGTTTCCTTCTACATAAACAATGATGCGAACATACCTACATGATAAAGTATGCACAGGGAAATAATAGTTGGCCATTTACTGTCAACGACGTTGTTCGTTTTACATTCGTCCTCTGCACGCGCCTTGCTCGCGATAGCCGGAGTTTTAGCCACTTATTACTTCTTCTTCAAGAACCCAAACGAGTTCAAGAATCATGGAATACCATACGTGCGACCTTTGCCATTGGTGAGCAACATGGGACAACTAATCTCTGGCCAGAAAACAGCACCCGAATTTTTCAAATTGATATACGGTGAGTATTTCGAGGCCAAATATGTTGGTATGTATAACTTCTTCATGCCAGTGATAATGCTGCGCGATCCCCAGCTTATCAAATCTGTCGCGATCATACAATTTGACATGTTCACGGATCATCGCGTCTACGGACAGAATGGCCGACGATCCGCGCGTAACTCGCATTTTGTTCTTTCTTCGTGGCGACAAGTGGCGGCAGATGAGGTCTATAGCATCTCCGGCCTTCACGTCTAGCAAGATGAAATACATGTCCAAGTTAATATTCAATTACGCTGTCGACTTCATCAATTTTCTAGTGCAATTGCCACTGGAGAAGAGGGTGATGGAGATGAAAGACATTTTCACGCGCTATAACACCGATGTGATCGCGACTTGCGCCTACGGCATCAGTATTGATTCTATGCGGAACCCAGAGAATCTTCTCTGACTGTAAAAAACTCAACTATTTTGTAGGTTTTCAGTATCTTCAACAATGCCATATATCAATCAAAGATGTTATGGCTGGCAGGGTTACTCAAGCCAAAAGTCATCAGCGAGAAGATCGCAAATTTTCTCAGGGACGCTGTGGAGACCATCATCAGAATTAAGATCCAGAAGGGCATAATTCGATCGGACATGTTGCAACTGATGATGGAAAGCAAAGACAAGAAAGGCGATAACAAGGAACTAACAGTCGAGGATATGGCTGCCCTAACTTTCACTTTCTTCTCCGCTGGGTACGAAACAAGTTCGACGTTAATGTGTTTCGCCTCGCACTGGATCGGACGAAATGAGAAGGTGCAGAACAGATTGCAGGACGAGATTGATCGGGTGCTGGAAGATAGGGCCAACCGTCGTATGAAGCGATCGACAACATGGAATATCTGGATGCTGTACTAAACAAAGCTCTCAGGATGTATCCTTCCACTATGGTGATTGAGGGAAGGTGCGTGAAAGATTTCGAATTACCGCCGACGTTATCTGGTGCAAAGCCCTACGTCGTGAAAAAAGAAGATAATATGGATACCGATTTATGCACTCCAGCATGACATCAAGTATTTCAAGGAACCGGAGAAATTCAATTTCGACCGATTCGTTGGCGAGAAGAAATATATTGGCAAAATGGGGGTTTTTTTGTCGTTTATTTTAGGCCGCTCAGGATGTGTATTGGTTATCGATTTGCCCTGATGGAAATGAAATTATTATTGTTTCACCTACTAGCACGGTGTGATCTCCTGCCATGTGAGAAAAGTCAAATTCCCCTGAAGTTTACCAAGTACGAGATGAATATAATGCCTGTGGCTGGATTTTGGCTAGAAATGGAGCCACAGAAGAACTTGCATCACGCCGTTCATCATTAATATCGCAAACGGCATGTGAGATCGGTAAGAATTTTCGTTGGGTCGGGAACCTTAAGAATTCATATGTGAATAGTACGGGAAACAATATTTATGAATAATATTTACGAAATGATATTTACACATAGTAATTGTATATAAAAATTAATAACTATTATTAATGGTATGAATATTAAAAGTAAGAAATGTTTGATAATAAAGATAAGAATGTTTTCTTAACCGCCGAATTCAGTGATATCGAAGAATTGTTTCAATGCGACAAGCTATTACAAGCTATTACGTGTACAACTTTGCTTCCGCCGTTTTTTTTCCGAAATTCGTGGCTTTATTGTAAAAAACTGGTTATACATTTATGATTCAAAGTATTGTCCATCGCTGGCCACTACTTTCTCCCATTTTTCGGGCAGCGTACGAATCCCGCGTTGAAAAAACTGGTCATCTTTTGCAGCGATCCACGAATCGATCCAATTTCTTACTTCTTTATAAGACCAGAAGTGCTGGTCAACCAGGCCGTGTGCCATTGATCGAAACAAGTGATAGTCAGAGGGAGCAACGTCTGGAGAATACGGCGGGTGGGGTAGGACTTCCCATTTCAACGTTTCCAAGTATATCTTGACCACTTTCGCAACATGGGGTTGAGCATTATCATGCTGCAAAATCACTTTATCGTGTCTCTCGTTGTATTGCGGCCGTTTGTCTTTCAATGTTCGGCTTAAACGCATTAATTGAGTTCAATAACGATCGCCTGCGATTGTTTCAGTCGGTTTTAACAGCTCATAATACACTACGCCGAGCTGGTCCCACCACATACAGAGCATGACCTTGGCCGTGAGTATTCGGTTTGGCCGTCGACGTGGAAGCATGGCCGGGATATGCCCATGATTTTCTGCGCTTGAGGTTATTGTAATGAATCCATTTTTCGTCCGCAGTCACAATGCGATGCAGAAATCCCTTCCGTCTTTGCCATTCAAGCAACTGATCACAAGCAAACAAACGCCGTTCAACATCTGTCAGTTTCAACTCGTACGGCACCCAATTTCCTCGCTTCTGAATCATTCGCATGTCTTTGAGGCGTTTTGAAATTACTTGTTGAGTCACTCCCAATGATCGTGCCAATTCTTCTTGACTTTGACACGAGTCTTCATTAAGTAATGCCTCTAATTCTGCATCTTCGAAAACCTTCTCTCTTCCACCGCTATGCCGGTCTTCGACGTGAAAATCACCATTCTTGAAGCGTTTAAACCATTCACGACACGTTCTTTCATTAATAGCGGCCTCACCATAAGTATTTGAAAGCATTCTATGAGCCTCAGCCGCAGATTTCTTCATATTGAAGCAGAAAGTTAAAACCTCCCGCAAATGACGAGAATTTGGCTCGTAAACTGACATTTTCAATTGAGAATATTTTATGATGCAGACACAAATCGACTAATGTTTCTATGGGGTTATGTTGACAGATGTCCAAGTTTATTGCATGACGTCTATGATCTATTTATTTCGACCACTACTTATGTACCGCTAAAGCCATTTATAGGAAAACGGCGGAAGCAAAGTTGTACACCTAATACTTCATATATAGCTGTCCATTGTACCAATATTGATTATTATTAATGAAATGTCTGTTAAAGTCTGTTAAAGTAAACTAAATTGTAGAGGAGGACAATGTTTTTATCTATCAGCTTATAAGGAATATGTCACACTGTCCGGAATAATATACAGGATGTCCCATTTAACTTGAGACATCGAAATAACTCGAAAACAAAGAAGAAAAACAAAAATCGCTGAAACACATGTCGAACGAATTCCGAGGACGAGTAAAATGGCATGATTCCTTTTTCATTTGGTGGACATTCTTAAGGTGATTTTAAGATCAATTTTATTATTTCAAATAAAAACTTATATTTTTTTATGACGGAAGCATATTTTACGTAGAAAAAAACAATTAACTTTTGTCGGAAGAAATTTTTTATTTGATCATTATTTTCGAAGATATAACTTTCGTTGTGCAATATGGATATAAAACTTTCTGTTCCATAAATAATGACACTATATAGACAAAGTATGTGCAGAGCAATAATAGTTGGCTTTTCATTATCAACGAAGTTGCTGCTGCGCCCAAAATCTTTCTTTGCTAGTACCTAATCATACGTACGATAAAAGAACATATAACTTGTTATTTAAAACATTAAAGATCCTACATCGCACCGACAGCTTTATACTTGCGAATATCTTCCAATCAAACAGTACAAGGTGCTGTGTCCAATTCAGTGAGGATAGATTCGATCGACATGATATACACGATTATCTTTTCCACGATAATCGGGGCTTTAGTCTTTTATTACTTATTCTTCAAGAATCTGAACGAGTTCAAGAATCATGGCATACCATATGTGCGACTTTTGCCAATAGTGGGCAACATCGGACAGGCAGTCATCGATAAAAAATCGTTGGGCGAAATTTTGAAAATGCTGCATCTTGACGAGTATCCTGAAGTCAAGTACATCGTTATGTACGAATTTCACATGCCGGTGGTAATGCTACGTGACCCCGAGCTCATCGAGTCCATCGCGATCAATCACTTTAACATGTTCCCGAATCATCGCGTCTTACTCCAGTTTGACCAGGATCCGTTTATATCCCAGACCTTGTTCATTCTCCGTGAAACACCACTTGCGCCACGAGAAGTGGCGCAAGAGCCGGACAATTCTGAGTCCGGCCTTTACGTCTAGCAAAATGAAAAACGTGTTCAAACTAAAAACGCTATACCATTAATAATGAGTCCAGTCACCACCGGCATTGATAATTGCCTGGCATCTCCGAGGCTACTTTCCACTACAGTCTGTAAAGTAAGAGCGTGTACGGATTAATGTGTAGAAAAATTTATTTTTAATGATTTTTAAGTACATGGATTTATTGTACTCCATGAGAAGAAAAATGCTATACCATTAATAATGAGTTCAGTCGCTACCGGCATTGATAATTGCCTGGCATCTCCGAGGCATACACTTTCGAGGACTTTCCACTAAGTTGACTGCGTATTCGTTCGGTAAAGACCTCCAAATGAGACGAATTTGTCGTGTCAGCTGCTTCAAAGTGCACACTCTTTTTCCTCGAAGCTTGTGCTTGAGATATGCCCACACATTTTCAATGGGATTTGCATCTGGCGACTGCGATGGTCAATCAAGTGTGACGATACCAGACTGCTCTTTCCACTCGGTGCAAAGCTTGCTCCGGTGTTTTGGGTCGTTGTCTTCCTGTAAGATCCAGTTCTCGTTTTTTTTTATGAAGCATCGTTCAGCAGTCGGCAACAAACACTTCTCATAAATTTCAAGCATTAAGGTCGGGTTACGCTTAAACAAATTCACAATTTCTTTTCCCATATTCGGCGTCACTTTGCTTATCGAGCCACGTTCTGGCAAGTCATCGACATTTTTGATCTTATATTGCTGAACCCACTTAGCGACGAACGATTTTGACTTTCCCATGTATTTAGCAGCCACTGCATATGACATTTTTGGTCCTTTCGGATGGGAACAAAGGAACACAGCCTCGTAGCGCGATGCGTGTGCGGCACTCATGGCGGTTAACGTGTTTCTCAGGTTAGAGTTCGACGCCAACTGAATCTTTTGTGTCAAAGCATTCACGACAAATATTTCACCTATCAGCTCACAAAAAATCTAGAACGATATTTAAAGCCAACTGCTATTTATTCCGTACACGCTCTTACTTTACAGACTGTAAGTGCTGCAGCAATCTCCCGCAACGATTCGAATGGGTTTTCATCAATGGTCTTGATATCCCTTCAATCAATCTCGGTCGGGAGACCAGAACGGGATGCATCATTGACGTCGCAATATCCAGAACGGAATTTGGCAAACCACTTGGAATATACGCGTTCTCTTAAAGCATTATCTCCATATACACAACACATTTTTTATGAACCTCCATAGCTTGGTTGCCTTTTTTGAAATACAACATAATACAGCAAAATGTGACGATAATGCACATTATTTACTTCCATCTTCCCAACTACGCAGCACATACAATACTGATGTTAGCCAAACCAAGATCCACAGAAAAGTTACGAGGGTAGTCCCAGAAATACCTGACCTAACAAAAAATAAACAAAAAATTTCGGAGAAAATATCTTTATTTCTCTACATGGTCTCTTTTTAGCTCAATACACTTTTCCCAGCGATATTCAATAACTTCGATACCTTGTTTATACTGGGAATCGTCGAGCTCCTCAAAATAGCCATCAACCGCAGACTCCACCTCTTCATTGTTGGCAAATCTTTTACCACCGAGCCATTTTTTCAAGTTTGGAAACAGAAAATAATCTGAGGGGGCAAAATCTGGCGAATAGGGTGCGTGAGGAAGTAATTCGAACTCATTGATTTTGGCCATCGCGATAACGAATGTGTGAATTGCATTGTCTTGATGAAACAAAACTTTCTTTTTCGTCAAATGCGGCCGTTTCTTCTTGATTTCATCACTCAAACGCTGCAATAGGTTCGCATAATACTCGCCGTTGATTGTTTTTCCTTTCTGAAGATAATGAATGAAAATTATCCCACGTGCATTTCAAAAAACTAACGACATGACCTTGCCTGCAGATGGAACTGTCTTCGCCTTCTTTGGAGCCGATTCTCCCCTTTCAGTCCATTGTTTTGACTGTTGCTTCGTCTCAGGTGTGAAGCGATGGACCCATGTTTCATCCATGGTTATGCATCGACGCAAAAACTCGGCTTTATTGCTGTGAAACTTCACCAAACACTCGATTGAAACATCCTCACAACGCTGTTTTTGTTCCATTGTGAGTAATCGCGGCACCCATCTTGCGCACAGATTTCTCATGTCCAAATTTTCAATCAATATGCGATGTACAGCATTTTTTGAAATGCCTACCATGTCTGCTAACTCGCGCACTTTCAGTCGACGGGCATCCAATACCATTTTGTGGATTTTCTTCACCATTTCTGGCATGGTCACCTCATTTGGTCGACCACTGCGATGTTCGTCTTGGCAGCTCGTACGGCCTCGTTTAAACTCTGCCACCCAATATTTTACTGTTGTAAACGAAGGAGCAGACTCCCCCAAAGTAGAATCTAGCTCCGCTTTGATACTGGTTAGACTGAGGCCTTTCAAATGAAAGTATTGTGTCATATAAAGATGACCAATTTTTTCCATGTTACAAATTCACTGAGAGCGTTAACTATTGATGGCTGCCAAACAAATACTAAACAACGTAGCGTCGTCAAACTTCAAACTTAAGCTTTATAAGGTTGGTACTTTCTACCATAGTCATTCTTTTCAAACAACAACTGCCATCTATATGTCAGGTCGGGTACTTCTGGGACTATCCTCGTATGTAAAACACAATCCTTCAAATACGCATTCGAGTTGCACGATAGTAGGTTTGTACTTTTTAGCTGCACTGCTGAACCGGTGCAATAAATTAGAGTGAGAAAAAATATAGTTATCTCACTCTAACTTGTTGCACTAGTTCAGCAGTGCAGCTAAAAAGAATAGACTAAGTGTACAGAAAAAAAAGTAAATCAGAATGAACGTGCATTGAAGCAAAGACTGAACGAACTTATTTGTAAACCAATATGTAACAGGAGCAACAAGACCAAGTACATCGTACAGATGTGCGAATCAAAAAATTTTATATCGAATCGAATCAAATCTCATTTTTTAAATTCGAATTCGAATCGAATCGAATCTATGAAATTTCATTCGAATTCGAATCGAATCGAATCAAATCGAATCGAATCATAAAAAAATTTAACATGACCATTAAACATGACTATTAAACATGCAAATAATGATGGAAGATTTTAATATGAAAGGAAATATTGATATTATGTTATAATATCATCTTAAAATAAAATATATATTTAAATATTTAAAGTAATTTATAATTAAGTTATTAATTATAAGTTAAGTTAATTACAAGTTAAGGGTTCTAACATACAGACCCAGATGGCCCGTTTTATAACTGATGCACGCAAACGATAATGTATTTGATTCATATTCTAATTATTCGGAATCGACTCACAGGGATTCGGGTTCGAATCGAATCGAATTACATTAGATTTGATTCAATTCGATTCGAATTCGAATAGTTCGCACATCTCTAGTACGTCGGTATGTACAATATGACTACATCAGCAATAATACTGTGCGACCATGAACTCATTAACAACTCACTTCCACTCAGGCACTTCGACAATGTTTCCGGATCATCGCAGCCTCATCCGGGAGGATCAAAAGTTATTGTCCGACGAAAATTGTCCTTTTTTTCGCTAAAACAAATAGTGGGAGATGCGGACTATTATGAGCCCGGCCTCAAGTCCAACAAAATAAAAAATATGTTGAGATTGACGTCGGGCTATGTCACCGATTTCGTCAAATTCATAATTATCGGAGGAGCAGAGGTTGATGAACGAACGATTTCTTCGCTCATTACACCACGATGTGATCGTCATCTGCGCCACTGACGTCAGTGATGACTCCACGCAAGTGACTTCGGATATCTATTCTACATATACGGTAAAGAGATATCGATCAGTTCAGCACCGTCAGTTTATTGAAAAAGTACGTTTCCACGATGCTGTCGTGGTTGGCACAGCTGCACTACTTAAAGTCACTTTCGCAACAAGATGACGAAATTCTTTCAGAATGCTGTGAAAATCATTATGAGAATGATGCGCATGCAAACAGCCTATAATTTGACTACACATATATCAAAAAGTCTTTAAAGATCAAGCACCAAAACAGCGATAAACCAATAAACTCAGTGGAATTAAAAAACTCAGAACTCCCAACTTTTTCCCCAAACTGGTCTCTTCCACCAGAGTCTCTTATGGACACATCCTCGTGTTTCGTTTTCGTGTTTTAGGCTAATGTATTTCGCAATCGGTTCTTAGAATTCACTGAACTACATTAAAAGGCAGATAACACAGTACAAATGAAAACTTTCCATAAATGAATACCACAGCGTATCGTATTAACATGTGCAATTGATTTTTAAGTTAACAACGTAGAAAGTACACTATATCAGTTTCGTTGCACAATATGCATTGTAATTTTCTTCTCCATAAGGAATGATATGGAAGGATATATATGACAAAGGACGAAGAGGAAAATAACAGTGGATAATTCATTGTCAACAACGTTACTTGCATTACACTCTTCCTCTCTTCCTCGTACTCAATCGGACTTACGATAAAAGAATATTTAACTTTTTATGATGATTGATTTTTATGATGAATGATTTAACCGTTGTTTAAAAAATTGGAAATTCTATGTGCTTTCGTACAGATCGACAGCTTTATACTTGCCAATTTCTGCTAATCAAACAACAGTGCTGTACCCAGTTCAGTGAGAACACATCAGATCGATATGCTGTATGCGATCGTCTTGTCCGCGTTAGCCGGAGTTTTAGCCATTTATTACTTCTTCTTCAAGAACCCGAACAAGTTCAAGAATCAGGGGATACCATATGTGCGACATTTGCCATTGGTGGGCAACATGGGACAAATAATCTTCGGCCAGGAATCAATACCCGGATTCTTAAAATCGGTATACAGTGAGCACCCCGAGGCCAAATACATTGGTATGTACGACTTCCTCACGCCAGTGATAATGTTGCGCGACCCCGAGCTCATCAAGTCCATTGCCATCACACACTTTGACATGTCCACGGATCATCGAGCAGAGTAATATGTTCCTTTTGTTTCTTCGTGGCGACAAGTGGCGGCAGATGAGGTCTATAGCATCTCCGGCCTTTACGTCTAGCAAGATGAAATACATGTATAACCTAATATCCGACTACGCTGTTAGTTTCACCAATTTTCTGATACAATTGCCACCGGAGAAGAGGGTAATAAAGATGAAAGACATATCCGTACGCTTCACCACCGACGTGATTGCCACTTGCATCTACGGCATCAGTGTTGACTCTATGCGAAACCCAGATAATCTTTTCTATATGACCGCAAAAGATTTAAATACTTCAGAGCTTTTCAGCTTATTGAACAACGCTATAAATCAACCAAATGTGGCATGGCTGGCATGGCTGTCAAGGATATTCAAGCCAAAGACCATCAACAAGAAGGTCACGAAATTCTTTAGGGACATCGTGGAGACCACCATCAAGACCAGGATCCATAAGGGCATAGTCCGGTCGGATATGTTGCAACTGATGATGGAATGCAGGGACAAGGAAGAAGGCAATAGGAAGAAAATGACAATCGAGGAAATAGCTGCCCTAGCTTTTAGTTTCTTCTTTGCCGGCACCGAAACTAGTTCGTCGTTAATATCTTTCGTCACGCACGAGGTCGCGGAAAATAAGAACGTACAGAGAAGATTGCAGAATGAGATTGATCAGCTGCTGGAAGACACGAACGGCCAACCTTCGTATGTAACAATCAACAACATGGAGTATTTGGATGCTGTACTGAAAGAAGCTCTCAGAGTATATCCTGTCGCTATGGTGTATGACAGAATATGCGTGAGAGATTTCGAGTTGCCGCCGGCGTTAACTGGGGCAAAACCCTACGTAGTGAAGAAAGGGGATCTCTTATGGATACCGGTTTATGCACTCCATCATGACATCAAGTATTTCAAGGAACCAGAAAAATTCAATCCTGACCGGTTCATTGGCGATGAGAAGAAACATATCGACAAAACGGGGGCTTTTTTGCCGTTTAGTTTAGGTCCCAGGATGTGCATTGGTTATCGATTCGCCCTGCTGGCGATGAAATTGTTATTGTTCCACCTACTGGCACGGTGTGACCTTCTGCCTTCTGACAAAACTCAGATTCCGCTGAAGTTTGCCAAGTACAATTTTATTTTGACTGTTGAGGGTGGGATATGGCTAAAAATTGAGCCGCGGAAGGATCCACATCGCACTATTGTTAATGATACAAGTGGCAGTAAAGATCTGTAAGAATTTTCGTTGGTTCGAAAACCTTAACTCTTTTAGTGCCGATCTAAAGAATTTTATTTACTAGGTGTGCAACTAAGTTTCCGGGTTTCACATATGGATGGCGTTAACGACACATGTAGTCGACATACATGTCTGAAGTTGTGTTTTTTTATAGTTTGGACATCTGTTAACAATAACCAGTCGTAATACGAACACATATCGCAACGCAAAAATATTTTTTCTAACAACGAAGATGTCGAGTTTTGTGTCAAATAAAAAAGCATTTGCGGGAAGCTTTGCTTTTCTGCTTTAACTTGAAAAAAAGTGCAGGTGAAGCACGTCGTTTGCTTGAGGAGGCCTACGACGAACATGCACCATCGAAAACTACCTGTGAAAATTGGTTTAAATGTGAATTCAGAAGTGGCGATTTCGACACTGAGGACAAGGAGCGCTCCGGAAGACCAAAAACAAGCCGGAGGACGCCGATCTGCAAGCGTTATTGGATGAAGATGATACGCAAATACAAGATCAACTTGCGGAGGCATTAAACATGACTCGCCAAGGTATTTCCAAACGTTTACCATTTGCCATGGGAAAAATTCAAAAGGAAGGAAAATGGGTGCCGCATGAGTTGACTGAGAGACAGATGGAAAATCGAAGAGCCACTTCCGAAATTTTGCTTTTGCGACATGAAAGAAAGAGTTTCCTGCATCGAATTGTTACTAGCGATGAGAAGTGGATATATTTCGAGAATCCCAAACGCAAAAGATCGTGGCTTTCACCTGGCGAAGCATCAACATCGACGGCACGGCCAAATCACTTCGGAAAGAAGACAATGTTCTGCGTTTGGTGGGACCAGAAAGGAATCGTGTATTATGAGCTGCTGAAACCGGGCGAAACTGTCAATGGGCATCGCTACCGACAACAACTGATCAATTTGAAGCATGCACTCGAAAAACGGCCAGAATGGGACACGAGACACGAACGAGTGATATTGCAGCACGACAACGCTCCGTGCCATCGCACTTCCATCGTCCAGGACACCATCAAAACGCTGAAATGGAATCTGCTACCGCACCCGCCGTATTCGCCAGACCTGACCCCTTCCGATTATCACTTGTTCCGGTCGATGGCGCATGGCTTGGCTGGGCAACACTTGGCCAATTTCGAAGAAGTGCAAAATTGATTGGATGAATGGTTTCGGTCCAAAGACGCGTCGTTTTATCGTCGCGGTATTCATGTATTGCCAGAGAGATGGCAAAAATGTGTAGCTAGCGAGGGACGATACTTTGAATAAACCATTTTTTGTATTTCTCTTGAAATTTTCCATTTTCATTGATCAAAAGAACCGGAAACTTAGTTGCGCACCTAGTAAACGAAGAATGCCGAACCAAGTTGATGTAATTTAGTAAGATTTGAGAAAAAATATACACATAAGTATACGCATAAAAGTAAGAATGATATTAAATTCAAAAGAAACATATTACGAAATAAAGGGAGAATAAATTATTGCTAACTTTCAATATTTGTTATTATTTCAATATTTGTTGAAAATCGTACTAATATTTATTCAAGATCATTAGGAAAAATGGGAAAATCAGTAATTTTTTATAAACAGTATTTGCAAATAAGAAGAATCATCGTTTGGTCAAAGTTTGATGTAGTATAAAGCATAAATACTGCATCTTCAATTATTTATAACAAAATTACTAATATCAAGGCACAAAACTAAATGATAATCTCATGATGCGCAGCAAGCATCAGAAGCATCGCGGAATATAACAGAAAGTTAAACTTATAAACAATTTTTTTAATTCGTGGGATACCTCACATAGGATTTCTGAAAAGAAATTCAACCATTTATGATGTTTTATAAATTTATTTTGAAACAGATTTCTCTCGTGATGCGAATAGTAAGGCGTCATCGCATGCGCAACGATATATCGTCGTTGGCACTTTTCGCAAGTGTTGCTAATAACGATATATCATTATTCGGCACTATAATAATTAAGGATTCACATGTGAACAGTACATAACATAATAGAAAACATAATTAATAAATGCGAGATGATATTCACACATACTGGTTGTGTTTAAAAATTAATAACGAATATTGAAAGTATAAAAAGCTTGATAATAAATATAAGAATATCTTCTGTATCGCCGTTCTCCGAATTCACTAATATCAGAAAATTGTTCCAATGTCAAAGCCACAAGCTACATCACACAGAATTATGTCCGTTGTACCAATGTTGATCATTAATGAAATTCCTGTTAAGATTGGACAGACTAGATTGTAGAGGAGAATAATGTTTACTTATCAACTCGTGTAGAATATATTATATTTTCCGGATATTTTCCGGAATAATATTTAATCCAGTGCCTGTGTCCGACACCTCTGCAATTGTATTGCCGCGATACATACAATACATACAGTCTGTAAAGTAAGAGCGTGTACGGCATAAATGCAATTACATGCTCCGAAAATGCTTAAAATTTATGAGAAGTGTTGCCGACTGCTGAACGATGCTTCATAAAAAAAACGAGAACTGGATCTTACAGGAAGACAACGACCCAAAACACCGGAGCAAGCTTTGCATCGAGTGAAAAGAGCAGTCTGGCATCGTCACACTTGATTGGCCATCGCAGTCGCCAGATGCAAATCCCATTGAAAATGTGTGGGCATATCTCAAGCACAAGCTTCGAGGAAAAAGAGTGTGCACTTTGAAGCAGCTGACACGACAAATTCGTCTCATTTGGAGGTCTTTACCGAACGAATACGCAGTCAACTTAGTGGAAAGTCCTCGAAAGTGTATGCCTCGGAGATGCCAGACAATTATCAATGCCGGTAGTGACTGGACTCATTATTAATGGTATAGCATGTTTCTTCTCATGGAGTACAATAAATCCATGTACTTAAAAATTATTAAAAATAGATTTTTCTACACATTAACCTGTACACACATTAACCCGTACACGCTCTTACTTTACAGACTGTAAGTATTTTCATTCGTTTATGTGTATGCTATTACCGATAAGGTTATATCCAACGTGTCATCGGTTTCAATTCGCAAAGAATGTTTTGCGTGGTAAGCACTTTATGCTACAGCACAATCATCTTGTACCTCCAAAGAAGTAGAAATAAAAAGTAGAAAATGGAAAATTCAGAATTATCAAATTTTTCCTCAAACCAGTTTCTTCACTCCTCAAGACTTTTCGGACATGTTTGACTTCGTGTTTTGATTTTGCGTTCTTATACGAGAATATTCTCTAATTGTTTCTTAGTATACATACGATGTTTGTTAAAAGGCAAATGAGATAATAAAAACGTTAACTTTACATAGATACCTTCATGTGTCTTACATTAACGTATGCAACATAGTTCTGGGTTACAACAGGATAGAAAATGCGCGATAATACTTTCGTTGTGCAATATGGATATAAAACTTTCTGTTCCATAAATAATGACACTATATAGACAAAGTATGTGCAGAGCAATAGTAGTTGGTTTTCATTATCAACGAAGTTGCTGCAACGCCGAACTTCTTTCTTTGCTAATACCTAATCATACGTACGATAAAAGAACATTTAACTTGTTATTTAAAACATTAAAGATCCTACATCGCACCGACAGCTTTATACTTGCGAATATCTTCCAATCAAACAGTACAAGGTGCTGTGTCCAATTCAGTGAGGATAGATTCGATCGACATGATATACACGATTATCTTTTCCACGATAATCGGGGCTTTAGTCTTTTATTACTTATTCTTCAAGAATCTGAACGAGTTCAAGAATCATGGCATACCATATGTGCGACTTTTGCCAATAGTGGGTAACATCGGACAGGCAGTCATCGATAAAAATCGTTGAGCGAAATTTTGAAAATGCTGTATCCTGACGAGTATCCTGAACTCAAGTATATCGTTATGTACGAATTTCACATGCAGGTAATAACGTTACGTGACCCCGAGCTCATCAAGTCCATCGCGATCAACCACTTTAACATGTTCCCGAATCATCGCGTCTTACTCCAGTTTGACCAGGATTCGTTTATATCCCAGACCTTGTTCATTCTCCGTGAAACGCCACTTGCGCCACGAGAAGTGGTAGTACGTCGGTATGTACAATATGACTACATCAGCAATAATACTGTGCGACCATGAACTCATTAACAACTCACTTACGCTCAGGCACTTCGACAATGTTTCCGGATCATCGCAGCTTCATCCGGGAGGATGAAAAGTTATTGTCCAACGAAAATTGTCCTTTTTTTCCGCTAAAACAAATAGTGGGAGATGCGGACTATTATGAGCCCGGCCTCAAGTCCAACAAAATAAAAAATATGTTGAGATTGACGTCGGGCTATGCCACCGATTTCGTCAAATTCATAATTATCGGAGGAGCAGAGGTTGATGAACGAACGATTTCTTCGCGCATTACACCACGATGTGATCGTCATCTGCGCCACTGACGTCAGTGATGACTCCACGCAAGTGACTTCGGATATCTGTTCTACATATACGGTAAAGAGATATCGATCAGTTCAGCACCGTCAGTTTATTGAAAAAGTATATTTGAAAAAGTTTATTGAAAAAGTTTCACGATGCTGTCGTGGTTGGCACAGCTGCACTACTTAAAGTCACTTTCGCAACAAGATGATGAAATTCTTTCAGAATGCTGTGAAAATCATTATGAGAATGATGCGCATGCAAACAGCCTATAATTTGACTACACATATATCAAAAAGTCTTTAAAGATCAAGCACCAAAACAGCGGTTAAACCAATAAACTCAGTGGAATTAAAAAACTCAGAACTCCCAACTTTTTCCCCAAACTGGTCTCTTCCACCAGAGTCTCTTATGGACACATCCTCGTGTTTCGTTTTCGTGTTTTAGGCTAATGTATTTCGCAATCGGTTCTTAGAATTCACTGAACTAAAAGTTAAAAGGCAGATAACGCAGTACAAATGAAAACTTTCCATAAATGAATACCACAGCGTATCGTATTAACATGTGCAATTGATTTTTAAGTTAACAACGTAGAAAGTACACTATATCAGTTTCGTTGCACAATATGCATTGTAATTTTCTTCTTCATAAGCAATGATAAGGAAGGATATATATGACAAAGGACGAAGAGGAAAATAACAGTGGATAATTCATTGTCAACAACGTTACTTGCATTACACTCTTCATCTCTTCCTCGTACTTAATCGGACTTACGATAAAAGAATATTTAACTGAATGATTTAACCGTTGTTTAAAAAATTGGAGATTCTATGTGCTTTCGTACAGATCGACAGTTTTATACTTGCCAATATCTGCTAATCAAACAACAGTGCTGTACCTAGTTCAGTGAGAACACATCAGATCGATATGCTGTATGCGATCGTCTTATCCGCGTTAGCCGGAGTTTTAGCTATTTATTACGTCTTCTTCAAGAACCCGAACGAGTTCAAATCAGGGGATACCATATGTGCGACATTCGCCATTGGTGGGCAACATGGGAACAATAATCTTCGGCCAGAAATCAATACCCGGATTCTTAAAATCGGTATACAGTGAGCACCCCGAGACCCAAATACATTGGTATGTACGACTTCCTCACGCCAGTGATAATGTTGCGCGACCCTGAGCTCATCAAGTCCATTGCCATCACACATTTTGACATGTTCACGGATCATCGTACCTACGGGCAGAATAATATGCTCCTTTTGTTTCTTCGTGGCGACAAGTGGCGGCAGATGAGGTCTATAGCATCTCCGGCCTTCACGTCTAGTAAGATGAAATACATGTATAACCTAATATCCGACTACGCTGTTAGTTTCACCAATTTTCTGATACAATTGCCACCGGAGAAGAGGGTAATAGAGATGAAAGACATTTTCATACGCTTCAGCACCGACGTGATTGCCACTTGTCGCCTACGGCATCAGTGTTGACTCTATGCGAAACCCAGAGAATCTTTTCTACATGACAGCAAGAAATTTAAATATTTCAGAGTTTTTCAGCGTATTGAACAACGCTATAAATCAACCAAAGACGACATGGCTGGTAAGGGTATTCAAGCTACAAACCGTCAACGAGAAGATCATGAAATTCTTTAGGAACATCGTGGAGACCACCATCAGGACCAGAATCCAGAAGGACATAGCCCGGCCGGATATGTTGCAACTGATGATGGAATGCAGGGACAAGGAAGAAGGCAATAGCAAGAAAATAACAATCGAGGAAATGGCTGCCCTAGCTTTTAGTTTCTTCTTTGCTGGCTACGAAACTGTTTCGTCGTTAATGTCTTTCGTCACGCACGAGATCGCGCGAAATGAGAACTACAGAAAAGATTGCAGAATGAGATTGATCAGCTGCTGGAAGACACGAACGGCCAACCTTCGTATGTAACAATCAACAACATGGAATATTTGGATGCTGTACTGAAGAAGCTCTCAGAGTATATCCTGTCGCTATGGTGTATGACAGAATATGCGGAGAGATTTCGAGTTGCCGCGGCGTTAACTGGGGCAAAACCCTACGTAGTGAAGAAAGGGGATCTCTTATGGATACCGGTTTATGCACTCCATCATGACATCAAGTATTTCAAGGAACCAGAAAAATTCAATCCTGACCGGTTCATTGGCGATGAGAAGAAACATATCGACAAAACGGGGCTTTTTTGCCGTTTGGTTTAGGTCCCAGGGATGTGCATTGGTTATCGATTCGCCCTGCTGGCGGATGAAATTGTTATTGTTCCACCTACTGGCACGGTGTGACCTTCTGCCTTCTGACAAAACTCAGATTCCGCTGAAGTTTGCCAAGTACAATTTATTTTGACTGTTGAGGGTGGGATATGGCTAAAAATTGAGCCGCGGAAGGATTCCACATCGCACTATTGTTAATGATACAAGTGGCAGTAAAGATCTGTAAGAATTTTCGTTGGTTCGAGAACTTTAAGGATTCGTATGTGGATGGTACGCACGTAGGAAGCATTATCTATGAATGTGAAATGATATTCACGTATACTAGTTATGTATAAAAATTAAGAAAGAATATTAAAAGTATGAAAGGCTTGATAATAAAGATAAGAGTGTCTTCTAAACCGTCATTCTTCGGACTCATTGATATCAGAAATTCATTGATTTCATCAAAATTCTTTTTGAACTATGTTGACTTCATGGCTTTAGGAGATGCAGTGCGTTACTAAGTAGGAAGAATGGTTTTATTACAACGATATTAGAGGGTCATCGAGGAAGAAAACAAGTTGGATCACCAATTTTTAACTACAGATGAGAGTCAAATATAGAGCCAAAACGTTTATATTTTTTATATACTAGACAGGTTTTTGTAGAAATAAATTATTGTAATATTAATATCACATTTACATCGTGTGCGGGCTCAAATTGGCCATTTTAAATATTCAAAATAAATTTTATTAAATCATTATTAATTTCTCTATTACTAGTAGAGATACTAGTAGAGATACTATAGAAATACTAGCAGATAGACTAGTATATTTAAACAGATAGATACTAGTACGATAAGCTAATAATAGAGAGGCTAATAATAGGAGAGTATTATTAATGAGGAGAGTTGTACTACTGCTAACTTCCCGTTCGTTTTAGTTGATCTCATCGGTTTTTTTAATTTAAATGGTTTAAATGGTTAAATGGCGATTTTATACGACATATATAACTATATTTTTCGCATCACTTCATGATCCTATCTTGGAAATGATGTAGCTATATCAACTTTTAATTCTATCTGAATATATATCTTTCATATCATTCAGTCCAATCCGGATCGTATACATTTCGCGTTGGAAATACTTCTTCTTAAAAATAGACATCTTCTATTATCTTCTATTGTTAAAGGAACACAAAGAAAGAGAGACGACACAAGAAAGAACTGAAAAAGAGTTGAGCAGTCTTTTTTTATTTACGACTCTCGATCGTAAAAGCACAAGAATGTCAGACCAGTGAGTCAGTGAGTTTTCGATCGCAACTATCCTGTTTTGTTTCCTTTTTAAATGGATTGTTGTGAAACCTGTTTGGAACCGTCGAGATAATCGGTAGCAATTCTCTTGGCTTCACGGCGGTTACGGCNGAGAGAGAGAGAGAGAGAGAGAGTGGGTGAGAGAGAGTGTAGGAGAGAGGTGTGTGTGAGAGAGGAGAGTGTGAGGGAGAGAGGGAGAAAGGGTGTATGAGAGAGGGAGTGTAGGAGAGAGAGGGGAGGGAGGGAGTAAGAAAGGGAGAGGGAGTGAGAAAGGGAGAGTGAGGGAGAGAGGGTAAGAGAGAGAGAGGGAGACTGAGAAAGACAGAGGAAAGGAGAAAGAGAGAGTGAGGGGGTAAGAGATAGAGCTTAAGATGGGATTGTATAGAAACGTTGAACGTCGAAATTTTGATTAGTATAGGGTTACGCGTTAATGCCCAGAAAGTATATGTCATGGAATATCAAATTATATGCGGCTAATAACATCGTATGTTGGAGTTGGATATTATCGGACTTATATTATACTCCAGGGATTATTTTTTATTTATTATATTTATTCTGAACTTTAATATGAATAAGCTAAGATGGCGCGCGCGTAGCGCGCGCTTGTAGTGTTCTGGTCCTCTTCAAAAAAGTGCGTGTCAATCGAAAGTCGAAATCTGTCGAATCTCTCGAAGTATTGAAGCCTCTTTTCTGCGATGCTGATTGGTCATCACGACGACGTTGCATTGCAGCCGGCTTCGTGCCGTTTGCGGCTGTCATTGCGGCGAATGACAGTCGAGTGACAGTTTGTACGAAAGGAGCAATAACGGGGTTATATCAGGTTAACAATTTTATAATATAAAATAATAAGCTATAATTTATTTTGTTTCTCAGGTAATGGTAATAAATATAACGAGTGTAGAGGGGGGGGAGTGAGAGATTGTGTGTGAGAAAGAGTAAGAGAATGAAAGATAGAGAGTGAGAGAGAATGTGTGTGAGAGAGAGAGAGAGAGGGAGAAAGAGAGAGAGAGAGAGAGAGAGAGAGAGAGAGAGAGAGATTGTGTGAGGAAGTGTTTTAGAGAGAGGGGGGATATAGGGAGAGTGTGAGAGAGAATGTGAGAAAAAGAGAGAGAGAGAGTGTGTGTGTGTGTGTGCGTGTGTGTGTGTGTGTGCGAGAGAGGGTATGAGAGATGGATTGTGTGGAAAGGAAAGTGAGAGATAGAAAAACAGAAAGAAAGAGGGAGTGAGGGAGATAGAAGGAGGGAGATAGAGGGGTGAAAGAGAGAGAGGGAGTGAGTGAGAGCGAGTGTAAGAAGGAGGAAAGTGTGAGAGAGAGAGAGAGACGGAGGAAGAGTTTGAGAGAAAGTATGTGAGGGAGAGAGTGTGAGAGAGAAAGAATGTGAATGAGAGAGAGAGAGGGGGAGGGAGGAGGGAAAGAGTGTGTGAGAGAGAGTCTGTGTATGAGAGGGAGAAAGTGTGAAAGTGTGAGAGAGAGAGAGAGAGAGAGAGAGAGAGAGAGAGAGAGAGAGAGAGAGAGAGGGAAAGAGAGAGAGAGAGTGAGGAGGGAAGAGATAGAGCTTAATATGGGCTTGAATAGAAATGTTGAACGTCGACATTTTCATTGGTTATACGGTTACGCGTTACTATCCAGAAAATGTGTCATGGAATTTTAAACTGTATGCGTCTAATACATCGTATGTTGGAGTCGGATATTATCGAACTTATATTATACTCCAGGGATTATTTTTTATTTATTATATTTATTCTGAACTTTAATATGAATAAGTTAAAGTCGCGCGCGCGTAGCGCGCGCTTGTAATGTTCTAGTGAAAGAAAAATGGCATCCTTTCAAAATAAAATTTACTCAGGAGCTAGCGGAATGTGATTTCGATAGAAGAAATGAGTTTTGCGATAAAATGATGCGTCGATGCGATAATAATAACACTTTTCTTCATAATATCATTTTTTCCGGTGAAGCTTCTTTCGAATTAAATGGAACGGTAAATCGTCAGTATTGCTGCTATTGGAGTGACGAGAACCCTCACTGAATGCGTGATCTTCACACACAGTATCCTCAAAAACTGAAAGGGTGGGCGGGTTTTTGCGTGGTATTATCGGGACCTTCTTTACTGAAGGAAATTTAAATGCGAACACATGTTTATATTTATCGCAAAATCAAATAGTTCCTCCTATTGACAATTTGTTTGACGGAAATATACAAAATATTTGGTTTCAACAAGATGGTGCACCGCCACACTATATAGTAGTAATGCGTCAATTTTTAACTGATACTTTCCGAAAACTATGGATAAGAAGATATGAAGAAATAGAGCTCCTACGAATGATTTGTAAGTCTAATGACAATTTACAAATATTTTATAAATTTATTACAATGTGTACGCAACGAAACCTGCTAACTTGGCAGACCTTAGAGAACGTATACTGTACGAAGTAAATCTTATCTCATCAGAAATGAGACTAAACGTTTTAAATGAATTTCATCTACGATTAGGTCAAGCAGCAAACGGAAGACAGTTTGAACACTTAATTCAGTAAAAACCCTATACATAGATACGCACGTGCGCACACATACACACACGCACACACACACATACACAGGCGCACGCGCGTGCACGCACGCATGCACGTACGCACGCGCACGCACCCAGGGGTATAAAGTCCGACCATGCAACTTCCACGCAGTACATCCTAGATAATAATACTAATGCTGGTTGTACCGTAAATTCTAAAGTTCATAACTCAGACAATTCTCAACAAAAATAGGTTATTAAGTAGTGTTTTGGAAACATCTCGCTGTCATCTTTAACACTGTAATAAAAAATGGGATGTTCCGTTTAAAAAAATCATGTTGGCCTTGACCTCGCCTTGACCCCTCCACTCAAGGTCAAACGGATATGATCATTCAATAGAACTTTTAAAACCCTACAACTTTGGTTCGAAATATTTTTCTCAGAAACATTTCGTTTTCGAGATATTTGATCGTTTTCAGATTTTTCTAGCACCCTGTATACCGTGTGTGCATAGATAATGAAAAGACAATATAGTCATTTATATATAGTATAGACATTTATTTTTTATTTTTAAACATGACATAAAAAATGCAGTTTATGACTAAGTTTATGATTTCGTTTTATATGCTTGTATGTTAAAAGCATAATTTTATCTTTATTGTTTCTTACTTACTGAAGGAAAATAGAATGAGTCAGCATGAAAGCATAATGAATTTAGCTTATACAGTGCGTGACAAAAGTTTCGGAACAGCAAATTATCTCCAAAAATATTGATTTATTTAAAAAATGTTCACAAAAGTGATAGAGCTTAAAAAATCTATTAGATGTTAATATTTATTTGACTTGAAATGACCTTGAGAAGAGTTATCAAGATAAAAATCTTAAGTAAAGACTTGTATTTTATAATATATCCTTATAACTGATAAACGTCGAGACATTTCCGAAATACTGGTTACAAACCTTTTTTTCGATGGAAACTTTTTGAATTATGAGTCTTCAAAGTTTAAGTATCGCATGCCATAGGAAAATATCACTTTTGGTATTACCCTTAGGTGATATTTTAGGCTTCCATGGTGTAAAGAAATGTTTGATTTGATCTTCGGGTTTACACCGCGTCCATCTTCGATTTGTTTCAATCGTTTCGTGAACATTCCAATCTTCAGAGAAGAGATCATCCAGAAACAATTTCAGGATAGCCAGTGTTTCGGAAATGTCTCAACATCAGCGAAGGATATGTTATAAAAATTAGAGATTTCTATTTCAGATTTTTACACTGATAATTCTCAAAATTATTCCAAGGCCAAATAAATACCAACACCTAATAGATTTTTTTAAATATGTCGATATTTTCTGAGATAATTTAACGTTTTGGAACTTCTGTCACGCATTATATATGTAAGTTTATGGTTATACTTAATATCGTGAACAAAGAACGACACGTCCAATATGACGCTAATGCCTGAAATACATTGAAACCTTTCATCCAAAGCAATAACGTAATTTTTGATAAAAGACGCTGCCAGAGGTCATAATAATACATAAAACTTAACCAGATAATATAAATTTGTAACAGACGTTCAAAAAACGTTTTACTAATTTTTAGATGTCTTTGAAATGTCTTCAAGATATTTTTTTAGAAATTTGTACTGATTAAGTACTGATTAGATACTGATTAGATAGAGATTGTGACGTCTATTAACGTAGGAAATGATTTATACTTATTATTAATAAAGAAACTTATATCTATTTCGAACCTAATGTTTATATTCGCTATTGCTAGAAAATCAGGAACCTGAAACATGTTTCTTCAGACTGCTTTGCACAGTTCGTACTACTTCATCAGATGCACTAACATACATCAATTTTCTTTGATTAATATTTTAAGGCTGCTATCCTCGCCGTAATCATTTTGAATTATGTCAAAAGCGAGGATCTATACAAAAATTATTACGGACTACGTCAGAATAAAAAGATATATTCATAAAATAACATTTGCAATCGATTCAGCACATTTCTAAAATGCTCCATAAATTGTTCTTTTGTCAAACCAATCAATAAATAGGTGAAAATTTTAAGTGATAAAATCATGAGAAAGGATAAATAAAAAAGGAAGGTTTCATATCGTGTTAATTTCATGATTATTGACTATTAAAACAAAAGAAAAGTTTTCGAAGCGTTTTAAAAAATGTAGTGAATCGTTTGTGCCATTTATGGTTATATCTTTTTATTTTAACGTAATTTATAGGAATTTTTAATATAGTTACTTTACTTACTTTTTGACGTCATCAACCAAGAATTCCGCGACAAAAGGCCAAGATTCTTAATAATAAAGAAAGCGTATGAAAAATGGTTCAAAACTCTTCTGTTTATTTTGATATGTCCTACCTGCATACGACTATTTTACTTAAACTTAAACACTTTGGTAAATACATCGACTTAATATAAATATAACATTTACAGAATATTAAGGAAACTGATTAAGATTGGCAAGATAAATAACAATCATTATATAGAATAAAAACTTAAACATAGGATGAAAAGTCAGAACCTTCCTAAAATTACTAATAAGTAATTACTAAATTTGTCGTTTTGTTAACATAAGTTCAACGAACGCGTATCTTACGATACTGTTACTTTGATGTTTATAGAAGGTGTTTACATGTTAAAAATTTAGTATATTTTTTATCGATAAGTAGTGCATAAAATTCAAGTTAGAGAATCCAAAATGCAACTGAATTAAAGAAGACTAGGAATTTTTGAAAGAGTTTTCAATTCTGTAATACGAAGATGTCAAGCGAGTGTAGAAATGCATAAAAGTCATACAGAACACCTTTTGTAAATATTACAGTAATAATAATGATGATGATGATGATGATGATGATGATATGATAAGATACTCGTTCATTAAACCTGTGTTACCAAAACCGAAAAACATTTGTGATTCTGAAAGTATTAATTCCTCGATCTGTTTGTATGTTTTCTAAATATTTTTTACTCAATATAATGCTATTTACCCCATAAGTCATGAACCTTTTTTAAACTTGTATAATGTAAATATAGAATCTTATATAATGTAAATATGAACAGGATGTGTTAAATCATGATGGCAATTTGATTCGCAGGTGTTGCCATTTTTGCTCCGTCGAAACAAGGAAGATGTGCTACAAGATCTGCCACCGAAAATCACGCAGGATTATTATTGCGATTTGTCGCCCCTGCAGCGTATATTATACGAGGATTCCCGCACACGGCATTCAGCTGCATTAATGTCCAATACATCTACCTCCTCGTCCTCGAACGATTCTCAGAACAACAGTCATGTGTTTGAGGCGCTGCGATATTTACGTAACGTGTGTAATCATCCTAAATTGGTACTCAACTCACGGCATCCATTATACCAAACGGTACGTATATTTTTTATGACATGTGTGATTTTTGTGTTATAATTTTTATTAATTAACATACACACATTTATTGTGTACATATTTATGAGACGTATCACAAATAGTAAATTTCTATTAAAATACTTTAGTTTCAACAACGCATGTAAACGATGGCGTGATAAGTTGATACGATTTCCATTGCATCAATTTGATATATCATTGTTTATGCGCATCACTGAAATAAAAATCTAATTTTGTATAAAATTATTAATTGATATACGTGTTGAACGATTGTTATTAACAAGGCCATAGCGTTAGCTTATATTGATCATTTGATGTTATATCAAATAATAACCTTCCATGAAGGTATAACCTTCCATAAAACTTCTGATCCTTCGTCGCGGAATTCTTGGTTAATGGCATCAGAAGTAAGAAAATCTATATTAAAAATTTGGAAATGGATATATCAAAATAAAGATACATCCGTAAGATGACACTTGTAATTGATTGAGCATATTTCTCAAATGCTCGGAAAACTTCTCATTTGTCCAAGTAATGAATAAATAAACAAAAAATAAATACAAAATCATGAGAAAAAGTATGTTGAAAAGAAAGTTGCACATTTTCTTAATTTTACTGTCATTTATTGTTAGAGCAAAAGAAAAGTTTCTGAAGCATTTTAGAAATATATTCAATCGATTGTAAACGTCATTTTAAGGATATATCTTTTCATTTCGGTGTAATTCCTAGTAATTTTTAGCATGGATTTTCTTGTCTGCTGTCATCAATCAAAAATTCCGTAGTGAAGAACCAGAAACCTTAAACTATTGGTGTAACAAAGACCATATTTATAAGCTCTGCGATATTATTCAATCTGTAATATTTTTAGGTATGCAATATGATGAAGCAACAGCAAAATACTCTAGCAGACATTGAGCATGGTGCGAAGCTACCTGCTCTCAAGCAGTTGTTGTTGGATTGCGGCATCGGACAACAAAACCAGCAAGCTCGCGGCAGCTCGTCGACTACGAGTACGGATAGTACACAGCAACAGCAGTTGGTTAGCCAGCATCGCGCTCTAATCTTCTGCCAGTTGAAAGCGATGTTGGATATAGTAGAGAAAGATCTGTTACGTATGCATCTACCGACAGTAACGTATCTGCGTCTCGACGGGAGCATACCCGCGGCACAGCGACATTCCGTCGTGGCACGTTTCAACGCCGATCCGTCGATCGACGTCCTGTTATTGACCACTCAGGTTGGCGGTCTCGGTCTCAACTTAACTGGCGCAGATACTGTTATATTCGTGGAGCACGACTGGAACCCGATGAAGGATCTGCAAGCGATGGACCGCGCGCATCGTATAGGCCAGAAAAAAGTGGTGAATGTCTATCGTCTGATTACCAGATCTACAGTGGAGGAAAAGATCATGGGATTGCAGAAGTTTAAACTTCTCACCGCAAATACAGTAATATCAACGGAAAACGCTTCACTGGACACGATGGGCACCGATCAGGTGAGTTTGAGGCATTGGGTGCGTTCACGACACTCAATGGTTGTGCAACTGTTGAGTGATGATTTCCTCTTGAACGCTATTGAGCGATGCGTTCATTCGCAACATGTTGAGTGAGCGGTCGCCATTTTTCTTATGATAAATATTCGTCACTACCTTTACTGATCAGTTTCCGATCCAACATGGCGCAGCCATGAATAAAGAAAATAACAAAGAAAATAGTCATATAGATCCAAATATATATAGCGGGGAATGTCAAGGATGATGTAGAATACATTGTAACAGACATGCATTATATTAATAAAAATATTTAATAATTACAACACATATAAGCATGTAGACAAGCCGTAATATTTAGTATGTTTATCTGACATTTTTTCCGCGCAACAAAATCGCGCAGAACTCTAATCAGTTACGTTCAGTGTTCTACTGCTCACTCATCGCTCACTCGGATGCTCAACTGTTGCGCAACTGTTAAGCTTCGTGAACGCACCCAATATTTATCATTGTCTATCTCGTCTAATCCCCCGAAATACTCAGATGTGTAATTGATGTAATTCGTTCAGTTGTTAGACTTATTTACGTTGGATAACGACAAAGACAAGAGATCGGCTCAACATGAAGACACCGCAGCAGGTCTACCAGGCGTCAGTCGCTCTATGCTGGATATCCTACCTGAACTTTGGGGACAACAGCAATATGACGATGAATACGATCTCGACTCATTTTTGTCTACTCTGAAGGCTGATAGCCAGTAAGCTTGTACCTCGAAAATTTGTTCAGCGACATGTGTGTAAATTAGAGTTCAGTACAATTGTCGCGTATGTTGTAGTCCAAAATTCGATACATAATATCAAGCGAAGTAGACAGGGTGACGGTAAAATTTAGAAATTGGAAGCAGTTAGTAACGTCAGACTGAAACTTAATTTTAGGTGACATCGATATAATTGTTATCGGTATAACCTACAGAATGTCCCGAACTTTTATGACTAAACTTTGAAACGTAATAATGCATGTTTGATCCTGTATCTAATTAGATATAAACCCAATTGAACAACTGCAATAACGAGTTATGTAAATATGTGAAGTGAATAAATGATTTTTTTATAAGGGCGATGTGATGTTAATAAAATATTTGCATGTAGAATTAACAGACATGATATTGACTGAAAAAAAGAGAAGTAAAAAGAAAAAATAAATGAGCAGTACAAAACAGTGTTTGAATTATACGAACGTAATCCACACGTTGATACGTATGGATTATTCATCTTTTTAATTTTTTTTGTTTTTTTTTTTTTTTTATGTAACTTCAATCGTTCCAATTTCTAGACTAATTTACTGCCACTCGTACTTTCAACAACTGTAAGAGTCGAATTTGATTAATTCTTGTTTGCGCATGATGCATTGACGCCTCAGGCTTGGCAATGAGCTGTTGAATATGATGACACATTGCAGTGACCAAAAGCAATCATTCTCGTGTAATTTAAATATAAAAAGCTACGTCTGATTAAAATTTAACTCCGATCTAGATTGGACTGATTCAGATGTATGCGTCCTCGTTACACGAAGCAATGAGAAAAAATAACACTACACACTCGTACCTAATCGTTAAATGATAGTAAATATAAATAAATTAAGGTATTTTGTAAGCGAGAGAGAGAAAGAGAGAGAGAGAGAGAGAGAGAGAGAGAGAGAGAGAGAGAGAGAGAGAGAGAGAAAGTATATGTATGTTCTGTTTAGTTGTAATAATTTATAAAAATGCCGATTACAATTATAATTCCGCATTTGTACCAAAACGTCGTTACGGTGCATAATTATTTATATATTATAAACTAGTCTTTTTTTTCTACACATGATAAATCAGTAAACGACAATACTATTTGTCTCTTACTATTCATGTTTTTCTTTTCTGTTTTCCGTCAAAATGAATGAAAATCATTCTCTGATGCCAAATTTCTTAGTCACAAACACCGCTACTATATTGCATCGCTCGTACACACCCGATAGCTCACAGTTTCGCTTTGTACATTACATCTATATTCCTCGCACCGAATATATTATGCGGATCCAAGTGTGCTTTAGTCGCACGGTAAAGAGAGACGCCCGCTTGGCCGACGGACTCGGAGTAAAACGGCGCCCGTAGCTTGCCGATGCCGTGGTGGTGCGACAGGGAGCCGCCGCTCGCGAGTATTTCCTCTCGCGCTGCGTATTCGATAGCCTCGTAAGTCTCAACTGGATTTTCCAGATCTGTGTATTTAAACGCCATGTAGAAGTACACGCAGCAGCCCGCGTCGTAGGTCTGTGTGACACGGCAGGAGATGAAATATTTGCGTATGCCGTGTGCTTCGCAGTCCCTGGCTACGCGTGACTTAACATTTCTACACAGTGACAACGTGCGATTCCAGGAAACGGAAGTCTCGAACGACTCCGCTAACACGTTGAACTCGAGCGCCAGGTCACGGATGTATCCAATTACGAACGTCAGCATATATCCACGCTCGCCGTTCGTTTCGCCCGCTGGAACACCGCCATACTTCTCGACTATGCTGTAAATCTTTCGTTCTTGCACTGTAACATCTGTCGCCACGTTACCCTCCATCAACAGCGTAGCCACGCATATCTGATCCCATTGGAAACCTTTTATGCCGGTGATGTACATTTGTTTGAGGCTTTGCAATATCATTTTGATCCAACCAGACTCAGGGCGTAGCGCTTGCCCAAGCTGGAATTGCTCGTTGTCCATTAAGCGTATACTGGCTGGCTGACATCGTTCCTTCGCGATCTGTACATATTGAAAGGGGGGATCTTTATATTTTATTTATTATGTATTATATACAGGGTGTCCCATTTTAATGTCCCACCCTAAATAACTCTTCAATATTGAAGTTTCAAGGAAAATGATCTGAATAAAAGTTGTAGGGATTTAAGTGAACTACCTTATGATGACCTTAACTTTGACCTCGACCTCTATTTTCACGGTCATTTGAAGGTCAACTTGCGTTTTTTAAATGGGAACTCTTATTTTTTATTACACTTTTTTTCTACTAGTTAATTTGAACAACTTTTGTCTAAAACATTTTTTTATTTGTCTAATATTTTTTGAGATATTTGAGGGAAACTTGATAACTTTTTCAATATTTAACTTACGATATCTCGCTAATTATTTGTCGGAAGAAAAAGTGGTATTAAACTTTCTTGCTTTATTTAGTCTCAAGAATATATTGTTACAATAGCGCCCTGATTTTTGTTAATTTGGTTTTGAAATTTTCAAAAGTCGGTAAGTTAACAAAAGTCAGGGCGCTATTATAACGATATTCTTGAGATTAAATAGAATAGGAAAGTTTAATACCACTTTTTCTTCCGACAAATAATTAGCGAGATATCGTAAGTTAAATATTGAAAAAGTTATCAAGTTTCCCTCAAATATCTCAAAAAATATTAGACAAATAAAAAAATGTTTTAGACAAAAGTTGTTCAAATTAACTAGTAGAAAAAAAGTGTAATAAAAAATAAGAGTTCCCATTTAAAAAACGCAAGTTGACCTTCAAATGACCATGAAAATAGAGGTCGAGGTCAAAGTTAAGGTCATCATAAGATAGTTCACTTAAATCCCTACAACTTTTATTCAGATCATTTTCCTCGAAACTTCAATACTGAAGAGTTATTTGAGGTGGGACATTATAATGGGACACTCTGTATAGGGCGAATGCAAAAGTTTTGATGGGTCTTGTGACAGAAAAATGCGCATGGACTAAGTAATTTTATTAAAACCGATTTATTCATTCTATCAAATAATTGCCATTGCTTTCTATTATTTCCATTCTTCGGTATATTATATATCTGCATATTTATAAATACTGCCTGGATCAATTATATCTTTAGTCAACTCACCAAAACTTGTACTCACCCAACATTTCGTATACGACAACAGATTGTGGTCCTTTATGTCATTGGTAAGATCAATTTTACACTAATTATTCGTCTTTCTCGTATACCGGACGAGTGACAAGCAAGAGAGAAACACTGCTCGAAGGTCTCGGCCGTTTGAATGCCGTTGTTTCTCACGATTAATTTAGGTGACGGCAAATAAGAATCCGTCAATTTTACGTCAAAATATTTTTCAATGTCTTTGTATTGGAATATTCTTAGCATTCGTCACATATCTCAATCATTTCTATTCAAAAGAAAATTTGGCGAACTCCTGTCTATCATTGTGTAAACAGATAACAAAAACCTAACTTTAAGATGAATCCCAATTAGTGATCAAGTAACATCACAGTGAAAATAAATTAAATTAATAATATATATATTAAGCTGAAAGAGTATGCAAAGTTGATTTTACTGAAATGCTTGAACATTTAGGAGTTTTAATTATGTTATATTTTTTGTTTAATTAATAAATATGGAAAGATTATACAAAATTAATTTATATACAGGGTGTCCGGAATGTGATCATTAATATTTTGTGTACTGGTAGATTGGGTGTAGCCGAGAAGAAAAATCATGTACCATAATGTCAAATTGGCAATAGTTATAGAGTTATTAATTGAAACATGTGAGCCAATGAGAGCGTAGAGAGCGCTGGGCGGCCGCCTCTTGTCGCTTGCGTTCGCTCGCTCGTCGTTCGCGCTCGCTCGCTCCTCGTCGCGCGCGCACGCCTCTTGTCGCTTACGGTTGTCTCTCGCCGCGCGAGGTAAGCCATCTTCTTATACACAGTCCTGTCGTATTCTTGTGCGCTCATTCGTTTACACATTTTAATTAATTACGGAATAAATATTGAAAAAATTGTAAAATGGCACAGGACTTTTTTAATTGTTTTAACGAGTTCCACCAGTACACAAAATATTAATGATCACATTCCGGACACCCTGTATATGTGGGACGTTCCGCGTCAACCGGATCACCGGCGCCCTCAAAAATTGACGCATCGGATTGGGACGTGTGAGGACTTGAATTATTTGTCTACTCGAATACTTTCAGAAGCAACATGGCCTTTCCGGAAATTCAAAGTGGTGGCTTCCAGGTGGCACTAAATATACCGAAAGACGCACGAGAACCATAATATATTTTCAATCAAATCATGAGAAACTCCGAGTTTTCAACAGAAAATACGATAACTCATATATTTTGATCCGCTAAATTCGAATCTAAGAATTACCCTTAATCGTCGTAATTCTTACCTAATCCCCAAAAACGGCTCAGAAACCTCTAAAAACGATCAAAAGCGGGTTCCCGATACTGCGTTGGATATAGAGCCATTCAAAATAAGTTCTAATATTAGTATTTGGTTCATCAAGTCTAAATTATATACTACGATCACCCTGGAACGTCACAGTTGTTCCCAAACCACAAAAAGGACCTTAAAAATTCTTAAAAACGATCTGATAGTAAGACTGTGATGCTGCCCAGTCGGTTAAGGCAAGACCAAACGTTGTCCGACCAGTTAAGGCAAGACAAAGCATTGCTCAGTTAATTATGCCTAGTTTCGTGCATTCTTACAATTTTCTGGTTCTCAAGCAACGTTCCGCTTTCGGCGATTGAGATATTTCTCTGATCTTATATGCCACTTTAGCCATAGGTTTTTGAGCACCCGAATATCGCATTACTTGCAATGTAAAGGATGTCCCAAAATTCACGCAAGAAATAATTTTGATAGAAAACACAGGTTTATAATTAAAAATTGGAAATTTTTTATTGATTCATAAAATATATAGTATAGGGTTATGTATGGAGTAGCATATCGGGTAAATGTCCTCCACGGCTTTGCTGGCACATATGCACTCTTTTGTTGAAATTTTCCATGACCGTTTTGCATAAATGTGGCCGAATTTCGTTGATACAGCGCTCAATTTCCTCCTTCAAGGCGTAGGTGATCGTGGACTTGTTGGCATAAACCTTAGACTTCAAAAAACCTCAAAGAAAAAAGTCCAACGGCATTAAATCGCATGATCTAGGCGGCCAAATCTGATCACCAAAACGGGAAATTACACGACCAGGAAATGACTCATGCAGTAATTGAATTGTTTCTCGGGCTGTATGGCATGTGGCACCGTCGTGTTGAAACCACATGTCGTCCACATCCATATCTTGCAATTTAGGCACAAAAAACTGAATTATCATATCGCGATAGCGAGCACCATTAACTGTTATTGCCTGACCAGTCGCATTTTCGAAGAAGAATGGTCCGATGATGCCTCCAACTCAAAATTCGCACCAAACAGTGACACGTTGTGGATGCATTTGTTTCTCAACAATCACTCGTGGATTTTCTGAACCCTAAATGCGACAATTTTGTCGATTAACCAAGCTATTAAGATGAAAATGAGCCTCATCGCTGAAGATGATTTTGTTCGAAAAATCAGCATCCACTTGTTCCATAATCCATTCAACGAACTCTCTTCGCTGTGGCCGTTTACCCGATATGCTATTCCATACATAACCCTATCCTGTATACTTTATGAATCAATAAAAAATTTACAATTTTTAATTATTAACCTGTGTTTTCTATCAAAATTACTTCTTGCATGAATTTTGAGACACCCTTTATCATCAGACCGAGGTATGAATGCTTTTGATCGTTTTTAAAAGTTTTTGAGCCATTTTTGGGGATTAAGTAAGAATTGCGACGTTTAAGGGCAATTCTGATCTTAGATTCGGATTTAGCGGATCAAAATATATGAGCTATCGTATTTTCTGTTGAAAATTCGGAGTTTCTTATGATTTGATTGAAAATATATTATGGTTCTCGTGCGTTTTTCGGTATATTTAGTGCCACCTGGAAGCCACCACTTTGGATTTCCGGAAAGGCCATGTTGCTTCTGAAAGTATTCGAGTAGACAAATAATTCAAGCCCTCATACGTCCCAATCCGATGCGTCAATTTTTGAGGGCGCCGGTGATCCGGTTGACGTGGAACGTCCCATGTGTATTTATATATATATATATGTATACATATATATACGAGGGCGGTCCGATAAATACTTAGCCTCACCGCCCGATGGCGCCACTATCGCAAGAGAAATTTACTATCGTGTAGTACATTCTCGTAGACGGCTACTGTCGAAATTTCAGCCGAATCGGACTCGTAGTTTTGTTTTGACCGCGTGTGGAAGCGGGCGTGTCCGCGGATTTTAGAAAAATGGAAAAAGAGCAATATCGGTCGGTGATTCGATTCTTGTTTTTGGAAGGGAAATCGCGCAGCGAAATCAAAGAGCGCTTGGATGCTGTGTACGGTGACTCTTCTCCTTCAATGGCGACCGTCAAAAATTGGTTTAACGAGTTTCAACGTGGTCGCACGTCGGTTTTTGATAAGCCACGCCCAGGTGCCCCGAAAACGGCTACCACGGAGGATAACATGACAAAAATCCACGATCTCGTATTGGCAGACCGCCGATTGAAGGCGCGAGATAGCTGAGACAGTAGACATCTCAAAAGACCGCATAGGTCATATCCTACATGAAATTTTGGGCATGAGAAAGCTGTCGGCGCGATGGGTGCCGCGTTTGCTCACTCCGGACAACAAGCGCAACCGTGAGACTACTTCAGAGCAGTGTTTGACGCTGTTTAAGCGCAATCCGAAGAAGTTTCTGCGTCGTTTCGTGACCGTCGACGAAACATGGATCCACTGGTACACACCAGAGACCAAGGAACAGTCGAAACAGTGGACTTCACCCGGCGAACGTGCTCCGAAGAAGGCGAAGACTGTCCTATCGGCCGGAAAGGTGATGGCCACCGTTTTCTGGGATTCACAAGGTGTGATCTACATCGACTACCTGGAGAAGGGCAAAACGGTCACAGGGCTGTACTATGCCGAATTATTGGGCCGATTCGACGCCGAATTGCAGAAAAAACGGCCCCATTTGGCGAAGAAAAAAGTGCTCTTCCACCATGACAACGCACCGGCTCACACCTCCGCCCTCGCCACGGTCAAATTGGTCGAATTGGGCTACGAACTGCTGCCTCATCCACCGTATTCTCCAGATTTGGCTCCGTGCGACTTCTTTTTGTTTCCAAACTTGAAAAAGTCACTCACCGGGCAGAAATTTGAGTCTAATTAGGTCTTCGCCACCACGGAGGCCTACTTTGCAGACTTCGAGAAAACGTATTTTTCAGACGGGTTAAAGAAGTTGGAGCATCGCTGGGTCAAGTGTGTATCGAGCTAAAAGGAGACTATGTTGAGAAATAAATCGCCACTTTTCCAAAATTTTCGTTTTTCTTTTGTAGGCTAAGTACTTATCGGACCACCCTCGTATATATATGTATACATATATATGTGTATTTATATATATATATAATATGTGTGCGTGTGCGTATGCGTGTGCGTGTGCGTGCACGTGTGTGTGTGTGTAATTAATTATATAATATTTATAGTAATTTATATTTTATAAAATATTGACAAGTAACTATTCAAACTATCACTGTCAGTAATACGTAATTATAATTATGTCTCAACATTTATTATTTTTACTATTACCAATGTTTACTAGCCCAATATATTGAAACTTATTATAACTAATAACATATAAAATCTGGAATAAAAGAATATATGTCTGGAAAAAATATGTATCCGTGTTAATTGATTTGTGAAAAGAAAACAAGCACAATTGTTACAAATAAGAACGTTGTCAATATTTGGGAGATTCATTTTACTCGAGAGAAAATGATATACACACCTCCCGTAATGCATGAACGCCATTTTGAAAATTCGGGAACACGACGCTACCGTATTTCACCACCCGCGGTAACGGTCTGATTTTCATGACGACCTCCGTGATGACACCTAAGGTGCCCTCGCTGCCGAGAATCATGTGATCGAAGTCCGGGCCGCAAGACACGCGGGGCACTAAACTGCCTCTCTCCAAAGTAATCACAGAATCCTCTGTCCTTCCGGTGACCATTCGTACTCGCACCATTAAGTCCTCAATATTACCATATGTATTCTTCTTCATACCGCTCGCTCTAGTCGCCACCCATCCACCTAAGCTGTTTGAAAAAAAAATTAGCTTCTATTCTAAAGGATGTGAATTATACAGTCTTTCACGCATGCAAATATGTTTGCAAACGCTGACTATAGTTCAAGGCTGGATTGCACATGTGCGCGAATATATAATTTAAATATGCACATCAATAATTAATATAAACAACGTGACATTTCATATGCTAATATAACTTCCTAGGTAGCAGACTAGCGTCAAATAACGAATCCAACATCGATAAGACGTTAGTAGAGTCAAAAAGATATATGGCTGTTACTTAGATTTTGTCGAAGATATTAATTTTTTTTGTTATTTCTCTCTCTTCTCCTTTCTCTCAGTATTTCATGTTGCAGCTTCATAAGAGAATAATGTATATCTTCTACTTAAAGACATGTCCCTTAAAATTTCTCAATTATGCTTTATAATATTAGGAGATTGAATTAGTTCTGGTCTTTAGCAATAAATGGCTTTAGTAATAAGTTAATAGTTAGTACGAATGTTGAAATCTAGCAATACTAAAAGATTTGACATTTCTCTATGACATATGACAGTTGACACGCTATTATCACTGATAGTAAATGTTTCATTGTTTATACGCGTCTAAAATAGATCGTATAAAATTACATTTTCGATAGATATTATTTTTTTTTTATTTGAAAAAATCGCCAACTGAAGTTCATGAAATGCTTGCTATTATTTATGGTAATCAAGCTTCATCATATCCCAATTGTAAATTTTAGTTTCAACGATTCAAAAGTGGTGATTTCGATCTAAATGACAAAGAACGTACCGATCAACCAAAAAAATTCGAAAATTCTGAATTGAAAGAATTATTGAATGAAAACACCGCTCAAACGGAAAAACAATTGGTTGAACAACTGAACATCGATAAATCAATAATTTATAAACGCCCACACGTCTACACATCTATTTTACACATTTATTCTAAACGACATGAACAATTCAAAAGGAAGGCAAATAGTTTCCACATGAATTGAGTGAAAGTGCCATTACAAATCGTTCGAATATCGCCATATGTTTGCCATGCTTGTCAGATAGAAAAAAGAGTTTCTTATCGCGAATTGTAACTGGAGATAAGAAGTAAAGTATTTTGATAATCCAAAGCGAAAAAAATCATGGATTAATCCAGGACAACATCGACACCAAAATGGAACATTCATGGTCATAAAGCAATGCTCTGTATTTGGTGGGATATGGAAAGTACGGTATACTATGAGCTTCTAAAACTGAATGAAACAGTTACGGGAGAGCGATACCAGCAACCATTGAACAAATTAAATGAGGAATTGATGCAAAAAAGGCCAGCAATAGCCAACAATAGACGCAAAGTGATTCTTTTGCACGATAATGCTCGTCCACATGTTACTTCAATTGTTAAATAAATAAATTGTTAAAGTTCGAATGGGAGATCTTTCCGCACCCAGCGTACTTTCTAAACCTAGCATCATCTGACCGATTTTACCCTCTATTCCAATAGATGCAACACGCTTTAGTAGATACACACTTCAATAATTACGAGGATGTGTAAAAATGGGTGTCTGATTGGATTACTTCGAAAGATAGATCGTTCTATTGTCGCGGAATCACTATGTTGCTAGAAACATAGAAAAAAGTTACAGCTAACAACTGAAAATATTTTAATTAATGTAAATTTAATCATTTCTTTAAAATAAAGATAAAAAGATTGACAAAATAAGGCCAGAATTAATTCAACTTGCTAATATATATTTTGTACTTTTTCTACGTAATACTGAAATATGCACTTTCATGGTATCCCATATTCAATTCTGAATAATCGTAAAGAGATACAAAATATATAGGTCGTAAATTAATATTAATTATACTCCGTGAATTTCCGTTCGTGTTAATAAAAATAATTTTAATTTTCTATTAATTTCCCATAGGGGAAACATTATTAGTAAATAATGTTAAATAACAAATATTAACATTGTTCGATAAACGACTTGCCTCACGGTGAGTGTTTGAGATTTTAGATATCTGGTATTCTAAATAAATAAAATAAACTGATTATAAGTTTTCAGAAAATTATAAAACGCATTTCAACATGATCACTATGTTGCTATTTAACATAGCGCCTATCTCTAATGACTTATATTACGTGGTACTACTATACAGGATGTCCCATTTTAAGTGTCCACTCCAAATATTTCTTTTATTTTTTATTTTAGAGAAAAATGGCTCAGACATGTTTAGTATGGTTTCGAGGGGGCCGTAAGATGGTACCATTGATTTGACCTTGAAGAGTCATTTGAAGGTCACGTGAAGGTTACCTCAATTTTTTTAGATGGTACTCCTTATTTTTTATTATATATTCTTGTAGCTAACCTCGAGAGCTTCCCAAAACACTATAATCAAATGTTTTTTGGTGAAGTACTTCTGGAGTTATAAAGCTCCAAATTTACAAAATTTTGATAAAAATACAAAATATTTCGTAAAACATTCACTTTCCGATAGTCTTATCTTACATGATCTAACCAGTCAAGGCAAGATCCGAGCATGATCCAACCAGTCAAGGCAAGATCCGAGCATGATCCGGCCAGTCAAGGCAAGATCCGAGCATGATCCAGCCAGTCAAGGCAAGATCCGAACGTGATTCAGCCAGTCAAGACAAGATCCGAGCATGATCCAGCCAGTCAAGGCAAGATCTTCTTTTGTGTACAATTACTTAAAGTGTTCAAAAATTTGGTCATTTACTTGTACGCATCTAGTCTATGATGAAAGTCGTCCCTAACTTTTTCAAGAACACCTAATTTTTCATTAATATTTCTGCAAGCCTGTCTGATCCGGTTTTTCATATTTTCAACGATTGTAGGCTTTTGCGAATAAACTATATCTCTAATGTAGCCCCAGAAATAAAAATCTAGTGTTAAGTCGGGTGATCTTGGGGGCCATTCTTGAACTCGGCTGTCCATACCAATCTACCTATTCGGGAATCTATTGTTTAAATATTGTGTAACAGCTCGAGATCTATGAGCCGGTGCTCCATCTTGTTGGAACCACATTCGTCTGAGTAAATCATTGTCGACATGTCTCAAGAGGTTGGGCAGGTCATCTTGAAGAAATCTTAGATAGATTGCTGCATCGAGATTTTCTTCAAAAAAATATGGACCAACAATAACATCTCCTGGATGCCTGCCCAAACGTTAATGAACTACTGCCGTTGGAACTCTTGGCTTCTCTGCCAATGTGGATTAGCATCTGAATAATAATGGCAGTTATGTCTATTAACGCCTCCTCTATTGCAAAACGTGGCTTCATCAGAAAAAAGTGTATCAGCAATGAACCAGGGATTTTGTTGGATTTGATCTCGAGCCCAGTTACAAAAACGTACACGGCGTTGGTAGTCCCTCTCTTCCAATTGCTGAGTTAGATGAATGTGATATGGGTGAAACTTGAGCTTGAGTACACGATTAGCTGTTGATTTAGATATACCGTATTGCCTTTCAATTTGTCTCGTAGAGATTTGAGGATTCAAAGCAACGGCACCTATAACAGTTAATGATGTGACTTCATCAAGGCCCGCCGGGATTTTCGCCGGTTTCTTCTAAGAAAACCCTGTTCAGCTCTGTCGCAGAGTCTTTTTATTACTTTCCTATCAGGATGGCGTCTGTCTGGAAATCTTTCAGCATAAAGCCTTTCTGCTGCCGAGTAATTATTCCTGGCCTCACCCAAAATGTGAATCATGTCCACAATTTCATTTGGTGGATAAGCAGCCATAATTATAAAGAAAAAAACCAAAAAACCAAAAATTCCTGTCTTATTAAAAAAAGAGTCAATGGATAATAATATGCGTCTGTCTGAGACTTCGCCAAAATACCGACAGTTGCCCGAGTAAGAAATTTGAAACAAGCCTCTTGATATTTGTTTCATTAAAAGAATTGACAATTGTATTTTCACAATTGTTACAGTTCATTGATTATCAGGAAATACAGGATCTCGTCTTGACTGGCTGGATCATGCTCGGATCTTGCCTTGACTGGTTGGATCATGCTCGGATCTTGCCTTGACTGGCTGGATCATGCTCGGATCTTGCCTTGACTGGCCGGATCATGCTCGGATCTTGCCTTGACTGGTTGGATCATGCTCGGATCTTGCTTTGACTGGTTAGATCATGTAAGATAAGACTATCGGAAAGTGAATGTTTTACGAAATATTTTGTATTTTTATCAAAATTTTGTAAATTTGGAGCTTTATAACTCCAGAAGTACTTCACCAAAAAACATTTGATTATAGTGTTTTGGGAAGCTCTCGAGGTTAGCTACAAGAATATGTAATAAAAAATAAGGAGTACCATCTAAAAAAATTGAGGTAACCTTCACGTGACCTTCAAATGACTCTTCAAGGTCAAATCAATGGTACCATCTTATGGCCCCCTCGAAACCATACAAAACCTGAACCATTTTTCTCTAAAATAAAAAATAAGAGAGATATTTGGGGTGGACACTTAAAATGGAACACCCTGTATAGTAATTTATACGATTATTCTATGACTAAATATTGCACGTTTTAAGTCACAGCATCACGAAATCTTTATCATAGATGTCTTTATCGTATAATGTATGCTGACGAATGAATGTCGATTTTATATGAGACCAATTTAATTAATTTTATACGAGAATTCAAGTACCCGTAGTAAAGTTTCAGATATACTTATGCATACCTAGAAAATTCATACGAGTCAGGTTCATGGCCGCTCGTAAATCCTTGCAGACGGAGTTGCCGTTCTAGATCTTGGCCGATGATACCCGATTCACAGCACATCAACAAATTGTCTCTGTCTATCCATAATATCCGATTCATTTGTGACGTGTCTAACGAGATTATTGTCCGGCGTTCATTCGCGAGACAATATACGGCACCGCTGACACTGGTCCCACCGCCGAAAGGTATGCAAGCCGTTCCATAATTCGCGCATAAGTTGATAATTTTGACGACATCATCATGATTCGCTGTAAATGTCACGAACAAAACTAATATTAACTTTTTATAGCGCAGACGGACATCCAGAGACACACATATATTCCGTCAGTTTTTTATGAGCAGTTTTAATGATCGACTTCTTAGCAATTACATTTTATAGCTTTTTAAGAGCCTAACTAGTGTAAAGTAATTATGATTACTTATAAATTCTTTAAATTTATTATTATTAATAGTAAATAAGTAAACACAATAAAATGTTTTTAAGAATAAATGTATGGCAAGGCGAAGAATTAGCTATTTTTATGTGGGAATTGATACGCAGGGATTATTTTGGGGCGCTGATTACGAATCCGTTGTCAGAGTTTAGAAATTCAAAATGGCAGATCCAATATGGCGAACATAAAATTAAAAATTCAACCAATTTCCGTGAAACTAGATATTTAGGGTTTTCTTGGGTCACTGATTACGAATCCGTCATCAGATTTTCAAAATTCAAGATGACCAATCCAATATGTCAGAAAACTTAGAAAAAACTTCAATTTTTAGAAAAATTGGTATTGAGGAGTTTATGAGTCGTTAATTATGAATCTATCATCAGATTTTCAAAATTCATGATGGCTGATTCAATATAGCGAAGCGAGAATTTAAAAAAATTTCTACGCCATTTTGAATTTCAAAAATCTGACAACGGATTTGTAATCAGCGACAATAAAAACCCCTACATACTTAGTTTCACGGAAATTAGTTGAATTTTGAATTTTACGTCCGCCATATTGGATTCGCCATTTTGAATTTCTAAAATCTGACAACGGATTCGTAATCAGCGACCCAGAAAACCTTTGGATACAAAGTTTTATAGAAATCAGTTAAAAGGAAAAATTCGTGGCTCAAAGAGTTAACGGGAGACATTTTGCTGCGCAAAAATTTGCATATAAAAAATTAATTAATTGAATTTATGAGCCAATATGTTTATTCATTAACCTCTTGCACTGGAAATTTACTGACCGGTGCCCGTGACGAACCCGTCCAAAGCAATTGGGAGTAATTGTTACTTGAAATCATTTCTGTACAAACCTTAAACAGATTGCGTGTAAAAAAAATGCATATAGCCATACTATTTAGATCAATATATTGGGTTGTCAGAAAAGTCATGACATATTCTATGTTTTTCAAAGATCATTTATTTATACAAAATTATTTATACAAAAAACAAAGATCAATCAATGATATATTGCCCGTTTTGTTCGATGACCTTTTGCCATCTTTCAGTGAGCTTCATAATTCCTCGTTCATAGAAGGACCTGTCTATATTGGCCTAAAACTGAATAAAGTGCTGATTTACATGCATAACCGTGAATTTAACATTATTCCACGCAAGGAGTTTTGAAGAGAGCGAAACAAGTGGAAGTCTGACGGCACAAGGTCAGGAGAGTATGGTGGGTTTGGCAACACATCCCATCCAAGCTCCAATAATTTTTTACGGATGATCAAACTTGTGTGTAATCTCGTGTTGTTGTGATGGAACACAACTCCTTTACGATTAACGAGCTCTGGACGTTTCTGGATGATGGATTCGTTCAAACTGTCTGTTCAAATTGCCGACAGTACACATTCGAATTGATTGTTTGGTTCCTTGGTGGGAGCTCGAAAAACATGACACTTTTAGAATCCCATCACACTGAGAGCATAACCTTTCTCTGATGAATGTCTGCTTTCGATGTCATTTGAGGCGAAGCATCACGTCAGGACTAAGACCGTTTGCGCTCCACATTGTTGTAAACAATCCACTTCTCATCACCAGTTATCATTCACTTCAAAAAAGGATCGTTTTCCTCACGTTTAATAAGCATATCGCAGATGTTTATACGCGCCGTCAAATTAACTTCTGTGAGTCCATGAGGAACCCAAATATCGAGCTTGCTTACGTATCCCAGCTTCTTCAGGTGGTCATGAACGCTTGAATTATGGATGTTTAATGTTTCTGCAATCTCTCGTGTCGTGTAACGTGGGTTTCACTCGATCAATGCCTTTATTTTATCGTCATCAACCTCGGTGAGCCTCCCTGACCGAGGAGCGTCGTTGAGATCAAAATCACCAGCATGGAATTTCATAAACCACCATTGGCACTGACGTTCTTGTAGAGCATTGTCACTGTAAACTTTACGCAACTTTTCACAAGCTTGATGCGCGTCCTTCTCTTTACGAAAGTAAAACAATAAAATATGGCAAAAATGCACAGTTTGGTCTTCTATCTTCAACTTGTTGTAAAATCTACAGAACTTAACCAAATTGCTCAATATTTTTTTAGAATGAAGCTAAAACTGTCAGCTGTCAAATGACATAGCAATAACATACCAGGTCTGTAAATATGAAACTGGAATTTGCCCATAGATGGCCCTAGCTGTCAATATAGTTACCGGCAAACCACGTCATTGGCGCCATTTCCATTTGTTGACATCTGATAAAGATTTTCAACTCACAACAATACAAGTTTCATACATCAGCATTTGTAATAGCGTTGAACATGTCGAATTTTGTGCCTGGAAGCTACGATTTGCGGACAGCATTGATTTTCTGTTACCATTTGAAGAAAACTGCTGCAGAATCGCATCGAATGCTTGTCGAAGCTTACGGTGAACATGCTCTTGGTAAATCACAGTGCTTTGAGTGGTTTAAAAAATTCAAACGTGGCGATTTTTACGTGAGAAACGAAGAACGTGGAAGACCACCGAAAAAGTTTGAAGACAGCGAATTGCAAGCATTGTTGGATGAGGATGACGCTCAAACGCAACAACAACTCGCGGATCAATTAAATATGACACAAGAAGCCGTCTCCATACGTTTGAAAGCCATGGGAAAGATCCAGAAGATGGGAAAATGTGTTCCACATGAACTGAATGAAAGACAGAAGCAGGAAAACCCAAAAACCACTTGCGAAATACTGCTCGCCAGGTACAAAAGAAAGTCATTTCTCCATCGAATTGTGACTGGCGATGAAAAGTGGATATATTTTGAGAATCCTAACCGTAAAAGATCATGGGTAACTCCAGGCGAACCATCGACATCGACTGCAAGGCCAAATCGCTATGGACGGAAGACAATGCTCTGTGTTTGGTGAGATTAGAAGGGTGTGCTGCTATTATGAGCTGCTAAAACCTGGCGAAACCGTTCATATTGAACGCTACCGACAACAAATGATCGATTTGAATCAAGCTTTGCGTGATTCAACGACCAGAATATCAAAAAAGGCAAAACAAAGTGATTTTACTTCATGATAATGCACCATCACACACAGCAAAACTGGTCAAGGAAACGATTGAGGCGTTTAGTTGGGAAATACTTTCGCATGCGGCTTACTCACCAGACTTGGCTCCGTCCGATTATTACTTATTTGCATCGATGGGACACGCACTTGCTGAGCAGCGCTTCACTTCTTACGAAAATGTACGAAAATGGCTCGATAACTGGTTTGCCTCAAAAGAGCAACAGTTTTTTTGGCGTGGCATCCACAAATTGTCAGACAGGTGGGAAAAATGTATAGCTAGCGATGGGCAATACTTCGAATAAAATATTTTTTATCATTTTCATACAATAAACATGTATTTTCTATACAAAAATTCCAGTTTCATATTTACATACCTGGTAGATGCGAATGTCTCTAGTACTTCCAAAAATGAACTAGCGTCATCTGTTGCAAAGGTGCGTCATGACCTTTCCGACAACCTAATAGATAGGATTAATAACGTATTATTTAGCTGCGGCGACTTCAACTAAGAATTGTCCGCTGTGTACGGCATGAGATTCGCTTGTCGCGTCACCAAATCAGATGTTTGAATAATTCACGCACTTCATATAAAGCGTTAAATACATCATACGAGGATCATTCAAATATAAACCGGACTCTTTTTACCTGAGGACTCAGAAAGAGCCGCAAGTGGGCCGAGGCGCTCCAGGAAGTTAGGTAGAGATGTGTGGAAGGGAGCGACCCCCCACAACATTCCTCAGTTGCTGTTCCCTCGTCAGTAGCACCATGACTGAACAAGAGATACCTACGACTGTTGCGCAACGCATTATCATCCGATTTATCGCTAACGAAGGCGTCAAATCAACTGAAATTTTGACTAGACTCCAAGTACAGTTTGGAGATAGTACCCTGTCAAGAACCCAAGTATTTGATTGGACCAAAAAATTTCGCAGTGGTCATAATGCTATGGAAAACGAAAGTCACGAACGTCGTTCGCGATCGAGTGTCACTGATGAGGACATTCAAGCCGTTCGCGAACTTGTGGAAGATGACTAGCGCTTAACTGTTGTCGAAATCTCATCGGAAGTGAGCATAAGAACTGCTTATCGCAACAAACGACGCCGGCAACCCATTCGCGACGTTCTGCTTCTCCATGACAACACGCGGCCTCATACAACAGCCTTAACCTGCAATAAACTCGGAGAAATGTACTGGACACCTCTTGAACACCCTCTTTACAGTCCCGATTTATCCCCATGTGACTTTCACATGTTTGGACCCCTGAAGGAGGCTTTAGGAAAGGAAAGATTTAACGACGACGCAGCGGTTGAGCAGTTCGTGCGCAATTGGCTGTTGGAGCGTCCTTCTTCTTTTTTTGATGAAGGGATTAAGAAGCTACCTATCCGGTGGAGAAAATGCATTTCCGTTGAAGGAAACTATGTAGAAAAATAATATATCGCTTTTGTAATTTCATCTGCTACTAATAAATCTGTAAAAAAAAATCCGGTTTATATTTGAATGACCCTCGTATAATAAATAAATAAAATAAAATCATATAATAAGTAAGTAAAATATACAAAGTGTATATATAAAATAAAGAATAATAAATACTAAGATAATAAATAAAATACACAAGGCGTATATATACGCCTGCAGCACTTAAAAGGTTAAAGATTTTTATTAATAACTTTGTGCAATATGATAAATCTCAAAACAATATGGAATGTGTAATACAACATTTGATAAACAAACAATAAGCGACGTGACTAGCACGTTATATTGCTA